TGTGGATTGGTGTGACCTGATGGCTCAGGAGGGACTTCAGATGGTTAATTTCGGGTTTTGATTGGATAGTGGGGTTTTGTTTTGTTTTGTTTTTTCGATAGCATTGGCGCTACTAGGGCATATTTGTATTTTGGGGGGATTCTCAGGGTTGTATGTTAGCATGATTGACGATGGATATGGGATGTATGTATAGAAATGAATATGTGGAATTTGATCTTCCATGGAACTGTGCGGGCCGACCCATAGATTAACTACAACTAGTACTACGGTACTACAGTACTACCATAGTATATAGTATGGAGGCCCCAAGGCAGCAACTTGTGATGATTCTCGTCACCTGCGGGGTCGGCGTCTCGCCAACTTGGCGGCTACAGAAAATCACATCTTCTTCAACTTTTCTTTTTCTTTTTCTTCTTACTCTCGGACAATTTCTATGAATAGATGAAATAACCCTGGAGCTTTTCCCTGCCCCGCATCTACCCCCCGAAGTTCCAACGATCTTCACGCTTATCTCCGTAATTGGGAGTACCTCGACGCACTCTGCTGTGGCTGAATTCTGTCTTCTGCAGCTTCAAGCCCAGCCGAATTTCTCACCATGAGTGGCAGCAGCCGTGCCCTCCATCCCGAGGAGCTTTTCCTCAACGACCATCCAGCCAGACAAGAGTCACCCACCATCGGCCCTTTACGTATCAACAAACGGGACTCGTCATCTCCAGCATCGGCCGCGGGCTCCAGTCCCCCACCAAACGCCCCGCTACCCTACCCGGATGACCGTCAACGTCCCCAAATGCGCACCTCAAGTTCAAACGACCGATATCACGACAACATTAGATATGGGTCTCCGCCAGCTGGTCCTGGCTCAGGCTCCGTGAGTCCAAACGAATACCCAACAGCGCTCCGGCCGCGGGACGGTCGTGAGCCGCGAGTCGCAACATTAGCAGAGAGAAGAGGGGCAGCCCCTAAGCCGCTGCCCGAATCTCCTAGCTACGATGCGCCAGATCGCGAGGCCTTAGCTGCAAGACCGTACCCTCGCCCGCCGGCCAGTCAACCACCCGGCCCACCAGAGCCACCAGCAAATACATCTCAATACGATTACCGTCAACAATACTACCCGCCCCCTCAACGCCAAAGCTCAACATCTGCAGCCCGTCCCCCATCAAGTCTACAGGCCCCACAAGGCCCGCTCAATCGCATCAGTTCCACATCAACAACCCGCGCCGAGCGTGGCTCGCCCCCGCCACCAGAAACTCCTGTCGTCGGACCAGGCCAGCAGCCCGCCTCGGACATCGAGGCCCGCTATGCTGCCGCTGGCATTGCAGGCACCGGAACCCTGCAGGGTATCCAGTCGCATAACGTGGCCGCCCAGAGACGAGCAGAGCAGTACTCAGGACAGCAGCCGACTTTCCCGCAGCCGCAGCAGCAGCAGCGCCCGTGGACTCCTACTGAGCAGCCCGGTTCGCAGCCTCATGGCCCTCCGACGGTTTATCAGGGTGGTGAGGTCGTCACTGATAACCAGCCGGCTGCTGTGCATCCGGGTCAATATGGTAGTCCGCCGCCTCAGATGCCCGGATCCTATGGCAGCCCGCCGCCTCAGGTTCATCCTGGCCAGTACGGTAGTCCGCAACCCCAGGCTCATCCGGGTCAATATAGCAGCCCGCCGCCTCAGGCTCATCCGGGTCAATATGGCAGCCCCGCGCCCCAAGCTCATCCGGGTCAATATAGCAGCCCGCCACCTCAGGCGCATCCTAGCCAGTACAGTGGATCTCCTTCCCAAATGCACCCTGCATCTGGGCCACAGCAGCAACAGCAGCAAGATCAGCCAGGAAGAGTTCCCCCTAATGCCCTGGAACATGATATGGACCGGATGCGCCTCAGCTCCTCCCCACCTCCCGCCTACTCAAGTGTATCTGGTCCTTCTGCTTCGAATGGGTACCCCAATGAAAAGCAAAGCGGTGCTGCGGCCGCCGCCGCCGCCGCAACAGCAGCAGCTGGAGCTGGAGCTGCAATGATGCATCCGGCCTTAGTAAACCAACCCAATCCTGCTACAAAAGCGCCTTCCCCTGCACCGGCAGTCTCACCGCAGGACCATCCTGCTTTTGCGAATGACCAGAGACAGCAACAGCAAACAGGGCAATCCCCTCAGGCGTCCGTTGCTAATGACTTGTCCGGTTTCCATCATCAGACAATCCAGGTGACTTCTCCGGGGCCCTCTAGCGCGGGTCCAGCCTCTCCGCCACCTCTTCCAGAGGGGTGGATTGCCCACATGGATCCAAGCTCGGGGCAATATTACTACATCCACTTGCCCACACAGTCAACTCAGTGGGAGTTCCCGAAGGGACCTACGCCACTTAATCTCAACGACACGCCGTTGTCCCCAGTGGGAAGTGTGTATAGCGCCCACCCGCTGGTTTCTCCCGGTCTGTCGGCTTTCGGGAAGCCTCTAGCGTCACCGGGTGTGCCTTTGACCCCTGGCTTTGAAAGCCTACAGTCGCCCATAGTGTCTGGCTTCTCCGGGCCTCCCCCGAGTAGCGGCATGGATTTGTACAAAAACACTCCAACCAACGGTGTCTACTTCGGTCCCTATCTGCGTTACACTAACATGGATCTCGAGCGCGGAGTCTGGATGGGATCTATCCTGCTTGTGACAGATGCCGCACAGCCACCCACGATTCACATGCACCAGAGTCTAGACCTGTCTCCAAACCCGAGACAATTGAAGGCAATCAACATTGCCGCCCATCAACGCTGGACGTTCTACAAGTATGAGATTGATCTGCAGATGGACGATGCGGGTCCTGCAAAATGGACCTACGCCATCACCTCACACCTTGGCTGCACTCGTTACGAGTTTCTCGTCGCTGGTCGACATGAGACCAACTGGCGGTTTATTGCTACCTCTGGAAATGACTTCTCGCTCAATGTCAATGCTGGCGAGCGGGCTCGTTTGGGTGGCGTCGGTTACATGTGGAAGGATATCATGCAAAAGCACAATGAGATCGGAGGCTTCCACGCCCAGTTATGTCTGGGTGGTCAGATCTATGCGGATCGCATGTGGAAAGAGATTCCGTCTCTGAAGCAGTGGTTGACTATCAGCGGAAAAGAGGCTAGAAAGAACGCTCCTTGGACAGCGGCTAACCAGCAGGATGTTTCTTACGCCTACTTCCATTACTATACCAGCCACTTCGACCAACCCCACATAAGGGAGTCATTTGCGCAGATTCCTTATGTCTGCCAGATTGATGATCATGACATGTGAGTCGCCCATACAGCAACAATAAACGAGCAGCACTGACCTATCCACAGCTTCGATGGATTCGGCTCGTATCCCGAGCACATGCAGTTCTCAAATATGTTCAAGAACATCGGCCGCATCGGCATCGAGATGTACCTCCTCTTCCAGCATCACACAACCCTCGACATCCTCCGCAACGTCAGCAATGACATGGACCTCTTCACTATAACTGGCACAGGCTGGCACTTTGTTAAATACCTAGGTCCCGGCGTTGTCGTCGTCGGTCCAGATTGCCGTTCAGAACGAAACCCACACCAAGTCATGGCTGGTCCCACGTACCAGGGTCTCTTCCCGAAGATTGCAATGCTACCACCCAGTGTGCAACACTGTCTCTGGATGGTCGCCGTGCCACTCATCTACCCCCGCCTAGAGACGGCAGAACACATTGTCCAGACCGTCGCAACAGGAAAGCGAGCCGTGACCGGCGCATACAATGTGCTAGGCAAGGTAACCAGCTCTGTAGCCGGAGTAGTCGGCGCCAAGGACTTCGTCGGCTCAGGCTTTGACTCTGTGAAGCGAGCCGTAGGCAAATCCGGGTTGATGGGCGGTATACTGAGTCCATTTGGCGAATTCAACTCGATGGACGAGCTACGCGACCAATGGACACACGAGTCGAAGGTTCGTCCCTTCCCCCCTTCTGATTACACAATTTCCACCATATCCAAACCATTCCCATACTAACCGAACACCAGGATCTCGAACGCACATATCTCATCCGTACACTACAAGGCATCGCACACCAAAAATCAATCCGCATGACCTTCCTCTCCGGCGCCGTCAATGTCTGCGGCGCAGGTCTCGTCCACGACCCCTCAAGCCCATCAGACCACAAGACAATGTACCAACTCATCGCCTCCTCCGTCGTCAACACGCCGCCCCCATCATACATCATCAAACTCCTGCACAGCCACAGCAAGCCCCTCTATGTCCCCGCCAACGGCCACAGATCCTCCGGCCAGGTGAGCGATACCAAGGAAGATATGATGGAGATCTTCCAGACGGACGTCAACGGCCAGGCTCGTGAATACCGCAAGCTCATGGCGCGTCGGAACTACGTCGCTATTGTGGCTTATGACCCTGAAGCGGTTAATCCTTCTTATGGCCATATCACGCCTGGCGCCGTTAGTAAATTGAGTCTTGCGGCGGACTTTATGGTTCAGGGTGATGGGGCGCAAGGGAATGTGGTTAAATTTGGGCCTGTGATTGTGCCGAGTTTGGATCAGGGTCGCTGATGATGATGATGATGATGACGATGAGGTTTGAGGGTCTCGTTTCTTTTTATACTTGTATTGAGGGATCCTTGAGGGATCCTTTGGTTTCGATATTTGTTTTGTTTCTTGCACAGCATTCTTATTGTTCTTCTTTTGTCTGATGGGTTTTCGATTGGTTCCTTTTTGGCGTGTTTGCATATCCGCTGCTTTTGCTCTTTCTTCTCTGTTACCCCCTAGCCTGTTTCATTATATTGAGACAATTACACCGCTGTTCTGACTTGATTCTTGGCTACTTGCAATTGCTTTCAAGTAACTATCTTAGAAATGGAATGATAGATATCAGGTTGAAAGAAGACAGTTTCTTGCAAAACGAGGTACCTGGTACTGTACAGAATGGGGTATCCAGGGTATATCAATAGAAAACAAAGCAGCCAAGATATCAGCCAACGCCAGTATCCAATCTGTTAATCCAATCTAGATAGACATGTAGGTATACTCTATCCAGTTGGATCTCCCCCGGGAACACAAAGACCAATCCGCCAAAAGTAATCCCGATGAGCATAAAACAGTTCCCAAAGCCGATACCTCGCCGGTATAAGAGACCAATCCCACCGTAGAGGCGATAATTTGTCCTCACAATCAGCAACATCTGAACTCTCACGTCCCAAGACAGCCTGCTCGTCAGACACAGCACCATCACCACCACTCGACCGACACCCCTCCTCACTAGAACCAGCCAACCCAACAGGAACATTCAAATCCCGATACAACTCAACCAAAACCCCCTCACTCCCCTCACCGGCAATACACCCAGGATCCTCCGCACCAAAACAATGAACAATATCCTCCCTTCGCGGCGGCAACCCCTCCCTCCTAATAAAAACCTCCCCAGCATGAGGCCGATATCCCCACTCCGCAAGCGGCAACATAGGAACCGGATCTCCAACATGCGTCACACGACGAAATCGCAAACCCCCCCTCAAGCGGCGGGATCGATATCCCATCCCCGAGCCCGAATTGCTCGTCGAGAAAGGCTGCGAACGCCGCGTTCCCGATCATCGGCTCCCCGAACGTCGTTACCGTTGCGTCCCAGCCTTTCATACGCATCTCCAGCCCTGCTAGTGCTGCAACGGCCCCGCCGAGGGAGTGGCCTACTAGCGTTATGGCGTAATCTGGGTATTTTTGGCGCAGGGTGGAGATCTGTGGGAGGATTTCTGTTCGGGTATGCAGCCATGAGCGCATGAAGCCCGCGTGCACGGTGCAGTTTTCGCAGTGCGGACCTGTGGGGATTGGGTTTGTGGTAGTGTTGTTTTCGGGGTCTGGGTAGGGGATGTAGGCTTGCGGGTAGGCGGAGAGGTCGATTATTGTGTTTGTTATTGAGTAGGTGCCGCGGAAGGCGAGGATTATTTGTTTCGCGGAGGGGGTGTGGGAGAGGGCGATGTAGCCGCATGAGTCGGAGAGGAGGAGGCCGGTGTTCCAGGTCTGTGTGTAGGGTGGATGTAGTTAGTGGGTGGTGTGTCTTCGTGGAGATGGGTGCTTGTGGCTGGAGGTAGGTAAGTGACTCACTGTTACTAGTTCTAGATCCGGGAACTCGATGCAGCGGCTGAGGCACTGGAATGGCTGCTGTACTCCTGTTGTTCCGACGCAGTATGAAATGTCCACTATTCGGGAGAACTCTTCTAGGGAGTTGAATAGCTCGTTTGATACATGCTTGTACTTGTTCTGGGCCGTGGCGACGCTCAGGAAACAAATGTATAGTAGCAAGGGAAGGAATAAAATGCTAGCCATGGCTTAACATACTGACTTGGGTAGGAGGTAAAGTATAAGTCCATATTTAAAGGGAGAGAACAAGACCTTGTGATGCGGAGATGTGACTGGAATCAAATCCGGGGTAAACACATTATGTCATCGATTTCCTCATTGGTCGGTGTTTGTCGATATTGGAAGGTACTACCCGGGAGTATGTGCATGGGTCTACAACTACAACATACGTAAATGCAACAACCTTGCAATTTCAGTGGTCACGAGGGACTGGAATGTGCTCGAAGAATTCTATCCAATACTATATGCATGCTGACCATGGAGCAAGGCCGGCATTAAAAGGTAATTCAAATCAGGCGGTCCAAATGACAACACGACCGTCGACACCGCTCGCTAGAATAATATGTTAGTCTTTGCTAGGTCGCAAGTTTCAGAAGGGCGATCTTACTGCTGAAGGAGCTCACAACCCCGTTGGCTTCTTCGTGGGCCCGGATGGTGTGCACAGTGTTCTGGTGGGTAGACTTGAGCTTGGTTTCCGCCTGGGCCTGGCCCTTGAGATCCATCTGCCGGAACATGTTCAAAGCAGACTCCTCGCGAGCACCCACGGCTTCTCCAGCCTTGTTCTCGAGAGAGCCGGCAAGTTGCCATCCATTCTCATCGCCGCGGAAACGGAAGGGCTCACAGTCCTAGATACGGTTAGCACAAGCCGCCGTTGTATACTAGAAAGAAATGACTTACATGTCCAGCTGCAATAATCTCAGTCTCGCCGTTCCAGATAAGGCTGTTGAGCGGCAGCAAACGGGTAGCGATATTCAACATCGCCCGCGGGGGCTGTTCCGGAGCGCTGGGGTACACGACAGTAACACTGCTATCGTGTCCAGTGAAGGCGAGCGCATTGCCACTAGGAGAGAAGGCAACACTCTGGATCCAACCAGCAGTATCATTCAGGTATTCACCACAGATGGTGTTGAAGGGAAGGCGCTCTCCCCACGCACTGGGCTCCGGGCGGGTATCAATACCCTTGATGAAGCTCGAGAAGACTCGGGCGTGAGAATCGGTCGATCCGGCTGCCAGCAGGACGGAGTTCGGGTGCCACGCCAGGGTTGTAATAGTACTGCGAATAGGCTTCTTGATGTGCTTCGAGATCCACCAGTCGTTCTCCTCCTCGAAGTAGCAGACAGCAATCACTCGAGCGCCGGAGCCGACGGCGAACTTCTGCTCTGATGGAGACCAGCGCACAAAGGTTGCGGCACGGTTGATTCGGAGAAGGACCAGAGTAGGTTTCCATCCGGTGGGGGTCTGCTCCCAAACGTAGGCATTTCGGTCTATAGAGCGAAGACCCGTTAGGTATTGTATATGTTAATAGTTGAAAAGGCCTTGCCAAAACATACCCTGCGAGCAAGTGACGATTCGGCCACTGTTAGGAGCAATATCAACGCTGGTGACGGTCTTCTCGTGGCCCTTGAGCTCATCGCTCAGCGCAAACTTGTTGCCTGATTGTTGATACAGTTCCACATTGTTCTCCCGAGCGACAGCAAGTGTCTTCTTGTCGGACGAGAACGAGTGGTCGGCAATTGGTGCGTGAAAGAGATGGTGAACCTCAGGAGCGGCCATATTGGAGATAATAACGACAGGAGGATCTCTCTACCGTCGTGCTTGTGTACTTGGTTGTTGTAGTTGCGGGACTAGGAGGGGAGCTGGGTGATGACGGCGGCGCTTAGTAAGGGAATACATCACATGACCCAAAGCTACTTTTATGTCGAGGTTTTGAGTGGCCATGGACACAGCACGCGATTGAGCTTCATTTCCCCATACGCTCTCTCATTTACTCTTTCAATCAGACGGAAGCCTGCCTGATATTTCTAATTATCTGAGAAATGGCTTCAAAATCATTGCCCGCCCGTGGAGGCCCTGACAGCAAGGCCGTTGCTACCGGCCCTCCTAACCAGACGTGAGCTTCCCCGTCCAACCACAGGAGACTGTCGCGCATTGGCGCTAACAATTTCTAGACTCTACTGCACAAATTTGCCCGATAGGAGAATTCAGAAACATGATCTTCGAACGGCACTCTATGCCCTGTTCTCCACATACGGCACCGTTCTCGACGTTGTGGCCATGAAGACCAGCAAAATGCGAGGCCAGGCCCATATTGTGTTCAAGGATGTCCAAGCTAGTACACAGGCACTGCGGGCTTTACAGGGATTCGAATTCTTCGGGAAACAGATGGTATGTAGTCATTGCCCTTCTATCGTCGCAAACCCCCGCTCATTCAATGGATGTCTAGAAAATCGTTTATGCCAAAGGATCATCAAATGTCATTTCCAAGCTTCGCGGCACATACGTTGCGCCAGTTGAGGCTGCGCCAGCCCCAGTGACGACAGACCTCCAAAAATCTATCTTCGGTGGTCCTCCGGGTGCACTCCCTGCACGACCCACGACTGATGCCAATGGAGAGGCGCATGGCTTGAAGCGACCGCGTGAAGAGGAAAGCGACAACGAAGAGGCCCCGATGGACGAAGATAGCGACGTGCCTATGGAAGCTTCCTCAGATGAGGAGTAATCTAATGAATGGGGTCCTGCTGGGGACTTGAAGTCCTCGATTTGCATTTGATTTTTTTTTATTCCCCAGCGTTTCCAGCATATGCAAGAGTATTGGCTGGTACTGTGCTAAGCAAAAAGCTCGTGTGGGACGTGCAGGTTCACGCAATGACCTACAAGGCCGAGCCAGATGAGGAGATATGACCCAGGAGTGACGCTCTGTGCGTCGGCAATGTTCGCCATGGCATCCGCGGTGTTGCATGGGTGGACAAAAAAGGCTGGGGCGCCAGAGTCAGGATGGTACTACAAGAAAAAAAACAAAAAGAAGACATGAGCTCTTGTCACGAGGTTCGGAGAATGCACCTACACCCATACTAATCCCACCCATTACACCCACATTCTTCAATTCTTGCCTGTACCGTTCCGGCACGACATACTGGTAGACTTCGTCTAGTCCGAGTGGGCCGTGGTTGTGCCACCTGAGGCTGAAGTACAAGACGGGGACCTGATATGTGGGGGACAACAAGATGTCATAGTCGATCTGTAAGCTGGGTTGGAGTTTGGCGCGAACGAGAGCTTCCTACGGTGAAGAGTCAGGACAAGTGGACATGGACACGTCCCTTGGGGGGGCTAGAACTCTGCAGACCGGATCCTCGTCTTCCTGTGATTCTTCAAGGTCCTCCAGCGCTGGGGGTTCTAGCGGGCTAGGGACATCGACACATTTTGTTATTCTGAGGCCGGTTCCATCTGGCTAGTTTCATTCAAACCATATTTTCCCATCAGTTCTTCATTCCTCAATTCATATATCAATTAAGGAACCAAATAGGGTTTAATGGTTCATGCGTAAAGAAAGGGATACCTTTGTGAGCAGTCGAATGGCGGACCAGCCAATATTTTGGGCTGAAGTGCATCGATCGGCGAGATCTTGACATGCACCCTCAAACTCCGACTGCACCAGGAAGGGAAACGTAGAGCACAGTGCAGCCATGCGGCTGGAGCCTGGGGAGAGGGCTGTTAATTCCTCCGTGCGAAGTACCAGTGTCCCGGATGCAGATGCTCAGTTGTGAATGCGGTGTGGCCAGGGTACGGGGGGTCTTGCAAGAGTAAAAGCACTTGACCTTGCCACTTGTCACTGTATGTCAAATCAGATACATTGGAAATAAACCCACAGGTAGTTAAAAAAGAGTTAAAAGAGAAAAGATGATTGCGGTGGACCGGATATAGAAGGAGAAGAAGGGAAACAATGAAGTTGTCAAGAAACCTAGATGTGCCAAGAGGTATCTGGTACCTGAGTTATATATGGTGCTGACACGTCAAACTCAAGTACTAGATACCTCTCTTCCCGGTTGCGGCAGAAGGAGGCGGTACCTTTCTTCCCTGTCCCGCGTGGAGATGTCTTCCTTGTCCACTGCATGCAGCTTCATCTGATGCAAATGCGCGTAGGTGAACCTTTTGTGGCGATAAATGCTTGCGTCTTCTTTTGTTTCTAGCGTTTAGTTGCATATACACTTCGTTTGTCTGATTCTCACTCCACTTCTTATGTATCGTATGTTCCCCCTTCCCCAGTGACACTATCCTCCCCACCAATTCCTACTGTTCTCTTTTTTTTGTTGTTGCTTCTTTATTATTTATTATTTTGCAAATTGTCTATAATCTTAATGTCGATCCGATTGTGTATTTGCCGATTTTGATCTACCCCTGGTCTGCTAGTCTCCCCGTGAGCCGAGATCGTGAAATCATCAATCCTCAAATCCTGCTTTGTGAAGTAAGAAGAGCACTCCCCAGCTTCCAAGATTGGCTATTTGCCTTTGACGTTACCTCAATCCTCCCTGTCATCCGTCTTCCATCTTTCCAGTCCAACCAATTCCTGCATCGCACCCAATCTGAAACACGGGAACCCCCATCATCTCCGGGATTGTTGGGGAACCTTGAGCCGCCAATCGTAGGCTCAATTCCAAACCCAGCGGTTGCACGAGCTTGGGGCTCGGATTGCGTCCTCTGTGGGCAATCAGAGCGTGGCTTGACGTCAGTAGTCCGGGGTGTAATCTAACCTGAAAGGCTCTATCGGGACAAGCTTGGAAATCCCAGAGCTAGGTCACCCCATCGTCGTGCGGGGGAACAGTGCTCGCCAGGCTGTCACCAAGCCCTTATTTTGATTGTATATCATTCTCGCCATACTCCCTGCACATGCTCAGTTGAATCTGGCCAGAGCAAATCTGAATCTACCTGCATTGCATCTGGTGCTTCTGAAGTCATGGGCAACACTCAATCGAGCAAAGCCAAAGACGAGACCTACCGCTCCAACCGCCTTTCAAAGCCCCTGACGAAGAAGTTTAATGCCAGTCAAAGTTCTCAACGCCCCGAAACAGACCCTCTAACGGTCAATTCAGGGCTGATAGGGTGGCAAAACCCTTGGGTTGGCAGCACTATCTCCAATACCCATGTGGAAAAACGGGGCAGCTATCCTAAGAAAGCAGAGATCCCACCTACCCTTTTTGAAAGAGAGTCGTCCGAAGAGACCCCGACTGAGGGTCGAACCTTTGTATATGAACAGAGTCCCACGCAGTGTCATCCAACCCGTCCAACTCTGTTGAGCGCAAGCTCTTCGAGAAGAACATCATACCAGTCGGAAACTTGGGAATCATCTTCTCAGCGCTCGCCTCTTTATGACCAGCCACCAAGGCGGGCCAGTTCGACTCGAGTTCCCTTACAGAGACACAACAGCGCTGTCTATGAAAAACAAATTGGGGATGCGACATCTTCCAACACCCACTTCTTGGTTGGCAACCAACGGTTCTCATTAACGCGTCGACGATCGCTCCTGACGCGACCTGGGGTTGCCACAAGACGAACAACAGGCGCAACTCGACGCGTCCCATCGCCCATTGGAGAGCCTGAATGCCCGATCGAGGATCCGACTGAGTCAACCGTTTTGCAATGGCCATTGCCTTTGACCCAGAGACCGCTGCGTCTGCCATCCCCAGTGCGGCCGACGAGTCCGATGGATGCCCGATATACTCAGCTCGGGGCACTCAAATTAGGGTCTTTGCGAGTGGTAAATGGCTCGGCCTCCCCATGTCCCAGCGAACGCATTCCTTTGGATGGGCCCTGCGCTTCAGGTTCTGGGCTGGGTCTTGGGAACATAGAAGTCATAGGACCTAGCAGGGGGTCGACGCTGGATATTCCATCCTTGCCCGACTTGAAGAAAACGGACGATGTCCCCGGCAGTCCATTCTCTTTCGAAAAGTCCCCAACTCTCACAGTCCAGCCTCGGAAAAAATCATTGTTTCCTGGGGATCCAGAAGATGAAGGAATTGTCCTCTTCGACGATACGAGAATCCAGTTGGAAAAAGGTGGTCTGGACGCTGGTCTTGTCCGGAGCATGTCTCAATCCCTCAACAAGTCCGACAGTGGCTACAGCTCTGCCACCTCAGTCCACTCCATACAGCGGAGCCGGACTCACAGTTCTGCCGAGTCACAGACCTCTAGCTCATATGCGGACAGCTCAAAGAACGTATGTATCCTGAAAGACTCGGCTTCAGGTCGATCATTCGATAAAGTGCATCGTCCCTTGAGCCTGCAGACAAAACCGGAGAACTACTCAAGGCTGTATCCAGCCGCTACTCGCTGGTACGACTCGAGCGACCCAACTCCCTCCGTTCCGTCACGATCGCGTCGGTCAACCTTGTGTGCGCCCCGATACACGGAATATTCTTCGCAGCGCGAATCCTTCCTCGAAGTCAAGTCTACCGCCGTGATCTCTGTTCCATTCCAAAGCCAACGAGGCTTTAACAAAGGACCTTTCTATGGAGATCGATTGTCCTTGGGCTCGTTTGATCTTGCGTCTAGTACAAGGTCTACCGCAACTGGAGAATCACAACTCAGTCACCAACAGCCAAGTAACGAAACCAAGGAGCGACTTCGCAGGTCGGCCTCTGAGTATCAAATTAATGAAGAGTACAATACACAACTCTCTCGATCCAGAAGCCGACGGGGAAGTCGTATCTGGAGCAAGAAACCAGGCGTTGAAGTTCCTCCGCTGCCCACTATCACGTCCCCAGGTTACTTGCAGGATGACCTTGACCTTGATGCTGAATTACCTTCCTCTGAGTCAATGCGAGGCCGACCTCGAAGCCGGAGCAACGACTATCGTCCTCGTCGGTTGACGAAGACCCGTCATCAGAAGGATTTGTGCATATGATGACCTCTTCCTTTTTCGTTTATTGACAATTTTGGTAATGATTTTATTGATCTTTCTCTCTTGGATGTTATTTATTTTGGTCTTTTCTCTTTTGCCTATGGCGTCTACAAAAGTTCACTGTGGAGTTGATGCGTTTTTTGGTCTTTGGCGGGAGTTTAGAACACATTTTGGATATGGAGTCTTATTAGGTATACCCTTTTGGAATTGGAAGTGGAATTGGCGTTTGAATAATATCTGGCGTCTATGCCATATGCTGCTGTTATTTCGCAATTTTAGGCTTTTCTTGGCCATTTAGTCTAGTCCCCGAAATTCATGCATGTCCCTGATGGGATACAATCTCAGTCTTCAGAAATCTTGCTTTCCTATGCATATTCTTCACCGTGTGGCTGGTTCAGTGGTTCAGGGCTTTCCTAGCCATTCCTGTGTGTATACGAAGTAAGGTTATCGAGTTAAGCAAGGGGTTTCTAGTCCAACATTGCAGGCGCAGGGTCAATATACATAGCTAAGTTCTCTACAGTCTACCAAGTAACACAGGTGCATGTTACCTGTCTACACGGGATAGCAATTTAATGAATATCAATTTAGATTAATTATCATAACAAAGTCCGATCATAAAAGTACAAATGCAGCAAGGAAAGAAACGCCACCGGGAGATCCAGATCCCAATGCAATCAAATATATCGAGTCCATGGCTTCCAAGCCAATGACACCATCATAAGTTGATTCCAAATCACATAATCCGAATCTTCTTCGGCGTGGGTGTCGCCTCTTTCGGCACGACAACAGACAAGACACCGTTCTTCAGACTTGCACGAACAGAGTCCTGATCCACGCGCGCGGTGAAGCTAAAAGTGCGCTGGAAGTCGCCGATCGATCGCTCCTTGGTCCAGAAGTGAGGCTGGTCCTTCTTGGCGGGGTGCGAAGCAGTGTTGGAAGCAGCGGTGTCGGCTGAGCTAGTCGACTCTGCATCCTCGTCTTCAACGGTGGCGGGGTGCCAGCCTGCAGGAGACGAGCTGCGGCTTGAGCTGGCATCGTTGCTGTCGTCATTATTGTCCTCGCGATCGGTGTGGCCCTTGATTACGAGAGTGTGTGGATCGGTGAATTCGATCTCGATGTTGCTCTGGTCCACGCCTGGGAGTTCGCCATCGAGGCGGTAGGCATTGGTAAACTCGCGCACGTCAAATGCCGGTGCGAAGGTGCTGGGTGCTTGGATCTTGGAAGATTGGAAGGACTTGGGACATTGGCGAGACTTGTATTGATTGGGAGTCTCGTAGTCATTGAGGAAGAAGAGTGGCGAAAGGCCGGATTGGGAGAAGAAGGCCATTGTTTGGGATTTGGGAGTGTTTGGATTGAAGAAAGTTGGAAGATAGATAGAGAGTATCTGAGAGATTGTCTTGAAGATTGTGTTCTGTTCTAATTGTCGTGGAATATCTGCCATTTTATATCTGTGTTGTTCATTGTACCTGACGTTGCTTATACTTCGGCGGAAGCATCCAGAAACTTGTGGCGCAGTCGACAAGCCGCCAGCAACTTCAAGGAACAACCACGCCATTCCATACATACTTAATTCTACTAATCTAATGACTCTGACAAATGTACTTTCTCGAAGTATGAATAATGTGTGATTGGTAATTACTTTGAGCCTCGAAACTTCCAAGGAGCTCTACAATGAGTCAATACTAGTGGTACGGTAGTATAGGCAGAACACTCCATGACAAAGCGCTAGTGACTCAACAGTCTATGATATAGATACTATGATATACTATTATACAAAATGCCTCCAAAACAAGGCCTCAACCATATCAAACACGGCCATGCCTTCTGCGCAACATGTTCAACATGTTCGCAGGGATCTGTTCTAGGTGGAACCGGCGACGCTAGAGATCTCCGATTCTATTTCAATGAGTGAACTGGTGGAGATAGGAGGCTGGAACGTGCGAGACATACAAAGCTAACTGCGTAGGCGCCCCCCGAAGAACTAAGATTCTGGGGTCTGGCCCCGTCCGCTCATCGGATATTGCGGATTCCCGGGGTAGCATACAACTCGAGCTGTCGATGACCTTTGCGCAGGAGATATTCAACAGTAGTAAAGTCCTTCTTATTCACTGAGAGATGTTTTTGGAACTCTGCCCTGTATCCCGTCTCAGCCGGATTGCACCGATATCTAGGGGGAACGCCGTCGGGAAAGGAAAAGGGAAAGGAAAGGAAAGCATATGGAGATAGGGAGATAGGCAGATAGGCAATTGATAGAGTCTTACCGGGCATAGTTCTTGAAATTGATCCTGGAGTCCTACAATAGAATAAGTATCAGCTAAGGTTGACGTGGGATGAGGTGATATAACCCACCTCAGGCTTGTTTCGGATCTCCCGTAGACACTTTCGGTATAGAGACAGGACGTCCCTCTGGAGACCGGAGAGCCGAGCCATTGCGAATCTCAATATGAAGAGGAAAAAAGCCTGCAAATCATTGGGTGGAGCTGGGATGTGTTTCCCGCTCTGGGGAAAAAGAGCTCTTTCCCGGCCGAGTGCCCAGATATACCCATCTCCCCTCGAACTTCCCAACTTCCCCATATTCCATATTCCATATTCTCCAATGTCTACCTTTACTGTGAGTTTGAAAATTAGTCTCTATCATTATAAGAGAAATATTAAAAAATACATTATATCGATTATTGTATCAACATATACTAATTCTCTAAATAGCACCTTATCCGCTTCCTGGCCAAGGATGGCCAAATCTATTACGGCGATGCTCTTCTTCCATCGGGGGTGAACGATATCGCCAAAGCCACCAAGGCCAGAGTCATCCAGGGTGACATCTTCGGCCAGTACCGGATTACCGACCAGGTCGCAGATGTGAGAATGCTTCTCGCACCTCTGGCCCGTAAGGATATCGGCACAGTCCGATGCTTGGGTCTCAACTATGAGCAACACGCCAAGGAGTCGAACATGCCCATTCCCACATATCCGATATTGTTCTACAAGCCCGTCACCTCGATTTCCGGGCCCGTAGATGATATCCCCGTGGCCCAACTTGCCCAGGAAGGCGAGGGTCTGGATTACGAGTGTGAACTGGTCGCCGTTATCGGCAAAGAGGCTACTAATGTCCCCGAGAGCAAGGCACTCGACTATGTCCTGGGCTATGCTGTCGGAAACGATGTTTCCCACCGCGATTGGCAGATCAAACGGGGTGGAGGTCAATGGGGACTGGGTAAGGGCTTCGACGGCTGGGCACCGTTTGGTCCTGGCATTGTTTCTTCCAGTGTGATTGCGGATCCGAATAACTTGGCTATCTCGACCAAGTTGAATGGGCAGACGGTCCAGTCTTCCTCGACTAAGGATATGATCTTCGGCGTGGCTAAGACGATAGCTTTCCTGTCTCAGGGAACGACACTCTTGCCTGGAGATCTTATCTTCACTGGAACGTGAGTACACTCTGATGAGCAAGCAAATGGCCGTTTGAATTTGATAGACTGACTATTTGACAGACCCCAAGGCGTGGGCATGGGCCGCAAGCCTCCTGTGTGGCTGAAGGACGGCGATCAAGTCGAGGTTTCGCTGGAGGGCGTTGGATCCTGTGTCAACCGGGTGGTCTTTGACAAGCCTAGCGCCAAGCTCTAAATTTGTTTCCCTTGAACTTGCCTTGAGACCAATGACATAGTTGGTACTGGTTCAAGCTGTACATAACTACCTGCACGTTTCAGTCTTTGCAATTGATCATTGTGTTTATTTGGACCCAAAAATTATCTTTGCATCCGTAATTCCGTGTGCATTACATGTAAAAGAAAACCATAAATTAGGATCTAAGCAGTCTGGGCGCCGTATCCCCTGATCCTCTCGGCAAAGGCCCAGCTCTGACCCTGAATCTGCTCATTCTCCTTCAGATCAATACCATCCTTCGTGATAACGGCTATGGAGTACTTGTCGGTACTTCGTGCATCGCGGTAAAACAGAACCTTCAAGCACTCCTTCAAGGCCTCAATGGCGTCTTCCTTGCTGACTTGTTCAAGGGGGGTACCCTCGGGAAACTTGCGGCGCAAGATGGGAACCGCAAGATGGGCACCAAAGCCTGTAGCGAGATGAGGAGCAGAGAATGTCGTTCCTAGCAAATCCGCCGAGCTAAGGAATGGCTCCCCTTCCGCATCGAAGCCTGCGACAAGGACGTGGTTCCACAGCGGGTTGAACTCGGAGCGTCGTTTGTAGAAAACCTTTGCAAGGTACGTGTGCAGGTTCTTGGCGTTGAGCATGTTGCCGTGAGGCGAGTAGTTCTCCTTGATATCCATGGAGTCGAGGAGACGGTCGAGATATTGCATGTCGGAAACGTCACCGCCAAAGCCAACCATTGCCTTATCGCCGAATTTACGCAGACGCTTCACGTCGGAGAAACGAGCCAGGGATCCGTAGGAGGCTATATATTCACAAATCATATCACGTCAGATGGCAATGCGAAGGAAACGGATCGTAACAATGGAACGGCATACCCAGGTTGTCGGAAGCTATAACGACTCCGCCATTAAACTTGACACCTACCACTGACGTACCCGTCACTGCAGGAGATGAGGTATGGGCCTTGGGACCTGTGGTCTGCAAATATGAGTGGTCATAGGCACCGTAGACATCGTTCCTGGGCTGGACGGATAGTTAGCAACAGAGCAAGGACTGGGAAAGTTGTGCCACCTACGCGGCCCCAAGCTTCAGGGGAGTGGTTCATGATGAATGAAGATAAATGACAATTTCAACTGAGCTTGAAAAAGTGAGGGAGATTGCAGACAAGGAAGGAAGACAACAGATGGATAGCGCAGTAAAGTGATGACGATAGATGGGGGAGCTACCTTAGGCAGTCGAGCTGACGCCCGGAGAGCTCGGCTGACTAAGATTCGCGGTCACCCTCCAGGGCCGGAGGCGGAGGATGTTGACTATACAAGTGTTGTATATCCTTTAAATACAAACCTTTAGACAATTAAAAGGAAACAATTAGTTACTGTTCTATACTTACTCCCGAGGTCTACACATGTACTTCTGTCCAACCTGATTTGGTGCTCGTATTCGCTTCCAAAGGGTAGTAGAATGCTTCGCCTCAAAAAACTTATGGACCTCGTATAATAGATCTGCGCCCCCGGCATTACCTCCTTTTATTTGATAACCTTTGGATATTCAGGGTTTTCCTGGAAAATCTGATGTCTTCTCCGGATTCAAGTCGTGCTGGGTCAACGGCATCTGCGCCTCCCATTGACGACAATGGCTCTTCACGCGTGTATAATATCACCAACCGGCTCTTCCACCGACACTACGACATCAACTCGGCAGATGATCAGCCTCTGTTTTACGGCGAAATATCCATGTTCACTCCCAACAAGCCCGACCTTATTCTACACGCTGGTACAAGCACCCGGGCCCCAATTGTGGCCGTCTCCAAATTTTTGAAGTCATCCGGTGATTACAAGATAGGCATTGGGAACCCCGACGATGTGAACGCCGTCCAGTGGGAGGACATGACCAAGGAACTCATCCACAAACCAAAATACCGCTTCGAAATGACAGTCCAATGTGGATCTGATCAAACTCAGAGCGGGAGGCGGTCATTCCTGTGGAAGCGAACACGGACCCTGGGCGTTGAAAATTCAGCACCGTCTAAATGGACCGGCAGAAACTATAAGCTCGTGGATGAGCACACCGAGCAGGTTCTGGGCGTATTTTCAGGTTCGAGACTGGGCAGAGGTGGGAAACTTCAAATCAGAGTGGAATACGGAGAGGACTTTGATCGAATGGTGTTGGTTTCTTGTTTAAGTTTGTATGAGAAGGCGAGGCGGCGCAGACAGAGTTCATCCGGTGGTGGCGGCGGAGGTTGAAACAAGCATTGTTGCAATGTATGATCCACAAGTATGATAATATACACGAGTCCAAGGGTGCGCTATGTCAATTGAGAGGGTATCGTTGGTCCTCTTTCCAGGACTCTTTCTAGAGTCATTGGATATACCACCAGTATGTTTCTCCGAGACGGGCACATAGTCTTTGAGTTTGAACGAGGATAGAAGAGTCCTTTCTTGAATGTAGAGTACCAGAACGGAAGTTCCCTTGTTGGGCAGGCAACTACTGCGTCACTGAGTGTTTGAAGCATTCAGGTTATGTGCCGGAGCCACCCTTTCAGGTCATGGTTTTGAATTCCCGCATTTCCCTAAAGAATTGATGCACCGGAGGCCATTCAGCCCTGCCATTCGAGATCTGGCATACTATAGGGTTGGCTTTCTCGGTTTGGCTGCCGCTGAATGAATCCTCAGGCAGATCCAGTGACAAAATCAACCGAGCTTCGCTGGCCCGATGCCTTTTTCTCCTCCGATTGTTTACGGAAATCTTGTTGGGTTTTCAAGAGCTCTTCTTTGAAACCCCATTTGGGCAGATTGGCGGGATTCCATAAGTCGGCTGGTAGCGATGTGTCATATTGTGATTGATCATTGATCCCGGCATGTTCCATCATCTTCTTCAGCAAGCTTGGATTCTTGAGCGACGACGAGCTGGCCAGTTTTGCGTTGAAGTGTACGCCTTGCTTTTTGAGCAAGAGGAAATGCTCAAATTTCGCGTTCGCGGCTGGGTTGGGAGACCCGGGAGGTGATGGTGGTATGTCTAAATTGGGAATCGGGGGGAGAGTGAGGTCTTGAACAAGTCCTCGTGAAGCCGAAAATGGAGATGAGCGTCCGCTTGTCGAATGCTTGTCCTCCGAGAGGGGCGTCATGTCGACAGAAGCGGGGCCAAGGACAGGTCCTTCTGGGACTGAATCGGTGGCAATGTGAAAGCGTGTCTCTTTCGGTTGTTGGTGGGACGGTTTATGATCTGGATGAATTGTCAGCGACAACCCTTGAAGCTTACTGGTCCCCGGAGAATTAAGAGGCATGTTACCTTCGTTCCGGCCAGCTTGTGAGGTTGTAGGTGGAATATCCTTGTTACGCTGTTACTTCGGAATCAGCAGTTGTTTAGTGTTACTCTTTCGGGGCTCAAAATACCTGAGAATTGGGTGAAGGACCCTTGTGCTCTACCTCATCCCCACTGCTGCTTTCATAGTCACCAAGATTAAGCATCACGTCGCGGTTTGTGTCTAGGTATAAGCGATGAGACTGAAGAATATCGAGAAGACACTGGAATAAGACCCAGATATATGGAGAGTTTTATCTTTGGAATCAGAGTATGTCAAACCTAACGTCGAGGAATAAATGAGGTGCCGAGAGTAACTATCGAGACAGCCCTCCAGGGCTCCCCGAGAGCTTGGGTATTTCTTACCTAATCAGAAGGCAGCTACCGCATCGCGTCAGACACCCAGCTTCTTTGCTCTCCATCTTCCAGAACTCCCCAATCTCGAGAATCTTCTACATTCAACGCTTTAATCTTTTTTTATCAAGCTGCCGTTGTGATATTTTCTCCCGATCAAGCTCCATCTCCCAGAAAATGACGTCGCTCATGGGTAACCAGTCTGGGACTATCGGATACTCCTTCTCTGAGCCAACATCCGCTAATGTCAAACAACATTCGTTCTACCCGTAAGAAACAACTTGATCATACTGGGCAGGAACATTGGCTAACAGTTACACTAGTTACACCGATAATGGCGGTTCCACCCTCGGCATCACGGGTGCTGATTTCGCTATCCTCGCCGGCGACACTCGTTCCACATCAGGCTACAATATCAACTCCCGCATGGTCCCCAAAGTCTTCAAGATCGGCGGCGATGATGAGACCGGCGAGGGAGCTACTATCATTCTTTCCGTTGTTGGTTTCGCCGCGGATGGAAACGCTCTCAAGGAAAAGCTGGACACCGTGGTGAAGATGTACAAGTACCAACATGGGAAATCCATGTCAGTGGGAGCATGTGCACAGCGATTGTCGACCATCCTCTACGAGAAGCGATTCTTCCCGTACTACGTACATGCTATTTTGGCTGGTCTGGATGAGGAAGGCGTGGGAGCTTTGTACAGCTACGACCCGGTGGGTTCTTACGAGCGGGAACAGTGCCGTGCTGCCGGTGCGGCATCCAGCTTGATCATGCCTTTCCTGGACAACCAAGTCAACTCCAAGAACCAATACATCCCCGGAAGTGGAGAAGGACATGCCCTTGTGCCCAAAAAGGCTGAGGCTCTGGACAAGGAAACGGCCAAGAAGCTTGTACAGGATGCCTTTACAAGTGCCGTGGAGAGACATATCGAGGTTGGTGATGGTTTGCAAATGGTGATTGTTACCCGGGAAGGAATTGAGGAGGTGTTCCACGCCCTGAAGCAGGATTAGAGTATAGGACATGGTAGATCATGGCCTTCTTATCGGGCGCGGGGCTCTTTTCTGATCAGTTGATCACAAACATAATCGAGATGAATGAAATTTCCATGAATTGATATCTTTACGTTATACGTCGTCAAGCCTCTAAGGTCAAAAAAAAGAAGACTGCGTAAAAACCCGATGCACCTGAACGCCCACACCATGCCGGATAAGATAAATGAGTCGTGGAATCAGAAGCGTTCCTTCATACGCGAGGCGACGGTCCGAAGGTTGCCATAAACCTTGCCCTGTTTTGTGTTAGAAAAATTCCTTTGGTGATTTATACGATCAAGACTTACCGGAGGGCTACCCAAAATCAAGCTGACAATTGCCTCTCGGGCAATGTGAATGTTCTTGAATCCACCCAGAATGTGAATCTTCTGGTCTGCGAGTACCACTCGTGTCCGACTGGCGTTTTCGATCGCAAACTTGGTCTTTCCATCCTTGCCTGCAATACGTCCAATGGCACGACCAAGATGTTCTCCGTTCAGAGTCTTCACATCCTTGATCTCGAAAGTTTGGATGTACAGATCATCGAGTCGGAGAAGGGCAATGGCATCATCGAGATCGAAGCCAAGAGTGAAGGCCTTGACGAAATCAGCACCTTTTTGCAGAGCTCCCACATCGTTGGTAAACTTGGAGGTTCGCAATTCGACTGATCGGGTTTTGATGTTCATTCGCACTTGCAACTTGAGGTGCTCGACGATAGGAGGGCAGATCTTGGCCCAGCTCGCTTTGAGCGGGGTCATACGGTGCGGTGGGACAGGCACCTTTCGTGTTTCGATCCGATATGCCGTAGCGACGTCTTTGGCCGGGGTGAAGACGGGGCGACCTTCCTCGTCGATGCGCATTTCGCTGTCCTCCGCAGTCTCGGCGACGGGGTTAATCGGAGTGCCCTCGTTCATGGCTTGTACATCGATCAAAACTTCATCATCCTGATCCTGATCTATTGATTGTTAGCTAAGAAGAGGATTTTTGCAGATCAGATCGAGTACTAACCATGAGAGATGGTCTCAGGCTGAAACCCTAGGGCCTGCTCTGGCTGGCGAATAGCTGTAGGTGCCGACATTGTGTTGCTTAAAGAGTGAAGTTTTTTTTTCATAAAATCTGTTATCGCAAAATTTAATCAGTTCCCCCCTCACGGAAAAATGAAGTGTGGGCGGAAGGGAATTTTTTGATGCAAACATGACAAACTCCGATGATTTCATCCGGGTTCCTTGCAACTCTCGAAAGCTTGGAAGCATCTTGTCAACAAGTCAAGTGCTGTTCATGATACAGTGTGTCTGTCCTAATTTCTTGTCGGGTTTTTCATCCATGTCCAGGATGTAAAGACAAAGATGTCTGCCAATCTGGGACGCCGGCTGTACGCCCATATCTGGGATACAGCAAATCCGTTTCTTGGTCGCATACGAATAAATCGCGTATCGGTCCCCGACGCTTATAGCTCAAGATTATTCCTCGATTCATCTCTTTCAAATCACTCGCGACGCATCTCGACACTCCCAACGAAACCCACCCGTTTCACCAAAAGATTCGCTTCTGGTGGCTTCTTCGTCCTTGGCGTCTCGCCTACCTCGACTGCTGCGGACACTACTGCAGCATGCATCATCTCCTCTCCCAAAATTGCCGCCCAGTATGTCTGGAAGCGAACTTTACATACCTCGAACGACCATCGACGCGGGAAAGAAGCTTCTCAAGACACTCATGAACGCAACGAAAATGAACATACCCAGAAACTCGGCCAATCCGCCAAAGATACATCAACTACAGATTCACAACCCAAACCATCCCAAGATACTCAACATTCAGCAACAAACAATCGTCAATTAATGGATCGCTTATCACATATGCCTCACCTACATCGGCCAACCAAGGAGGAACTTTTGGCCGCAGCAACTGGGTTCTGGTCACGCCTCAAAGTACGATTCAAGTGGTTTTCTATAAGAAGTGTTCGTCCTTACAATTTGGATGAGATAGCAGCCCTGTTCTCGTGGGTTTTGCTGGGCCACATCGTCTGGGTCGTCGTGGGAACTACCACTTTCTTCTCGCTTCTGATCCTTGCGATCAACACAGTCTTTGCTCAAGGTACGTCCACTTTTTGTTGCAGTAAGGTCTGGATATTAATGTGCTTGAACAGAAACATTGGCAGGCTGGGTGGGCAACTATCTCACCAAGTCTTCTGGAGTCAAGGTTGTTTTTGAATCTGCAATCGTGCCCAAATGGAAAAATGGCGTCATCACCTTCAAGAATGTATTTGTGTCGAAGCGGCCAGGCCAAGGCACAGGTCATGTCAGTAAGGGCTCGCCAGGGTCTGCGGCAGCCGCAGCCGCAGCTCGGGGTGACACCGGATTCGAAGATTCCCAGGTAGTATCTGATGAAGAGGAAGATACTAACTACACACAATTTGATTTGTCGATCGAGACGGTCAACGTGACATTATCATTTACTAAGTGGCTTAATGGAAAGGGCCCACTTCATGATGTCGAGGTCAAAGGCATACGGGGTGTTGTCGACCGCCGCCATGTTTACTGGCCGGAGGAGGACTTGGATCCTAAATCCTACCGCCATGAGCATACTCCCGGTGACTTTGAGATCGACTCTTTCAAGATGCATGATCTGCTTGTCACCATTTACCAACCGGACAACTTCCGTCCCTTCTCCGTGAGCATATTCTCATGCGACCTCCCTCAGTTGCGGAAACAATGGCTCTTCTACGATTTCCTCTCCGCCAACATGATGTCTGGGTCTTACGACAACTCTTTGTTCACAATCCACGCTCGTCAAACCCATGGATTCACGGGTATCCGGCAGGGTAGCGCAGCAGAAGAAGATGGCAAGCGAAGCCCGTGGAAGAAACATAACAGGATTCGAGTCGACGGACTCAATGTCGACCATCTCAACCGCGGTGTTCAGGGCCCTTTCTCCTGGATTCACGAAGGGACTGTAGATATTGTGGCCGACATCATGTTACCTGCAGAAAACGATGAGAGCTTGGCCAAGGTGATGGTCGATTTCTATGATCGGTTGGAAACCACTGTTACCACTAATCGTTACCCGGAGCCTGTATCTTCGTCCTCCAGTCCAGAATCAGAGACTGAAGATCGACGTTTCCTCGCCATGGATATGCGCGTGCACCTCAACAACGTTCGGGCTGTCGTGCCTATCTTCACCCGGGACCTTTCTTACATCAACAACGCGCTGATCCGTCCCATCGTTGCCTATATCAACTCCAAGCGCACTTTTATTCCCGTCAATTGCCGCTTAGTCAAGCGCGTTGGAGATTTTGATGGAAGCTGGACCGTCTTTGACAGTGGCCTGATGGATGACCTGTCAGCTGCAGTGAGTACCCTTTCTTTGTGTCCTACAATACCCGATCATTGCTGATAATCTCTCCAGACCTACGACGCGTTTGCCCGAGATGTCGTGGATGACCAAGCCCGGAAAAGGCGGTTCAAGAAAGTCGGATTTTGGTCCCTTCAGTTGGCCGCCCAGGCTATTTTCATGGGCATGGCTGGAAACATCGCCTAATTGTACTATTCTGTACCTCGTTTGACTGGCTCTTTTTCTTTCTTTTTCATATTTGGTCTGTATTATAGTCATTGCGGTCGCATTTACAGGAGTCTAGGTCATTTTTCAAGATAGAATCCATCTCAACCCAACTAGGAAACAGAACTCAAACCAGTCCAACTGTGAGACGAGTTCCAGGTATTGCCCTGGACATTTGAAACATTCCAATCACCAACTTCCAATAGTTCTAGATCACTTTCATATCGCTCTGGTTCCACCCGCAGTTGTGCCGAATGCTGGGACGGCTTTGTACTACAAACTGTCTATATACATATCCTTGTCCCCTTTTATAGTGTTTGTAAAGGGCCATTATACGCAATACACTATTTAATACATATAAGAAAAGAAAAGAAAAGAAAGACTGAAAGAAAGAGAATATCATGGTCATGATACTAGGTACTTAGTAGGTACTCTTACTCTCTTAGGTAACTCCCTGGAGACGGGAGATTGAAAGGGATCAGTTCTGCATACCAGCACATCCTAAATGATCTTCCTCTCCTCTTCTCTTTTCTTCAAAAGTACTGAGATTGTTCCATCCAGTTTCTTTTATATTTATCTTATTTATTAGTTGTTATTATTCTTATTAGCTCGCCCCCTTTTTCCAACCCCACTTTACTTTCTTAAGCTCTCTCACCCTCTCGACTCCCATTCTCTGTGCCACCAGGGAGTACTTTTACCGTGATTCTCTTTCCAATCGGTGATCGGTTAACAAGACTCCTCTTTTTCCTCCCTGGCGCTTAAGCTTCAGCTTCCGGGGTTCCGCGCTTTTGCCCCCTGGGCCTTCGCCTCGTGTCGCCCCCCGAACGTGACCCCTCTGATGAGTCTCGATTCCTACAGCCATGTCGCAAGTCCCGCGAGAGAACGATGAAAGCTCGCAAACTTCGTCTCAGAATCAGTCCGGCTACCCCGTCAATAACGGCCTCATCCCGCGGGATTATTTAGCTCGATCTGATCAACGCCCCGGACCTGCTCCTGGTTCTCGACATATCACACCTTCCCCGTTACATACAAGTTCTTTACCTCAATCGTACCGTGTGGACGGGTCTACAGCATCCCAGAGTCCCCTATCTCCGAAATCCAACCCTTCTTCCTCCCAGAATCGGTCGCCAATCACTCGCGTGGCCAATGCACCATACCCTGCGCCACCCTTCAGCACTGGCCAGAGTCTGTCGCAATCGCCAGAAATGGTAGGAACGGAATCGGGGAATGTCAGCGGCCGACCTGGCGAAAGCAATATGCCGAAACCATCCCGTGCGCCAGAGCCCGATCGATCTGCCTCTTCCTCCGTCAGCTCTATACGCTCGATGCCGGGAGATCGCACACCCAATCGTGCCATGCCTCGCACCTCGTCGATTGACTCTGCTATTTCATCCCTGTCCTCCACCTCTCAGAGATCGGCCTTTGATGTCAATGCTCTGAGTTCAACTGACATTAACAATCTCATCAATGCCGCGGGATCAGCCGAGGCTGTGATCGTGCACCTGTTGAAAGAGAAATACCAAGCGGCCTCTCAGAATGCGCAACTTTGGAAATTGGTTGACAAACAAAGGACTTTAATCCTCGGCCTTAATAAGGATCTAGAGCGTGCTTTCCAAGAGAAGGAAAAATATCGCAAGAAGCTTAAAGATATACAAGACGCCCCCCCATTACCCGTCGCCGAGCCCTTGGCCTCTGTAGCCGCACCGAGCAGCGACAAAGAGAATGTGTCGCGCAAACCTGACCAGCCATCGATTGTCCCACCATCTGAAGCCTCTCGGCGGGGCTTCGAAAACACCACAAGCCCAGTCTCTGCCACAGATATCCCATCTCCAGTAGGAGACGGAAAGAGCAGGTTTCCGCACCCAAATCGCAAACCACCGCCTGCGCCTCTGAATCTACGACAAGCAGATAATAAAAGGGCATCCTCGGCTTCCGATTCCGATTCCGGTTCCGATTACGGCGATGCCCAGGATATAAATGGTATTCCGAGTGCGGGCCGTGGGCGGCGAAAGACAAGAGAGCAGGACGACCAGGACCGCGAAGCTGCGCTACAGATGGATATGATTGGGTCTACCGGTTCTGTGGGACCGCCTCAGGCAGAGTCCTCGCACACCTCCCGGGATACAGCAACGTGTAGCCCAGGAACGGTCCCAAGGGAGCTTTCTACGAGATCACCGCCGAATGTGGGTGATTCTAACTCACTGGGGTCGCTTTTAGGCTCGCGGCCCCCTCCCGCTTCGTCCTTTAATGGGCGCTCTATCGCTGCCATGCCCATGAGCCCTGGACTGCCTTTGAGCCCGAGACCAGAAGATAGACCTATTAATTCCCCCATGCCTCGCATGCCACGAGACATGTCTACTTCCATGGCAGCCGGGTATCAGGCTCCAGGATTGCCGCTCTCGCCAAGAATGGCCAACCACCCCACGGGCTTTGCTCCCATCCCTTCAGGACGTCCCAATGGTCCTATTCCATCAATTGATCCCACAGTCATGATTGACAGCCCGAGATCTGCAAATTTCCCCGACAATCAAATCTACCGAGGATTGATGTCCGATGAATACCAGGGCCTACTTTTGCCTCCGAATGCCCTTCCTCTGGTTCAAGTCAGAGTATCTTCGTCGCGGCTTCGTCCTTCTCGGAATAGCTATATGGTGTCCAGGCCCCTGGACGAGGAGCCTGTTTTTACCCTCAGTGTGATCCTTCGGTCAGAGATGTCAGAGCTATGGCGAGTTGAAAAGGTCATCGGTGCTTTGCCACAGCTGGATCAAAAAGTCCGACAAACTTCTCCGTTCTCCGGAAAGTTGCCGGATAGAAGTATTTTCAGCGGACACTCCCCCGCTAAGGTTGACTTGAGACGTGCCGCACTGAATGCGTACTTCGACAGACTTTTGGACACGCCAATGGACGAGAATGCCGCGCTAGCTCTCTGCCAATTTTTGACAAGTGATGCCATTGAGCCTCGAGACGACGAGACAAGTCTGCTGAAAGGTCTCACCCAGACCAGGCCCGATATGCCACGTGGACCAGACGGAAAACCTCAAAAGGAAGGTTACTTGACCAAACGAGGCAAGAATTTTGGTGGTTGGAAAGCGAGATATTTTGTTCTCGATGGACCCGAACTGAGATACTACGAATCTCCGGGTGGTCCGCACATGGGTACTATAAAACTTCACCATGCCCAGATCGGCAAGCAATCGCCAAAATCCACCGAGAATGCTTCACCTCCTGGGGGCGAGGAAGACTCTGACAACCAGTATCGCCATGCATTTTTGGTTTTGGAACCGAAGAAAAAGGATTCTTCGGCACTTGTCCGGCATGTTCTTTGCGCCGAGAGCGACGAGGAGCGCGATACATGGGTCGATGCTCTCATGGAATATGTTGAGAATGCTTCTTCCGAGAATGAGGGACGTGGCAGTGTATCTTCCAAAAGTCAGCCTCAGTCTCAAGATGAACTCCAATCGCAGCAAAAGCAACTACTCTCCGGAGCCGATGCCAAGTCTAAAATATTTAACAACGGAAGCAAGAGATCCGGCCGAGGAGTTGATAGTCCCGACCAGGATCTAGGAGGCTCTGTGCAGGGTTTCAGCTTTGAGGACGCAGTGCAAGCTGATCCTCCGACTATTGGTTCCACCCTTGAGCAAGCTCCCCGATCCCCACGACTTCCGGCGGCATTGTCGACAGAATTCAGGGACATGAACATGTCTTCTCCCGATCAACCAATGCAGTCTCCCAGACTGATATCTAGGCCCACAAACGGCACAGTCATCCAGGACGTGGAAGCCTGGGGAAACAAGGCAAAGACATCAACGAAAGAGAAGAAACGCAGTATCTGGGGTTTCCGCACCAGGTCCTCTTTCGATCTTGCCAACCAGGCCAGCAGCGATACATTAGTAGCAAGCAACAATGTTGAGAGGACAGGTCCTGTTAGGCCTGTATTCGGTATACCCTTGGCAGAGGCCGTACAAGATTGTGGACCGCCAGGCATTGATGTGGAGCTGCCAGCGGTGGTTTATCGCTGCATTGAATATCTCCATGCCAAGGAAGCAGCTTTGGAGGAAGGAATTTTCCGTCTAAGCGGTTCTAATGTGGTGATCAAAGCTTTGAAAGAACGTTTCAACACTGAAGGTGATGTTGATTTCGTGTCTGGAGATCAGTATTACGACATCCATGCTGTGGCTTCTCTCTTCAAGCAATACCTTCGAGAGCTTCCGACGACAGTCTTGACCCGGGAGCTTCATTTGGACTTCCTTCGCGTTCTCGGTATGTACACATTCGGTGTTATATTATTTTCTCCTGCTAACCAGACTGAAAAGAACTTGACGATCGCCAAAAGAAGGTCGCTGCCTTCAACTCTCTAGTGCATAGGTTGCCTAGGCCCAATCTCGCATTACTACGAGCTCTATCGCAGTTCTTGATCGAGATTGTGAACAATTCCGATGTGAACAAGATGACGGTCAGGAACGTGGGCATTGTCTTTGCCCCAACTCTCAATATTCCGGCGCCGGTATTCTCGATGTTCCTCACGGACTACGACAGCATCTTTGGCGATACTGATTCAAGCTTTGCCAAGCCGGCTACGGAACTGACTGTTGAAAACACACTCTCGCCCGATGATATTCGTTCACCACGTCATCAAATGTTCTCAGATCTCCCTACACCTTCGTACCAGCAGACTTCGTTCCGAAACACTGGTGATGTGAACGGTCCTTCCGAAGGCCCCAGAACACACTACGATACTGGTTTCACCCCAATGCAACCTAGCTATGACCAATCGACGTCGTCTAGACATGAGCAGTACAACCAACCTTCGGGTGCCGGCGCTTCGTATCATTCTTTGAATGGCATGTTGGGGACTAACTCGGAAGATACTCGCTCAGCAAAGACGAAGCGACGGGAGAGTTCAATGCTCTTTATGGATGGTAAGACCCAAGCACAAGAAGATTCTCAGAGCCTTTACTAATCTATACTGTCCATGAAGATCCTTCCTTCTACCAGGGCAAGTGAATTATAATTCGCTTCTCATTGGTCTTTTTTCCCAACGCCTTTCTGATTCTGGACTGTCCCAGTGGTCATGCCGCTCTTGTCCGGAAAAATTACGACTTGCACGACTGCAGAATGATGACTTAACCCACTTGGCAATCTCAGCCATCAAAGTCGCGAGGGAATGTTTTAATGATAATGGTAATCAAGATGCGATTGCACACCAAATTTGATGGGTTGTCCATCTTGGAGTTGAGAGTTCCCATGCCATGGTCAGCAACTTTTGACCGTCGTTATACCCCCTTCTTTCTTTTTCTTTCTCTTTTTTTTTCTCCTTATTCTTCGCCTTTTCATTTCTCTCCCCCATATTTCAGCACTTCCATCAGGACTCGATGTCCATATATCATTATCTGCTCTTATTTATCTGGAAATTTGGTGGTCCACGGTTACGCGATATGGAGGCTGGCACATTTTGCCGATTTATTTTTTTACAATTTACACGATTTGTGATGGCAGAATACAATTTCATTTCATCTATATGTAACATCAATTCCCGTGGCCTGGCTCACTCAGAATCGTTTTGTACTTTCTCCTCTCCAGAGACCCAAGAGTTCACCGGTCTCCCTGGTCCAATCTCGGGTGCCATCCACCAAGGCCTTTGCCATTCCCTTGTTCTTAGACTTGCCAACAGAGGGACCTAGGCCAGTGGGATTGGCACGTCCCCCGGTGACGTACTCAGAGCCCATGCTTGGCAACACGTTTTCCCCCGCGCTCAAACTAACAAACAGAGCAAATGGAACGAGCCAAACGCACAGCCCAAAGTATGAAGCCACTTCAGAGAAAGAGGGCATCTCGTCGTAATTGACTCCATACGGTTGACGCCAGTTGTTCGACGGAGGCAAAGGCTTCGAGAAATGGCGGAACCATAGCCAGTGGTTGAGACCAACTAGAAGGCAGGAGAGGAGGAAAAGAGGATCGGATAGTTTGACGATGGGGAATCGGCGCAGATTGCTGGCGTAGACCATGTGCGAACCAATGCTCAGTAGAGACAATGACACAGGGAAACGGTCAATTATCATAAGTAGGACTTGTATCGCGACGATGCCGTAGATCATACGGGTCAACACACGGCGGGCAAGAACCGTGTGTTCTTCCACGAGCTCGGATAGATAGTAGAGTCCCGAAGCTGGAGTTTCAAAGTCAGCTTTTTCATTGTTGTTAGGATTCCATGTCAACATACCTATGGCCAAGGTGAGAAAGGCAAACCCGACAACCACCCCGAAATATCCGACTAGCGGTAGAATCCACATGACGCCCAGTAAATACAGAGCTGTCGAGCGGTGATAAGTTGCAAAGTAATGCAGGAGGCAATCAGCCTCAGAGAGAGAGATTCGAGATGCAATCGGAGAAACGTGGACGTTTTGGGGTACGGATGCCTCAGGCAGCACCACCAAAAATAATTTAATGAATTTCTAAACTTCAACTTACAACGCAACTTGCACATTCAATACCACACACCATGTCACGCCCTGAAGATATCCTGTATGACCGCCTGACCCTTCTCCACAGATCTTAAAGAAGAAGGAAAAAAAACTAACCTCACATCTCGAAAACTCCAGCCCTCCGGACCTGTTCTACAACGACAATGAATCGCGAAAGTATACAAAGTCCTCGCGAATCCGCAACATCCAAGCCAGCATGACCAGTCGCGCACTGGAACTCCTCGACCTAAAATCCCCCTCCTTCATCCTCGACCTCGGCTGCGGCTCCGGACTCTCGGGCGAAATGCTGTCCGAAGTGTCACCCGAAGAAGGCGGCCCGCACACCTGGATCGGGATGGATATTTCACCTAGCATGCTGGACGTGGCTTTACAACGCGAAGTAGAAGGCGATCTATTCCTTGCCGACATAGGCCAGGGCGTACCCTTCCGACCGGGCACATTCGACGCCGCAATCAGCATCAGTGCAATCCAATGGCTGTGCAATGCGGAATCGAGCGACGTCAGTCCTGAAGGTCGTCTGCGACGCTTCTTCGAAGGTCTGTATGCCAGTCTTCGTCGGGGTGGACGTGCGGTGTGTCAGTTCTACCCGAAAAACGATGTCCAGCGGAGTATGATCAGTGGAGCTGCTATCAAAGCGGGCTTTGGTGCGGGTATCCTTGAAGATGACCCCGGGACTAAGAGCAGCAAGTTGTATCTGGTTCTGACTGTTGGTGGTGGTGGTCTGCCTGGTGATATTACTGGTGTTGTGAATGGCATGGATGATGTTAATGTCTTGGATGCGAGACGCAAGGCTACGGAGATCAATAATGCTCGTGCGCCGAGGAAGGGCGATAAGGCTTGGATTATGAACAAAAAGGAGCAGATGGCGAAGAAGGGCAAGGTCGTTAAGGCGAGCTCGAAATACACTGGCCGCAAACGACGAATCGCTTTCTGATTGAACTGCTTTTGTTTACGGGCACCGCCGGGCGTCTTTGGTGGATTCGATAAAAGAGAAACAAAAAAGGAGAAAAGCCTGGATGGAAAGAGTGTTCAAGTCATTCCCCCTCGAGTACATAACTTTCACCCATTCTGTCTGTGTATGCGCATTCCCTTGGGCGTTATCCATATGCCTGAATCGGAACCTGTTCACATAGTCATGTCGAGGGATGCTCATGGCTGTCACCTACATGTTCGACTCATCAAGTGAGTCGATTGTGAGGTGCCTGCTAGAGGCCTCGCAATGGGTTGGAGGTTTGAAGGTTGAGCTCTTTACCTTCTGGGCACCGTGATATGAAGTTGGCCCATTGAAGATTCATGGCCTTCTTTGATGTTTATACCCAACTATTAATGCAATGAATGTCCACGTTATGATCACAAAAGAAAAATTGTCTATTGCTATAACCGGGGAACGTTTCGAGCTAAATGGAAAGGAAAGATAATACATCAAATGAGGACCACACCGACCAATTCATGTGCAAAACACATTCCAAGAATCAGCAGGCAGCATCCTCAATCGTAGCGGTAGGTATATTGGAGCGCGCGGGATTCCAAAATTTACAGAGACGCCTCCATCTTGTCCAAAACAGCCCGGGTGAACTCGTGAGTGGTAGCCTGACCACCCATATCGCGGGTCATAGTGCGGCTAAAAGAAGAAAGTCAGCAACTCGGTCATTTTTCATAAGGGTATTGGTGTTCACTCACCCTTCACCGATAACATCGTAGACAGCCTTGGAAATGCGGTTGGCGTGGTCATCGAGACCAAGGTGGCGCAGGAGCATGGAGCCAGACAGGATCATAGCACTGGGGTTGGCCTGATCCTTGCCCTTGATGTCAAGACCGACGTGACGGCAGCCAGGCTCGAAGACAGCAACATCACGGCCCATGTTGCAACCGGGAACAACACCAGGTCCACCAACGAGGGCGGCGCCAACGTTGGACAGAATGCCACCGTAAAGGTTAGGCATGACCATAACGTCAAACTGCTGGGGACGGGACACAGCCTGCATGGAAGCGTTGTCCACAATCATGTCGTTCACCTCCAGGGTGGGGTAGTCCTCAGCGACCTTGTGGAATGTACTGCGGAAGAGACCATCGGCCAACTTCATGATGTTGGCCTTGTGAATGCAGGTAACCTTCTTGCGGTTGTTGGCAAGGGCGAAGCTGAAAGCGAACTTGGCGATACGCTCGGACTTGGCGCGGGTGATGATCTTCAGGGACTCGACAACGCCGTTAACGGACTGGTGCTCGAGGCCGGAGTACTCTCCCTCGGTGTTCTCACGGATGATGCAGAGGTCGACATTCTTGTGGCGAGTCTCGTAACCGGGGATGTTCTTGATCAGAGAGATGGAGGCGTAGATGTCCAGCTCCTGGCGCAGAGCAACGTTGAAGGACTGGTGGCCCGAGCGCTCAATAGGAGTGTGGAGGATACCCTTCAGACCGAGCTTGTTGCGCTTGAGGGAAGCCAGGGACTCGCGGAAAAGCTCCTCGGAGTGCTTGTTACCGGCGTCGACACCGCTAACATCGACCTGCTCCCACTCAATGGGAACGTTGTCGGCCTTGAAGATGGTCTTGACCGATTCGGCGACCTCAGCACCGATACCGTCACCTTGTCGAGTGTTAGTCCAGAGCATGCGCTATGGAAGCAGGGAAGGCGCAAAATATGTGAGGCATACCAGGGATGAGGGTCACGGTGTACTTGCCACCATACTTAGTGGGCTTGAAGATGTCCGACTGAACACTGGCGAAGGCTGCGCAAATTCGTTAGCGGGGGCGTATTTCGAGACTCGTCAGGGAAGATCAATTGGCGTACTTCTGGCGGGAATAGAGCGACCGAGAGATGAAGCTCCGGAAGCACTGCGGAGCAGAGTCTATAGTGAGCAAGGACAGGTTAGCTAAAGCCGCCTCCAACTTGCCTTGGGAAAGGACTGAAATCGCGGAAACACGGAAACCTGGAAAAAGCAAAAATGGGGAAAAACTTACCCGAGCAGGCTGTGCCGTTCTAGAGAACATTTTGGGATTGGAGATTGAAACAAAGGGGAAGAATCACAGATCACCAAAAGGAGAGGGGGTTGGAAAAGGGAATATGAAAACGGGAAAAAAAGGCTCCGGATGGGCTCGGCATTCAACATGTGGTTAGCGCCGGCCCGATCTTATCTCAAAGGATCACTGGACCTGGTGGACAACCCTGGAGACTATACAACTCAACACAATGAAACAATGAAACTCTCATTAACTCGGCAGTCTTATTCATTTACCCCTCAAAAGTACAATTTCTTTCGCCAATTCCTATTCACATCCTCTTCTGGTCCTCGAATGTCACACACCCTGAGCTCAGTGGTCAACTCGAACAAAAAAAGATATCCACGATCTTAACTAACATACTCTAGCTCAATTAACTTGGTTTACTAGCCTACTTATCTGTCAAAGCATTCGGGAGGATGGCTTGCCCTAGACCCTCTCTATACGAGACCTGAGTTCCTTATTGGAGTGGCAAGCTGGCATCCGTCAATAAGAACCCTATTGAGAACGGGCGATCTCGAACAGCACCTCTATTCGGGCTGATGTCGATCGACAAAGAACTCTATTCAGGACATCATGCCTCTATTCAGAGCAACGAGTTCTTCGAACCCATGCCCAACATGCTCTTCTCAATAAGGAGACTGCTATTGAACCAGTGATGATCCCTGATCTTCGCGAATATATAAACTTCATTGCAGTTCATCTTCTCGATCTTCTTTTCTCCAGACATCTCAATCATCGAGCTTTCTCAGCCTCTATCCTTCGTTCTTCAAAGTAACTTGCCAATTCCAAACCCCCGGTTTCTCCCTCAACCATCAAGATGAAGTTCACCTCCGTCGTCGTCGCCGTTCTCGCTGCTGGCACCGTCCAGGCCGCCGCTACCGCTAGAGGTCCCAGCGACACTCTCCCTAAGTGGTGTGGCCACATCGGTCAGGGCTGCAAGCGAACTGCTGATGCCTCCGTCGATGTCAAGCGCTCTGCTGATGCTCTCGCCGAGGCCATGGCCAAGAACTTGCCCCTTGTCCTTCAGAAGTGGTGTGGCCACATTGGCCAAGGCTGCTACAAAGCCAAGCGTGCCGCCGATGCCGCCGAGGAGGTCAAGCGTACCAGCGACGCTCTCGCTTATGCCATGGCTGCTCTCGAGGAGGATGACGAGTAAAGGCAAGCTACAGTTTTAGCTATACTATGCATGGAATCAATTGACTGACTTTTCCCAGTGTCTCCTTTACTTTGAATTCCGTGGTGCTGCATGTATCGATGGAGATTTCTCGATAGCTCTCTTTTCAATTACCGATATGCACACCATCGACTACTTTTTCGATATGAAAGTTTATGGAAGCCCAGTTGGCATATGATGGATTGCTTTATGCAAATGCCAATGGCGAACACTCTTTTATCTTCTCCGTTGGTCATGGCATTGATTTCTGGTCAAATCAACATTCGAATTGTGGGGTTTGATGGATCATTACTCAAAGAAATATGTATCTAGAATCGAAGAATTCCATCCCCTTTTGAACACATCATTTCAATTCGAAATCCCAAAAGCCCAAGATGTTCTGGTCAGCTCAGTGGCCGCTAGATTTGGCAGGTTTTCCTTAGGCTTGAGGGGCTTGAGAGGTTATAGTATCTAGCTGGTATGTTTCCTTTATACTGGTCGGGGTATATAGAGGCGAAGGGGCGGCATGGACAAAAACGATAGGGAAAGTAAATATATACAAAAGGAATTCGTTCCAATAGATCTACTCTGATGGAACTAATGGTGGTATACACCACAGCTAGGGTAATATCGTCTCATCTCTTCAAATTCACCATAGGTTGATTCCATCGGACCAGCTTTTGTCAGCTCCCACCATTGCTGACCTTGATACACCGGATCCTTTGAGCCAACATAGGTTTCACCAGTGGTGGGCTCTTTCGGGAGATGAGAGGCTTGATTGGCAACGTTCTCGTAGCCCGATACCATGTACGGTTCAGCATCAGCATAGGCATTTCCATCTGCACTGTCATCCATAGCAGAATCATGCATAGCAAAGTCGCCAGCAGCACTGGCTTCATTTCCAAACTGCGAGTAGAGCTGCCATGTTTGAATCAACCGTTCTCTCTGTTCTGCATCGGCGTTTTCAAAGAGCGCAAGCTGATCCGAAGTAAGGGCATTTGGATCAAGACCGTGATACCTCAGAACATCAGTGCTTGAAGGTTGGTCTGTGTGCTGGGCGACTCTGTGGGCCGAGTGGTGGTAGTGTTGGGTAATGCTGTATGCAATTTCTGGTGCTTGGGATGGTACGATGGTTTCTCTAGGGGCGGGAGGCAGCTGTGTCATACTCATTTGTCTATCAAATAGAGCTGAAAGTTCGTCTTGCACTTTCGAGTTGCTTTCGGAAGCAGACATGCCGCACTATATATATATATATACTCCTGGTCAGGTCCCTTGGAATAACAAGATAAGAACGAGCACAAGCTACCTGTTTACAGTGGGGGTTCTCGATAAATGCTGCAAGTGCATTTGAGATATCGGAGACGTGCCCGCAGTGCGGGCACTGATGTAGGATCGAGGAAGACATGGCGGGGTGGATTTCTGTATAGTTCAACAATATCGGAATGAATGGGAAAATGTCAAAACTCGATTCAAATGTTTGTTCTCTGTAAAACTGAATATGAGAAAGAATTTAGAGAGTGGACTCTTTTGTTTAGATCGAGGGGCAAAGATGCCCAAGTGCTTGTTCGGTTGGGCTGCAGTCCGAGGGGCCACTAGGAGATGTTTAAATGTTATACTGCATATTATGCCTAGAATATACCGTAATGAGCCCATAATATGCCAATAGTGTGTTCATGGTGTGTCCAGAATATGTTCAATACTATAAGGTACTTAAGTAGTACCCTCAAAGCTCGTAGAGAAGACATACAAACCAAAGTACCAATTAGGTATTTAATGGTCATGTGACTAGAAGCTCTGCCAGGCAACCCCGTGACGCGACAGCGTCACTGCTTAGTGCCTAGGAACCTCCGTTATCATCCCCAGAGCTTCCAACCTCACCTTACCTATCCACAGTCTCCCTCCAAACCGGCCATCCTCTTCCCTTATCTGTCCAATATACAGATTAACTCTTTCGATCGCCCGGCCTACCCACGGTGACGTCTATTGTTCTTGAACCTCACCGCATCGCATTGTCACCAAAATCATGGTCAGTCAGCTTCGGATCTCCACAATGTGCTATATTGTATCCCAATCAAGCTAACAGAGTGATTATCCAGACGTCAATCGGCACAGGCTACGATCTCTCCAACTCGGTGTTCTCGCCAGACGGCCGGAATTTCCAGGTAACCAAACACAACCCAGCTCATGGATGAGCCACAGCACCCAGCTTCACGCTGCTGACCATACCATCTAGGTCGAATATGCCGTCAAGGCAGTTGAGAACGGTGGCACTGCCATCGGCATCAGATGCAAGGATGGTGTAGTGTTGGCAGTGGAGAAGATCATCACGAGCAAGCTCCTAAAGCCAGGCGCGAACAAGAGAATCGCGTCAGTCGATCGCCATGTCGGAATTGTGAGACCCTGTTTCCGTTTTATCCATATCGCCTCTTTCCAACGCAATGCGTTTTCATCGAAACCATGCTATCAGGAAGACTTCGAAATACCCCGTTGCTAATCTGGCTTCTTTCTACCAATGCAGGTATCCGCTGGACTCGTCCCCGACGGTCGTCACTTCGTTTCCAGAGCTAGAGATGAGGCTTCCTCCTGGAGAGGCACATACAAAGGTCCTATTCCGATCTCTGCGCTGGCTAATCGCTTGGGTGGGTATGTGCAGGCGTACACGCTCTACTCCAGTGTACGGCCCTTCGGTGTAACTGCTATTGTCGGCGGGTGGGATACCGAGGCGGAGCTTCCAGTTGATGGACAGGTTGGCGATGGACCCAAGACTGGCTCCGGTGGAAAGGTCGAGGGTGCCAAGGCCGGAGGTCCTGGCCTATACATGATCGAGCCTAGTGGATTGTATTGGGTATGTTGTGACTGGCTGAACTCTGTGTATGTGGTTGGATATGCTGACAAGAATTTGTAGGGCTACTACGGTGCTGCTACTGGAAAGGGACGACAGGCCGCCAAAGCTGAACTCGAGAAACTAGACCTGACCTCGGGCAATCTGTCTTTGGCAGATGGTGTGAAGGAAGCTGCCCGCATTATCTATGTTGCCCATGAGGACAGCAAGGACAAGGACTTCGAGCTCGAGATGACGTGGATCAGCTCGGTCGATGGACCGACCAAGGGCCGCCATGAGGAAGTGCCCAAGGAGCTCCTCGAGGAAGCAGAGAAAGCAGCGAAGCGGGCTCTGGAAGGGGACGATGAAGAAGAGGAGGACAAGGGTCAAGGTGAACAGATGGAAGAGTGAACATGTAATAGATTATTCTCCCAAAGAATTATGGTTCTGTGAAGGTGTTTCCTTTCTTACTCCAACGAAAAACCATATACCAAGGACCAAGTCATTTAAGTTCCAAAAATCCACACCAAATATGTTAGAGGGTTCCAACGTAGCCCTCCTCAAAAGATACAACAGATATCTGCCAATTTACCGCAAGAATTACAAAATCTTGCCCTCAGCCCACTCCCTCCGCTTGAGACCCAACTCCACAGCAGCACTACCCCAGTCCTCACCGTGGTTGTGCATAGTACTATCTTTTCCAAGACCAGCCCGTTCCAATCCCTGCTCTTCCGTCAGAACGGTAAGCAATCCAAAGATGACAGGGACACCCGAATCAAGCTGCACGCGCATGAGCCCATGGCTGACCGCGTCAGCGATATATTCAAAGTGCATGGTAGCGCCCTTGATGAGGACGCCAATGGCGATAATAGCATCGAAGGGTTTCTTCGGGGTTGTGGGGTTGGCAGTGCTGGATACCTCGGCAGTGGGCGATGACAGGAGGTCAGCGGTGGCACTGACGCCCTGGACGGAGGAGTTGGCCTGGAGCTGGGAGGCGGCGTAGAGGCTGCGAAGGAGTGTTGGTTAAAGCTATTGAGGCAGATACAGTACACAGTCTACTGTATACTGGTAGACTGTATATTGTATGTCATATGTGATCTCATCACTCACCGTTGCACTGCGAGAGGCAGCTCGTAGCTGCCGGGAACTGTCTGGACTGTTATGTTCTCCGCCAGCACACCAGCTGCTAGCAGGTTCTTCTTCGCTCCTGATACCAGTTGTTCGATGATCACTGTGTTCCATCTGGCGTGGACGATCGCCACGCGGAGTCCAGAGCCTATTGTAAAATCGGTATTAGCTGGGGAGTCTCTCCAAGGGTTGGTGTTTGCTTTTACCATCGTGGGTCTGGGCAGCGCCGGGGCCTTTGATAGTAGTCATTTTTTGAGATAGAGGATTAGTCCGAGAAAAGAAAGATGATGTTGTTTCCTTGGGGATTGGGAGAATTGAGCTTGACACAAGTGTTTATGAATCAGAAGAGCTTGAGGGGCGAAATCCCTCGGTCCCGCATTTGGTGGGGGAAGGCGGAATGTCATCACCCACGGCAATTGAGCGCAATTGGCCTGGGATGGAGCTACGGTCAGTTCAGTTTATACAAGCTGGACACAGACTCTTTACGGTAAACAATACTACATGTAGTAGGCAATGAGTAATAAAAAAAACATAACGAGATTCCATTGTCCCGAAGGCTGAAAACACCTAAAGATAAAAAGATGACCGGATCATAAGAATCGTCTAACCTTGCCCTAAAGAAACATTTATTCGACAGTGACCGACTTGGCCAGGTTACGAGGGAAATCGACATTCAGTCCCTCGCCAACGGCAAGCCAGTAAGAGATAAGCTGCAATGGGATAACATTGAGCAGACCCTGAAGACAATCCACAGTCTTGGGCACGTTGATCTTCTCGGTCAGGGCATCCGAGAACTCGGGGTCATCATGGTTGCAGATGACAATGGGGCGACCACCACGAGCAATGACTTGCTGGTAGGCGTTCAAGGACTTGGTGAACAGGTTGTCACGGGTGAGAATCATGATAATGGGAAGGTTCTCGTCAACAAGAGCCAAAACACCGTGCTTCAATTCACCGGACATGACGGCTTCGCAGTGGAGGTATGAGATTTCCTTGATCTTAAGGGCACCCTCAAGGGCAGTGGGGAATTGAGCACCACGACCCAACAGCAGCAAGCTCTTCTGGTTCTTGAAGAACTTAGCACACAGCTCCTTGATCGGATCGTTGAGCTTCAAGATCTGCTTGAACTGCTCGGAGATCTGTCCAAGTCCCTCCATGATCTCCTCACGTCGCTCCTGCTTGGAGGCACGATCTTCACTCAGCGACAAAGCGAACATGACCATAGCCACAAACTGAGAAGTGTACGCCTTGGTCGAGGCCACACCGATCTCGGGGCCAGCGTTAATGTGCACACCGCAGTGGGTCAGGAGAGAGATGGAAGATCCGACAACGTTGACACAACCAACGGTCAGGGCGCCACGTTCCAGACAGTAGCGAAGAGCCATCAGGGAATCAGCGGTCTCTCCAGACTGAGAGACAAACACACAGGTGTCATCACGGAACACTGGGGCCTGTCGGTCAAGGAAGTCGGAGGCGAGCTCGACTGCGATAGGAATCTCAGTGAGCTCTTCGAAGATACCACGCACAGCCATGCATGAGTGGTAGCTAGTTCCACAGGCAATGAAGATGATTCGTCGGCAGCGACGGATAGTCGAGATGTACTGACGGAGACCACCGAGGGTAACCTTCTTGTTGGCGACATCCAGACGACCTCTCATAGTGTTGACGACAGACTCGGGCTGCTCGAAGATTTCCTTCTGCATGAAGTGATCGAACTTGCCCTTCATGATCTCCTGCAATTCGAGTTCAATGGTCTGGATGGCACGAACGTTGGAGGTGCCATCATCCTTGGTCAGACGGTGGATGTTGAGCTGTCCCTCGTGGATGTGGGCGATATCGTCATCCTCCAGGTAAAGCACCTTCTTGGTGTGCTCCACGATGGCAGATGGGTCAGAAGAAAGGAAGAACTCCACGGGCTGGGGGATGCCATCGTCGGACAGGAATGCCCGAGACTGGGAGCGGTGCAGCAGAGACTTGTCGGGAGGGGCAAGGAGGCTTGTGGCAGACTTCTTGGCTGCCGCATTCTGGGGAGGCCTGCTCCGCGGAAAGGACACCATCTTCCGAATATTCAACATCCACGAAATCCACCTTCATCTTCTTGGAGGTCTTCACACCGATGACCAGGGGGAACCCTTACGGGCCGCAATGACCTCATGGGGGTAGTGGACCGACTTGAGCAGCAAACCAAAGGCACCCTCAAGCTCTTTGATGACCGCCTTGGCCAGGACTGTGAATTCGATGTCGGGGTGTTGGTCGTAGAGGTACTTGGCGAGCTTGGCGATGCACTCGGTATCAGTCTCAGTCTCGAAGCGGAAGCCCTTGGTCTCCAGCAGAGCCTTCAATTCTTTATAGTTGGTGATGATACCGTTGTGAACGACGGCGAACTCCCAGTTGGGATCGGAACTATCAACACCAATTCAATTAGCTTCTGAATCTCTCTCAATGATCCGGGGATGATGTTTTCCGTCGACTTTGGGGGACTTACCGGTGGGGGTGGCAGTTTTGGCGGGAGGGGGTACCGTGAGTAGCCCAACGGGTGTGAGAGATACCAGCATGAGACTCAAAGGTCTTGGTCATGTCATATGTGCTCTGCTCAATGAGTTCCTTCAACTTGGCCACCTTGCCAACTTCCTTGAATGCACAGACTTCATTTTTCTTGTTGCCATCCACGGCCATACCAGCCGAGTCGTAGCCACGGTACTCCAATCTGGAGAGGCCTGGGGGAAATAACGGTGAGCAAAAGGTTAAAATCTTTGGGCAACTTTTAGCCACTCACCATTAAGCAGTGTGTCAATGATGAACCTGCGGTCCTTCTCCACGAGGTAGTTGATGTAGCCGAAAATTCCACTGAACAGACTGTGAGTATATCAACCATTGAGGAATGTAGACCAGAGCTTACCACATGATGGGCAAAAACGAAAAGTGAATGCAAAGAACAATGGTATTGAGAGAATAAAGATTGTAGAGAGAGGATTGTAAAGGGGAGGATTAAAAAGTAGCAGAGGAGGGGAGAAGAGATAGAAAGAAGCAAGGAAGGCACAGGTGTTTCGTATTTATAGAGGGGGGGCAAGAAACAGAGTAGGGTAGGGGGAGGGGCGGATTATTATTAGCTCTTTCACTTTGTGCAAGCTTTCATCCAATGAGGGGTGTGCTCGGACCAACTTTGGTTGTTAGGGGAATCGAATGTCTCACTTGGCACACATATTATTCTATTATTCTATCATTCTTATTTTCCTTTAACTTCAGAAAAAAAAAAAGATACCTATATTAAATAAATTTTACATCACAATGCTGTGGTGAATAGTGAATAGTACTAGTATCTAGGTAGTGTCAATAATAGTACAGAGTAAATAAATAATACATTTTTTATTTTCCTCCTTTTCTTGGCAACTTCAGTACTTGGTTGCCCAGACAGGTGTCATATATTGGTCTGATCTTCGCTAGGTTTCTATCTTGGCCAAATATATTCACGCTAAATCGGAGCTATCAGGCGAAACAAAAAAGTGGCGGAGCTCTTAAAAGTCCCCCCAAAAAAAACCATACGGGGGGGGAAATCTATAATTATATCTTTTAGTGGCCCGGCACATTCCTTAGTGGGAAGATCCCCTGAAAAAAAGGAACCTTGGAAAGGTTCGACAGACGTTCCACGCCTCTGCAGTTGCTATTTTAGCTCTTTTATACGAATTACCCCTGGACTCGGTATCGCCGACTGCATATACTATTGGTCCCTCGCAATTAATTGCCCGGCCCAAATATATTTTTTTGTCATTCATACACATAGTATGGGCTGAGGGGGACTACCCACCACGCTACCTTATTGTACGCCTTATATGGAGTAGTTTGATGTGGATAAGCTGAGATATATGGTTGATCTCTCTATATTGTATGTCAGCCTCATACAAGCTTCGATGGGAGAGAGAAAGCAGCAGGGCAAGTGCTGCGCTATAGCTAGTCACCTCGAATAATTTACTCCCCGGGGCGATAACCATTGTCATGTCCGTACATATGTACGTATCTGAGTTGCACATAACTAGATACATATATACATATGTATATTCCACACATACACCAGTTTTCAGGCCGCGCAAGATGGCTTTCCCTTTCCGCTTTAGTGCCCACCCTTTACCACTTTTGGTTGACTGAGTAAACCTTGGAAACTGCCCCAGGTGACCTCGGGACCCCTGAGTATTACATAAGCATTGAACTCGCCCGCGGGCTCACTATGAATGTATCCATGGATGTTGGTATCACGTGATACCTAGGTGATTACGTAGGCTGGATGACTCCCCGCCCGAAGCCGGGCGGGGGTGGGCAATACCTAAAAGTGCACCACGCTAGCCCTATCACGTGCAGCCCTTCTCTGCCCTATCGACCCATCACAAAAGGCCTGGCTTCATCAAAGTGATCATTCATCCTGGTAAACTGGCCATAATCAATTGGGCCACAATAGAGCCTGCTACTTGACCACAAAATCAGCATACCGTTCTATGCTAGATGCTCCTAGGAATACTTTGTCTACTCGTTCCCACGATTCCTTATTAGGCTTTAGAGGACTACCGGTGCCAGGGGAATTGGATGAGTCTACTAGGAGTTTTACAGTATGTCCTGGGATAGCGTTTACCAGAGAAAGATCATCAAAATGTATTGCTTGTCTTGCGACCGTTCGACCTTCATTAACTAAATACACATTAATATTAACGTAAAAAGTGCGTAGTACCGATATAAACATCCGTAACAATATGTCGTAGTAGACATTAAACATCCGGTTGCCGATTAAACGGCGACTGGGACTCAGATCATTGCCTCGCCATGGTGACATGACGGGTGAAGCGGACCAACGGCCAAGCTTGGAAAACATCAAGGGGACTTCAAACTGTGCCGTCAGTCTTGGCGTTGTGCACCTCGGGTTTCTCCTCGGGATAATCCGTGTCTGTCCAGGTCTCCCAGAAACAGGCACCCTTCTTGAGTGAAGTGACAGTCTCCCAAATCAGAGTAAACACGAAAAGGGCCATGATGATCGACACCTCAGTTGCATTCAGCTCGTGAGCCAGGGGCAAAAGAATGGTGATGATCCCGACCACAAGGCGCATGATGAGTCGGAAAGGCTAGAACAAACATTAGAAACCGGCGTGGTGGGGGTTGGAGTAGGAAACAAAGGGGTGTTAATATACCTTATTTAAGACTAAAGTCCCCGACTCGTCATTGGACTTGTGCAGCAGGGCAAACACATACAACAAGATCATACCTGTACCCAGACCACCACAAAGGAGCCACCTCTGTGGATCTTCAAACTCTTTCTCCGCGACTGACTGTGCTGCGACGTGGCCACCGGCCAGCAGACTGGCAATGAGTGGTAGATGAATCAAGGCCCAGGGAAAAGCAGTATACACCGAGTGACGCAGGGGGTGGATGGTATCCAATGCACCATCAGCGTGAGTATATAGCCAATTCAAACAGAATGCAATGACCAGTGTCCAAACAGCTCTTAGAAGCCGCTCGTTCATTCCGACTGCAGCATAAGAGCCCACGATAATCAAATAAAGGAACTCGCCCAGCGCGATGATGTAGAATGCACCGAACCGATCAATTTCGTGGGCGACATCCACTGCCGTTGACCACTTGGTGCGAAGAAGTTTCTTAGCAGCCGGAGAGTAGCACAGAATCCAGACCATGATTTCAACCGATATGGCGACAGCAGCTGCCGCGATCTTGGCACGGATCGAGACCGACTCGAAGTATAGTGGGATGTAAATACACAGTGCCAGAGTAGAAAGGACAACCCAGAGGCGTTGCTGCGGACGGTGGTGGTAGCTGGCAAAGGAGTATAGCAGGTGGGCTAGGTTGCATGAGACTCGCGCGACCATGTACGATCCCACGGCAGAGCGCATGGCGCCAATGTCTTCGTCGACGAGTGGGGCGTTGTTGCCGTATACGACCAGTACGGCCATGAGCCACAGGATCAGGATGCGCTGTAGGAGATCATCGGTGTAGAATGCGTTCATCAACTCGCGCAGATCGCTCCACACATTCCATGACGGGGCCAGGATTAGCTGTGAGTGTGTTAGTCTTGTCGCGTCTGTAAGTGGATGTGATAGTGGACGCGATAGTGAAAAAGTGGCCAAATTACAATGTACTTGACCAGTTTAGCACCTGAGATGTCTTCAGCAAGGGTATCGGCGAAGTTGGACAGGATCGCGACATAGAGAAGGTCGAGGAATAGCTCGAATCGCCCAGCTTGTCGCTCACCATCCTGACGGCGCATCAATTTTCCACCCTCGAACCATTGCAGTGCGCGTGGCTGACTGAATAAGAAGCGAGGATTTGATTGATGATTTTCTGTGTCCGACATGGTTACAAAGTACCTAGGTAAAGTCGCGGCAAGGAGATTGCCCAGGTGAAAGCTTAACCCAATCTAGTCAACCGATCTTTCAGCCCCACCGTTCGTCTCCAAATCACATCTCACAATTTTCCAAGGTTCCAAGGTTGGTAAATATGTGTATGATATCATGAATTATAACTAGGTATTTCCAATGTTCGTTCGGAGTACTAATTCTCTAATTCTCTTAATTCGAAATATCCACAATGAGAATTTCCGAACAATATATAATGCTTAACAGCTAGGGAATACAGTATACATAAAATGCAATGCCCTCTCCCGTCTTATATTATGTTATTGGTCCATACGAGAATTACTAATACTAAGGTCAAAAGAGACTCAGAGGTGGCGTCCACTGGACCACAATAGCATATCAGAGCCGGATCTATGGATGGACGCGGGGTAATGGACCTCATAATGACCTAAATGACACCTACTGATCAGCTGATCAGTAGGGCTTCGCTTCTTTCTTGTGTGTTTTAAATCGATGACTTGAACATATCATACCTGGAACTATACTATCATCGAAGGAGAAACCAAATACTATAGTCACTTCAGTTATAACCCTCAACAACCATGCCCTTTGGTGCTATCATCCGACCTGGAGTTATCAGGCCTTTCTCTCTTATTCGGATTAGTCCCATTTCATGGGCTTGCTATCACAAAGTCCCATCTAATTCTACGAACGGGAGTCTTCCCATCTACGTTGCTCCCTCATTCCCTGATGATTTCGAATCATCGCCTTTAGCCTCGGAAGGTGCAAAGATAGGAAAAGAAATCCCTAAATGGGATGAAAGCCAAGCTACTTTTAGTGAGGCGGCGGTATTTACCTCCCTCCCTATTAACCCCAATCACTAGGGGATTCATTGTTTGGATTATCATCAATACAAGAGCGCTTCCACTGATACGTTTTCATTTTTAGGTCAAGGCTGATCGAGGTGATGTTAACTTGAACCCAAAGCCTCGAACCAAGACCCCGACGACGGAAGATAGGGTGCCCGAATTGGATGAAATGTGATTTTGCAGCAGGGTTTTGTCAAGTCACTCGATACATACCTGCTTTGTCTATACACCGCAGTCTTGCGGAAATGGCCTTTTGTTAACCTCTTCGCCTTCAACGTTTAATATGTCTCGCTGATTTTCGGGAAAGTGACTCCAAAGTCCAGATTGAACGAACTTGATTATTTAATAAATTTATTTAATACTATGTCTAGTACCTCCTTACCTTATTCTACCCGCTGTACGATTCGTCTAGGTATGCCGTTTGTCTTCCATCTATGCGTTGCATATATGTGTCTTTAATTTCATGGTCATGGCTATTGGTATCGACACAATGCAAGTACTTCCTACTATTCCGGGCCAAAAGGTACCATGTTTCTACATTAATGAATTCGGGCAGCGAGAGTCCGCACATTGGTAACAACTATTGGCATGGTCCCTATGGCCTCGGGACAATTTGACCCCTAATACAAGGCTACATAAGGCTTTTCTTGATCACTATATTTGGGTCAATCGGGAGGTATTCATCTAACCAGCTTTGATTTGAGGGTCTGAAGGAAGTCAAGGGGCTGGCTAGGGATCTGGGCAATTGATGGAGGATGTGATTGGGCTCCTCTCTCTTCGCCCGCAGACTTTGGCCCAGACTTCAACCCACACTTCTGCGCAAGCGTAAAACGACGACGGGGGTCCAAGCAGATCCATACTGCTTTCCCTTTGCACCTCGGGACGATCGGGCGATGTTGTCGCCCTAAAGTACAGCCGCACTTCGCCCACAATTCCCAAGAGCCTCACTTCCCTTTTCTTTCTTTTTCTTTCTTGTTTTGGAGCTCAGCCACCTTTATGTCTATGCCAATAGTCGCATGGCCTCACTGGGAGCAAACTATTGAAGCGTACAACAAACATATGAAAAGGGATCCCCTGCAGGACGTGTTTGCCTGTGGGTATTTGCCCATAGCCATTGTGATTGCGACTTCAATGGGAGCTGTCATGTTTACTTGTTTGATTGTTTTAAATTTCCGGCGGTTTGAATCAGCGATGCCCGTGGCGGGTAGCTGCAGCTTTTGTCATCCGGGATTCAACCCTAATGTGGATAATACAGGGCCTGAACCTGTAGAGGGGATGGAATCTGAAGACGAGGGGGAGAATATGGCTTTATTGCCCCTTCAATGGGGGTCGATTTCGATCGATGGTCCTATAGGGCACTGTTGCTTTACTTCTGGGGACGTCGATCCTCCCGAAAAGGGCCAAAAATACCAATAACACTTTTGAACTATATCTTTAATAAAGATGCTTTACTTTAAATTAATCTAAGCTATCTAAAGATCATATTCTGGCTTTTCGGTGTTGAACGCTCGATTTCTGTTCTAGTCGGGGTGGCTGATATATATATCGAACTTTCCCCTAGGTACATATGTAGTCTTTCACTAACACTCGTTGTCCCCTTAACAAAGGGCTGGCATCATTAATCCCAGCCGAGGAAGCTTTTGGCTCACTGCGCTGATTCCTGCAATTCCTCGAGATCTATCTGATAAAATTCACCAGATAAGTACTTAGGTACGTAGCTGGAATTTGTGAGCCTTGGCACTGAGCTATATAATCCCGTTTTTGGTATACATGCACTTATACTCAGTCGTAGCGTGCAGATATGATCCACACTCCGTTGGCTTGAGATGAGGTGGACAAGGTACACTTTAGGTTTAGGGGCGCAGGTACCCCGTGAAGTCCTGCAAAACTCGACCAACTCTGTCGTCTCTTTCGGTGAGACATTGAAACCCTTGACCCGTTATCACGCGAGTTTATAGTAGTACCTCGGCTGCTTATAAACCGCTCTACCCTGCAATTATTCCTCTCAGAACTTCACCTGTGGTGGAACATAGCTGGCGGAGTTAATTCCACGCACGGTCCAGGTCACCCACCCCACAAGCCGCCATTTAACCCCCGAGTGATCTCGTATGGATGACCCACCGCCTCCCCCCAAATTACCCAGCATCCCCACAAACAGCCACTACATATTAGAGGCTTGAATAGAGTGGTTGTTGTCTATCTAGAGATCTTGCATGGAGCCGCTATGACAAATGTGGAGGAATCGCAGTTGTCTGCTCGTCGTCGGAGAAGGTGGGCACCCAAGCTCAAATCTGGGTGTATGACCTGCAAGTAAGATATCTTTTTCAAATACCAGAAGCACTCGCTGACTCCTCCACAGAATTCGCAGAGTTAAATGCGATGAAGAAAAGCCTCATTGTCGGCGATGTGTCGCGACAGGTCGGAAATGTGACGGATATGCTCACCCGCCTTTCGCAGTAGAGGTTTCCAGATCATGCCACGACAATAATTCGTATCGACAGCAACTTGTCAAGGTAAGTAGTTCACACGAACCCATGAACTATCCGTGGATGATATAATCACACTGAATAGTGCGACCTCGTCGGTCCTGGAAGTTTATCTCCTTTGTTTGGGAATCACCCCCTGGACGAAGTGACAATCCCATATTCGCATCTTTCAGAGCGAACTGATGGATTTCCCCTACTGTCTGGACGGAAATTTCCCCTACTATACCCCCTGGCTGAATCGTGGAATACCCACTTCATGCCATTCGTCATAAATAGGTTCAAACAACCATTTGAAATGGCCAAAAGCATCTACAAGACTGTGCCCGATGTCCTTTCCAAAGCGGAGGAGCAGTCTGCTCTGTATCAGGCCTGCAACGCCGTCGCATGCGCTTATATGGCCAGCATTACCCGGACTTCGAAGGCAGCCTCGGATCGAACCAAAGCATACGGATTTGCGCTTATGGCCACCCGTTCGGCCATCCAGAATCCTCAGCGATGCAAAAGCGACAATACGTTATTAGCCGTATGGCTGCTAGGATTATACGAGGTAAGATTCGATGTAGCCATTGGCGAGTACCGACTCTGCTGACATTCGAATTAAGCTCCTCTTGGGCGTACGAAATGGCACTGAGCCAGTCGCGACTCCTGGATGGCAGATCCACAACCAGGTGTTGTCAAAGTTGATTTGCGTGCGTGGCTCGGAACAGTTTACTACCCGGAGAGGGCGGAATCTTTTTTTTGCGATCTTTACTAACATTGTAAGTTAGCTTTCATATAATGTCTTCATGACTAACAGCAGTGTACCAGGAAACCCAAGCATTCATGTCTGGCCAAGAATGTACAGAGGCATTGACATGGTTTCTTCAGTTCCATAAATATTGCGAACCGTCAGAATACCCAATACTCCGGGCATTTATTTTTTCGCACCACTGTGCCCGCGTCTGCAGCCGCATTCGCGCTCTAGTTGATAGAGGTGACCTCAACGAGGTGCTGTCCAGCTCTCCGTCCATCCTACAAGACATGGAAGAAGTGGAACAAGCAATTCATCCCTTGTCCCACGAGGAAGCGGTGGCAAGCTATGTGGTAGATCCCCCAATGACTCCGTACGCTCGACCGAAGCAGGCATACCCCTGTTATGTCGGTGTCCACATCATCCAAAGCAACTTCCGCATCCGCCTCTCATACGCAGTCTTGGAATTCTTGGGGTATGCATGTAAGGCCCCGGGTTGTACGCCTCAGCAGAGAATGGTTTTTAAGCGGTACCAGAATCGCTGCGTCGAGGAGATCGAAGCTCTTATGGATAAAGTCTCACGTATCATGGAGATGCTGCCTGATGTGAGGTCTGATGTGAGGTCTGATGACCTCCTCAATCGGAGGAAAGACGTAGCGGATGAACTGGACGGCAAATATCTCCGCACTGGAGAGTCAGCAGACTCAGTACAAGCTCCGTTCAAAGAACCACGCGAGCGATCTACCCGAACTGTGAGGGTTTCTTTTGACCTTCAAGAGCCAATAGATGGGAAATCCACTCTACTATTCAATCACACTGACTGTGGAATGTCCATTCTCCGGTTTTGGTTCGTGAATGATACAGAAACACAATAGAGACAGGCAAGAACTCGCCCCAATCGAACATCTTTATTGCATTTGGTCTTCCCCACCATGCAGGCCTCCACCCTAGCGGTCTGTTCGGAGCGACATGAAAGGAGCCCGGACCATGACATGTCATATCAACAACATCTGGCCTGCAGGACGTCATCGGCAGACATTGTGTCAGATACCAGAAATAGTATTCTGTCCCATCAATGGACGCTTTGACTGGGAATCATTCAATCGAGGATGCCTGGATTCAATAGACTCTGTTTGAAGCAATTTCTGAATTGAAGCCTCGTTATGAGCCAAGTATCTCTGGTTTGTTTAGGATAAAAGCAGGCATTCATGTTGAAGATTATGTCCGTGATCATCCTCGGAATAATCTCTCATATATTGTTCTAAAACTGCGTGGCATATTGACACAGCACAAAGAATATACACAATCAGCAGATGCGGCACCAGTGTTTTCTCACTCCATCTCATGGGTATTGTGTGGAGCTGATAACTCTGCTCGTGCACTCTTCGCTGGGAGTTCTCCAACTTGCTTCTTCGCTGAAAGTTCTCCAAATTGAGCATTCTGCACTGGTAGAGATGCGTGATGCCCTGAGTCATCTAATGTCCCTTCTGTTGGGTTCCGGTACGCGGGATCTGCATTGCTCTTACGCCTGCGACTGACGAGCCAAAATGCCGCTGCCGCAACAAAAGCCAAGCCAACCACGCCGCCAATCACCGGGCCCGCGATCCAGGCCTTCGAGGACGAGTGATGTTCCGAGGTTGTTTCGGCAGTTGTAGTTGGCGTGGATGTTGACGTCGCTGTATGGCCAGGAGACGCATTCGTGGCAGCAGTTTCGACGGGAAGGTTCTCCAAGCCCGAGGGCACCGCCAAGGTGTTGTACTTCAAGTTCATCGAGGATATGGAGGCGGCCGTGGTAAACACTGAGGTGAAGTTTTTCGTGCCACTGGTGATCCATGTGCTGGTTGAGAAGTAGCAAGAGGCACCGAGTGTAGACCCGGTCATGTTGCAGTCCAAATTCCCAGTGACGATAAAGATAGTGTTGTTCCAAAAGCTGGTGATATCGTAATGATAGTCCTGGAATGATGGGCCAGCAGTGAGAGTTATGGGCAAGAGATAACCGGAAGAGGAACATATGCTGGTCGCACTAGATCGGCAGTCAATCTTAATCGTGGTGACTGTGGCATCGGCGCTTATGACACTTCCTTCCACGTTGTTTAAGTCCAGCTCGTGCAGGGCCGGGAAGAGAATGTCGACGTTTGTCGACTGCGGCGTTATGGCCGTTGTGACCGCTGCCATAAGTGTCATTGAGGCCATGGCCAGGACCATACTGATAATACTGGTATTGTGAAGGGTCATCTTGTCATGACGAGGAAGAACAATAGAGGATATTTGACGTCGCAGTCTACAGCACACAAAGTAGGGATTGATCTTTTAAATAACAGCAAAAATGATCAGTCCTAGCGCAAGGGTCCACCATGGCTCGTTGAGCTTGTCAGTGCTTGGTTAGTGTGAGGAGAGAGAACGGTAATGAGAAGTCGATCAACATTATGATTGGATCACAGCAGCAGTAAGTGGGAGGTAAAAGCCTTCACCAATCTTAACATGTGGTTGATCATCCTACGGATGTAAAACGCTAGAAGCCCAAGGAAATGTCGGTACAAAAAGGTCTATACTATCCACAATGAAGCAAAAAGCAGTCAGATTAAAAACAATCTACAGACAATTCTCCCATCCCTCAAATTGGAAATTAAAATTGTTTACATTAGGCCGCCATCTCATAGGGTTTAGAGTGGATCCAACAGGGGACGGGCTGGCGATGAGGGACGTGCAACCTCACGGCTGAGTTTGGGGGCTTGGGGGCTTAGGGGCTTAAGTTGAACGCAACTACAGTTAGTATTTGGAATTGTCTGTGTTTATTTGTCCAAATATTTCCCCCTCTACCCCTAAAGCCCCGAACGTACCCTAGTGATTAAATTGAAAACATAAACTTCCCTTGGCTTTGTAGCTAAACTTTTTTTGGGATATTAAAGGCAGATCAACGCTGTCTGATACTGAGCCGAGGTGCATAAAGGTGACTGTAGGCCACTTTGATAGGCTCGCTCGTTCCTACACTTTCATCGTATTTACTTTGTTGATTTCATGGCATAACTAGAGGGGTATAGTCACATGTATTCCTACATGTATATTCTTCCTAGTTATAACTTCCAACTTGAGATACATTCAAGTATACATATAGAGGGATTTGAGAACCCAACAATCTTCAGAATTCTCATATATCGGGAAGCAGTGTGCTGATTTGAACATCTCGGCGAGGGGATCGTCGGCCTGACCAAGACGATTATCAAGATTGGGGCATTTGACCTCAGATTCACGTCCACAGGTATTGGTTTTATTATATCAGCAGTACTGGTGATTGGAGGAACCGCGACTTGTTGGATACTGAAGCAGATGTACTAATATCTAGACCAGTATCTTGTATATCAACTATATTTTGATATCCACCAGCAGTTGTGGTCTTTACTCCACTTTCCTTTCCATCTGGCCCTTGCTCTTATGATGGAAGGGACAAACCAGATCCTATTGTTATTATCACACAGACATGGCCATTCAATTATGAGGTATATCAGTATCGGCGCCAATATTCTCGTCGTCCTGGCTATTACACTGCTAAGCACTATGGTCCTAACCGATGCGGCAGGGGACCTAGGACATAGGTACAACGCCCCGGATATTTCCAGCCTTAGCATTGATATTGCTAACTCGTATGTTAATCTTACTCGGGGCGGATATTTTGATATGATGCTAATGTGATTCTAGTGTTTGGCTATCATCACTCTAAGCAGAACGAGGATAGATCACTCTGAAGAAGCTTCCGCCTCCGAGGATATAAACACTCGAATGCGTATGTAAGGGGAAGGAAATGTATCAGATGTGAGGACGATGAGTATTATTAGTAGAATATGTACGGAGTATAAGAGTCGTGAATAAAGATTTCTGTATTCAACCTCGATCAAATATATTCCAACTTCACTGATATTACGCAAAGTATGTGGCCTGGGGCCCCGGGGTTCCACGGGTCCCGCTGTGAGATACTCAGTGAGCAGCCCTAATGGACCCTGAGCACCCTCATAAAGCGGCGGCAAAATGCGATACATAGAGCGATATACTATATATTGTTCAAATGTTGTATATATATATCAGACTAACCATTCAATGGATGGTTTTTGGGCTTTGTTCTTTTGTTCTTAGTATAACCTATTGATGGGATCAATCCCAAGGCCACTACTAACAATCATCTCTAATAGTTAGCAATAAAATAATTCAAGGTTAAATTGATTTTCCCCAGCGAGGGCCCAAAGATACTTACTAGGTACCTCAACGGTAGGCGTTGTTTTAGTGAACGATTAAGTCGCGGTGAGGTCACTGTGGTCCCTTTCAGGGCAAAAAAAAAAAAAAAAAAAAAAAGATTGCTGAATCATTCAAAGTTACTGAACGGCCCCGGGGAACTTGAACTTGAACTTCATCACTTCATACCTAATTATATTCCACGCTCTTCACGGTTCCTTTTCCTTTCTTTCCTTATAGGAGTTCATATCCCTTGAAAGCGTGAAGTTCCAAACTCCCGCGTCCCCACCATTCCACTTCCTTCCGCTCGATCGCGTCTTAGCCTCCTGCAAACTCTTGAATTGCGCGTAACGGCACCTCCGCAGATTCAACAGCTCCTGGATATCGCATTTCACTCCTCCTTTTTCTTCTCATCTCTTTTGTTTTCTCATCTCTTCCTTGACACCGACACTCCTGTATAAGCCCCTTCATCTCAATTTCCTCAATTCTGCCGTGCCGGGACCTTCTCGGTCGCATGTGTTCGCAATAGCCGGATCACCACTGTCAAGGATGCTGCCTTCTGATCGCGCCACGGTTTCTGGCGTGTAGCCAACCTCTCACCATGTCACGCGCCTCGGCTGGCTTTGCAGACTTCTTCCCCACCGCCCCATCAGTCCTTCAACAGAAGCGCTTCAAAACAGCGCAGGAACGACGGAAATTACATGTCGAGGGTGATCAAATTTCTGAAAGGGTCCCGGATCGTCCAGTGTCTCTTGCCCCGAGCACACCCGCGACCGTTGAGACGCCTCTCAAACCCGATACAGACGAGGGAGGACCTCGCACTCCATCGGTCCCCAACGAGCTTGAATTGACCATTTCCGCCAAGGCGAAAAGCGTGGAGGATAGGACTGGGCTACCTCCACCCACGACAAATCATGTCCCATCACAAATCGATACACTGACACCGCTCACTAATGCGGAGTCATCACCCCCTTGCAAATTAACTAGTCCATCACACCCAAAGATAGCAGGCGGAGGTTCTCCGGATACTTCTTCCAGGCCGAATCCTGAAATCACCAAATCTTCCATCACTCCAATCCACACCCCTCCGACCCCTCAGTCGCAAACCCGACACCTCGAGCTCCGTGTGAGAGGCTGTAAGGTTGTCTACGACCCCGATCTGGACAAGCGGACCTCGTCAAAGGAAAAACGGAAAAAGCTCGAGTATGTGGACATCGTGAATAATGGCCAAACCGATCCACCACCCGATCCTCGTCGTGCGATTGCCAATTATACCCGTGGATCCGGCTGCAAGCAGAAGACAAAATACCGACCCGCGCCTTACAATTTGAAGCCATGGTCCTACGACGTGGCAACGAGCATTGGTCCCGGGCCTCCGATCCAGGTCGTGGTGACGGGATTCGACCCTCTGACCCCGATTGCCCCGATCAGCGCGCTTTTCTCGAGCTTTGGAGATGTGGCCGAAATCAAAAACCGCACAGACCCCATCACCGGCCGGTTTCTGGGGATTTGCTCCATCAAATACAAAGATAGCACCTCAGGCCGGGGAAATGGCCCAGCGTCAGCATCTAGCGCAGCCCGACGTGCATACTTCGAATGCAAAAAAGAACAACGCATTGGCACACGCAGGATTAGGGTCGAGCTGGACCGCGACGGGGTTGTCTCAGATCGAATGGCCGCGAAAGCAGTCGAGTCCCAGCGCCAGGCTTCCAAAATTACCCTTCCGCCCGCAATTGAACCGAGACCGGATGTCCAAATCAAGAAAAGCGAACCACCACCGACTGCGCCCAAAGGTCCCTCGGGCAGATCATCCTTACGGCCGGGTGTCGTTATCCCAGAAGGTCCTAGGGCCGGTGTCCGATCCCCTGTTGTACAATCATTGGTCGAAGAAACTCCTATTTTGAGTCAGATCAAACGCGAGCCATACATTTTCATTGCGCATTGTTATGTCCCGGTTCTCAGCACAACGGTTCCGCACTTGAGGAAGAGACTCCGGCTCTTTTCATATAAGCATATTCGTTGTGACAAAACCGGCTACTATGTCATCTTCGAGAACTCGCGCCGGGGCGAGGAGGAAACTGAACGCTGCCACCGACTATGCCACATGCAACCCTTGTTCACCTATATCATGAATATGGAGAGCCAGCCCTACGGGAACCCGAACTACGAACGAAGTCCAAGCCCCGAGCGCCTTCGCACCGAACAACGAAACAAGGCCGAAAAGGATCGGACAAGGAAAGAGGCCGATTTGGATATTGAGGAAGAGAAAAAGCAGCGGGCGATTGATTTGGATCCATGCCGGGAGGTATTGTCTATCATCATTCGCGACCTGAGGGACAAGCTTCTCGAGGACGTGAAGTCACGCATAGCTGCTCCGGCTCTTTACGATTATTTGGAACCGAGTAAACATGCGTCTAAAAGGGAAAGGCTGGGTATTTCGGACCCCGAAGGTACCAAACGATCTGTTTTCCAAATCGACAGCACCCCTGGCTCTCGAGGTGAAATGTCTGCCGGGCGAGATCCCCTGAGATCCTCAGGTCTGAATGTCCTTGCTCTTCCTCGTATCCGGAAAGCCCATGGTCTTGACCATGCGGGTGCTGCCTTCCTAGACGAACGGCGCAGGCAACCACTACGAAAGAAAGAAGTGCGGCCCTTGTATCATCGCTTACAGCAGTTGCACGATGATGAAGATTCGGACGACGAGCAGCGCACTCCTGCTACTAGGGATGTCGATGAGCGAGAGAGCCGACCCCCTAGTCGGGCAAGTTCAACGTCATCGGAGTTTGAACGGGATGGAGGGTACCAGTCAGATGATCTGGGATCATCTCAAGGGAGTGAAGAACGCATCGCTCAAGCTGTGGACGATTTGGATGCCACAAATGAAATCAGTGATATTTCTCATGAACTTCAGGTGTCTCCCACGTCAGGCAAAAGAAAGCGACTGACCGAAGATGACGAAGCACGAAAGCGGCAGCGAAAGGAGGATGAGCTATTTGGCATTGACTCTGAAACAGCCGTACATGAGGATTCGACCAAGGACCTGAAAACACTCGCGGTTATTGGCGATGATCTCGCAGAGGATGGCGATAAACTACCAACGCACGATCAACTCGCAGACCAATTCACCGAGCATGCCTCTCACAAACATCCCGAGGATGATGCTCTTTCAGTCAGCGAAACGTGGAAGGCCGAACCTACTGATGAGCCGAAAACAGAGATTGAATGGGCCTTTTCCAAGGATAAGCCCCGCGCCACGGTGGAAGATGATGAAACAATCGTGCTTGATTTGGATGGTTGGCAACACCTGGTCAAGGATGATGAAGATCTGCGATTTTTGCGAGAAATCCTACTGGATCAGTCAGAATCAATCATTCAGAATCTTGCTGCATGGGGTTGGAAACAGAAGGAGATCAAAGCTCTCAATGGCCTGGAAACTGGCACGACCCAGGATGCTATCAGTATTCCTGGCTACTATGTGCCAAATACCACTGGCGCTGCGCGGACGGAAGGTCGAAAAAGGATTCTTGAGGCAGAAAAGTCCAAATATCTGCCCCATCGTATCAAGGTTCAGAAAGCTCGCGAGGAGCGTGAAGCGAATGCCAAGGCAGACCCCCAGGCAGCAGCAGCTGAAGCTGCCAGGATTGCAGCCGCTAAAACAATATCAAAATCGACATCCCGGTCAACCCGAGTCAACAACCGCCGGCTCATTGCAGACATCAATGCACAAAAGCAGGCCCTTCCCACTGCGAACGGCGATGGAGACGTTCTTCGATTTAATCAGCTTAAGAAACGCAAGAAGCCTGTGCGCTTCGCTCGTTCTGCCATTCACAATTGGGGCTTGTATGCCGAGGAAAACATCACTGCCAATGACATGATCATCGAGTATGTCGGCGAGAAAGTGCGTCAGCAGGTCGCCGATATGAGAGAAAGACGATACCTGAAGAGCGGGATCGGCAGCAGTTATCTCTTCCGAATCGATGAGAACACCGTCATCGATGCTACAAAGAGAGGAGGAATTGCGCGATTCATCAATCACAGCTGTACACCCAACTGCACTGCTAAGATCATCAAGGTCGATGGCAGCAAACGGATTGTGATTTATGCGCTCAGGGATATCGAAAGAGGTTTGTGAACTGCGCTCGCTTCACAAGAAAACACATGCTAACAAAATATCAGATGAGGAGCTAACGTACGACTACAAATTCGAAAGAGAGTGGGACAGCGATGACCGAATCCCCTGCCTCTGTGGTTCAACAGGCTGCAAGGGATTCCTCAATTAAAACAACTTTCCGAGATCTATCTAACAAAGTCTCTGGGAGGCATATTGACTCCCATTTACCGGGTGGCGTTGAATCGGACTGGCGTTTTCAGCGTGGGAGCATTGACGCATTTATCAATGGCAATCGTGATTTCATAAACTACCAACCTCTCTTGTACAATATACCAATTCCAAAAGAATTCCGCCTGTTTTCCGTTTCGAGTCATGGCCCTGGAGCAAAGTCCTCTTAGGAAAGCAACGTGAGAGCGTAGATGTGTCAAATCCCAGAAGAACTCGACTCGTATATCCGATAACCTTTGTGCCACTGCATAGGGTCCTCTTTTGATGAAAAGGAAAGGAAAGGAGGAGAGACTGGCTCTCAAAGACCGGTTCCTAGCCCTGGGGTATCGATTCGCGAAGCAATTTGGGTGAAGCGCATATGGGATTGTGTTGTTCAGACTGGAGAGATATTAGCAAAACGAACACGGCAAAGAAAAAAAGAAAGATATTTCTCACCAAGGTGGCTTGGAAGAAGGAAGTTCGCAATTCCCTCCTTAATCATATATGAATGACCGCAGTTCCCGCAGGTCAATTTCCCTTCCGTGACGTGCGTCTCAAGTAGCAACCGGTGCAAGTCCTTCAATGTCTGCTCGTTGTCGAGAGCCTCGCCCTCGGGCTTCGAATCCGGAAGACTCGGGAATCCCAGCTGAGATCGCAAGAGTCAGCTTATTTGTAATTGTAATTGTCGGTGAATTACCTAGGTATGTCGGTGAATAGGTAACCCGTGTTTGGATGTTCATACCTCGTTGGAAATAGTGCGCAGAGCTTCCCAGTCAATTCGGGGAAGGACGTTGCGGATGAATTCGGGCTGGAAATCCAGTTCCTGTTGCTCTAGCTCGGCATCGTGGAAATGTAATGGGAATGAGGCCGGTGATGTCTTGCATTCCTTCACGGCGCATGTCACGAAATTGGCGGTGATCACTTTCATTGTGGGGGCTTTGGGTGGTTGGTTGGTGGTAGATTGTGGACGTGAAGATTTAGCGATGTTGCTCAGGTATGTAGAGATCGATTGGATCTAGAGAGTAGATTGATTTAAAGGATCATGAACAACGTCGGTGGCCCCTCCGAGGGAGAAAAAATAAGAGCCCCACGGCTTATCAGATATCATGTGATCGATATGGATGTCCGGACTACTACCATACCAGTTGATATTTACTTTGAAACATGGATTGCATATACATTATCTTACAGAAATTTCCTAGGTTCAAACTGGAAATTATGATTAGCTTTGATTAGCCTTGATTAGCTATTATTCAGTTGTTCAGATCCTTTAAGGCGGATTATTTGATCTGGACATCCACCAGATCTAGATCGTCAATGTCATAGTCGCGAAGACATGAATCAGGGTCAAGTTTGTCCCCATCAAACAGGAGAAATATATCATGGTCCGCAGAGATATTCTGTTTATCTCGAAAGGCAGATATGAGTCGCGAGATCAGGGTTTTCTGTCTTGCTTTGATTCTGAAATCGTCGTATCCAAGACTCCTCAGAATAAGTTTCATTGGCTCACCCTGGTCACCTTCTGGGGATTGCGACGCTGTGGGGGGCTTTTCATTATCAGGCGAAGTAATTTGCTGATTGACCGGAAGAGGTAAATCAGTAACCGCTTCCATATGTATGCGCAGCTCTTTCTGGCCTGCAAAGGAGTCATCATCAATGCCAGGGATCGCCGCAGAGTTCTTCCCGGTATTTATGCCTAGACTCCTGCAAGTTGTCACATCGAATAGACGCCGGCCCTTCCAGGTCAGGTAAATCGATGCCTGTATTTGGGGGTCGAAATTTTGTCGCTCGCACCATGCCAACCGCACATCCCTTAGCCGCTGTGACATTTTTCGTTGGACGATTAATGGTTTCGTGTTCGCAATTTCAGATGATATCATAATCTGAACGACCGGGTCATCCTCTGGGAGTTTCGCCGGTTCAACAGGCTGAGGAGGTTGAATAGGTCGAGGGCTTCGAGTTTCCGAGTCATCCGCCAGGACAATCACTGGTTTAACAGGCAGAGCACCTAGTGGTTCCGGACCACTGACTTTCCGCGGTGACTGGGGCAAGCGGTTTTCTGAGCTGTGTCTTTGGATTGTCTCGCGTTGTTTGACTGGCTTGACTGACTCGGGTGAGGAATCATGCGAGGAACCCGAGAGCTCTTGTGGCTCTGGTAGCACAATTTTATCGCTATCAACCCCAGGGGTCACATTCCGCACCAGGCTGCTATCATCGCGCCCTTTCCCCTTTTCCCTAGAAATTCGACGCCGCTTTTCTCGTTTGGGATCTTCGGTATCTTCGGTATCTTTGGTATGTTCTGGGATTTCCGGTGATTTCGGCTTTTGATGTGCTTCACGGTTCGCAGCAATGATATCAGAGAGCGTTTGTTCTGAGCGTCGATAAAAATCAGTGCTAGTTTCCCCCGTGTTCTTGATTGCCCACGCGGGCTTTTTGAAAAAGCTCATGACTCTCGGGACCGGAATTCGTCAAGTCGAAAAGTGCAAGTATGGTAGGATGACCAAATAGTTTTAGAGGTGGTTCGGGGGCACCTGATTATAATCAGTGATATGTTAGTGGAAGATTAAAAATTGCGACATGACGGCCTGGGCATAAGCCAAACGATTTGCGGTTAAGATGGAGGGAATATGTATCACATCTTTCCAGACTTGGGATAGGTACAGTGGAACCTCGAGAGACACCGTCCTGACTACCGCCTACTAAAATTGCACTAGCGCGCTTTCTAACCAGCCGAACATATGGCAATATAAGACTTCCAGATGTCTCTCCTCTTGGTTTCTTACGAATTGCCCCGAGAGAGCCATGGCTAAATCATTTTCTAACGTTCAACTTCAATATTTTAAACCTTGTTTGCAAAACTAATAAAGGTGTACTATTTTATGACTGGCAATACCGGCAGAATATAATGGCGGTGTCCGATTCCCTACAAAAACTTATCAGCAGATCCCGCCCCGCTTGCGATAGCCCATAGCCCTCACCGCCCTACTGGTATCTCAGTTTCGGGTGCTTCGTCCCTCTGCCTACTTCAAAACACCTCTCAACCTGGTATGTCTCCCCTTTTTTTCCCCTTGAACTTCGCTTTGACTAATACTTGGCAAATCTCAGACCAAGTATCAATATGGAGAACGCCCCAACCTCCGAAGGGAAAGACCCCTCTGTCTTTCTGAGTGAAATCATCGGTGCGCCTGTGATCGTGAAGCTGAATTCCGGAGTGGTATACAAGGGTATCGGTTCTTCTTCCAATTCCAAGTGGCTTTGATTCTAATGCGCCTATAGGTGAATTGCAATCAGTTGATGGCTACATGAACATTGCCCTTGAAAAGGCGGAGGAATATGTGAACGGAAAACTACGACGAAACTACGGGGATGCTTTCGTGCGCGGAAATAATGGTTTGTCAATCCTTTGTTGTCTTTCAATATTATGGCGCGACAGCTTTCTAACTAGAGCCTACAGTACTCTACATCTCTTCCAGTTAATCCGAAAATACACTGTTCAATGTTATCGATTGCGCCCACCTATGACAACCCGCACGTGGATAAGAATGGCGCGCTTTGAGAGCCATAACAATTATTTGGAATTCTCTAGCTAGGAGACAGAATACAAGCCTAGGTGGTGATTGACCAACTCTTCTTATGATGCAGTTGACCAGACTCGCAGCCCTGGGGTTATGGAGGCTACGCACCTGGGGGTTTCCTTTTTTTTCCTGCTTTGTATTGAGCTCAACATTGGAGCTCATGACCATAAGCTCATCAATTGTTGCCCAGGCGGCTTGGTAATATTTTCTGTGGTACGGCGATGTGCCATTGACCTTGTGTTTTAATTGGTGCAAAGTACATTCACGCAGTAATACATGACATTTGACCCCGCTATGACTTGATTGTCTTACCTGCATACATACATATCCATGGATGTACGTTGGAGGTATGTTCCTGGGAAGGTTATACTTATATTGTCCCCCCGCCAGTGATAGGCATTGATTAAGTAAGCTTTCCCAAGTCCCCGCGGCACTTTTTAAGGTTCTCTCCTTGTGCCTCACCCCAGGGCTTCAGAACTTTTGACCGCCACTTCCGAAGATGTTACAGGCAATCAAGTTCAGCAAGGGCAACCTTGAGATCCTGGATCAGTTGCAACTTCCATTCGTCGAAGAATACATTCCCATTCGGACTACAGAGGATGGATGGCACGCCATCAAAGATATGAAAGTCCGCGGGGCACCTGCTATCGCTATCGTAGCAATGCTTGCGCTCGCCTCGGAACTAACCTCTGCTGTGGATAGTGACAAGCTTTCACAATCATCAGAAGAGGTGTGCCAATATATCACAGAGAAGCTTGCTTATCTGGTCACGAGTAGGCCAACTGCCGTCAATCTCGCCGATGCTGCGCGCAAGCTGGAGGTCGTCGTGGTTAACCGCACGAAAGCACCGGGCTCTACTGGCCGCGAGGTCGCCACCGCGTTTATTCAGGCGGCTGAGGATATGATGGGAAAGGATCTCGAGGATAACAAGCGAATTGGGCACAATGGCGCAGAATGGATCGCCGTTCATGCGGCCAGAGGGAATTCAGAAGTTGCTGTCTTGACTCACTGCAACACTGGGTAGGGCCGATTCACTGCGTTAGCCGTTATCCGTCGTATGTTCTCACTAATCCTGAATCACTAGCTCTCTCGCCACTTCTGGATATGGCACCGCATTGGGTGTGGTTCGTTCGCTGGCCTCGAAGAACATCCTACGTCACGCTTATTGCACAGAGACTAGGCCCTACAACCAGGGGTCTCGCCTTACAGCCTTCGAGTTGGTTCACGACAAAATTCCAGCTACGCTCATCACGGATTCTATGGCAGCCGCCTTGCTCGCAGATACCAAAGTGGGCGTGAATGCAATTGTGGTGGGTGCTGACAGGGTAGCAGCCAATGGTGACACAGCCAACAAAATCGGCACGTATGCCCTGGCTGTCTTGGCAAAGTACCATGGCGTCAAGTTTCTTGTTGCAGCGCCACTTACAACAATCGATATGGCCACAAAATCTGGGAAAGACATTGTCATTGAGCAACGTGAAGCATCCGAGGTGACCAGCATCAAAGGTCCCCGTGCGGGTTCTGAGGCCACCGACCAGATTGCAATTGAGACAGTGAAAATTGCCGCGCCAGGGATCAATGTCTGGAACCCGGCATTTGACATTACTCCTGCGAGTCTGATAGATGGGATTATCACAGAGATTGGAGTTGTAGAGAAGGGATCCGATGGCCTGTATCACTTGGGTGGACTATTTGATGGCTCTACTTTTTCATCCTGATCTGTGCTCGGTTGACTCGGGTCTGTTTCATCGACAGATGTAGCCTCCGCTGCAGAAGTGCCCTGCTTTTCGAAAGATGCCAAGAGTTCATCAACTTGGCTTTCAATTGTGTTCAGATGATTCTCCAGGGCCGAGGCAGTCAGTTCACCCCTAAATATATGTCAATATCGTGAATTTATTTATGTAAGCTATAAGTAGGCTGACGTACTTTGCAAGATCTGCGAGTGTCTATGTCATGAATTAGCTGTCCGATCTTGGATCAGTTGGTAGAGGGGATGTAAGAGGGACAACGCTGCCTAGCAGCATAGCCAGGGAAATAGATGCTGCTTGCGAACGCCCAAGGGGGGCTTACCTTCGCCATATCAAAGTCTGCATCTGATCTGGACATAATGGGCGTTTGAGGGTGTATTGCTTAGTACAAGGGAGTTTTGAAGACAAGATTGTCCGCGGGGCCCAGCAGATGATGAGCGGGATGCCCATCGACAAGATTAGTCATCCCGAACCCGAGATGGATTTCCCCGATAAGAAAAGAGAAAAAAAAAACCTCTTCCTCACTACTATCACCATCCACATCTCGTCGTCATGGGAGTTCAAAAGAAGACTCGCAAGTTTGCGCTGGCCAAGAGAGCCATTTCCATGCGCGACAATCGCCTGTTCGTCGCAATCACGAAACAAAGTCTTGTTGCGACTCGCTAACAGTCGGTTATAGGAAGCAAAATCAAGACAAGACAGAGAAAGGCAAAGAGGCCAAGAAGGATGATCTCGTCAAAGAGGCGTAAGTACATCATATAATACTATTGCAAGAATCATACTGACAAGTTCGCTTCTAGCCCCCAAGCTCCTTCGTCAATGTTCTTCCAGTTCAACACGGCCCTTGCCCCCCCATACTCCGTGCTGGTCGATACCAATTTCATCTCCCACACCATTCAGCACAAACTCGAGGTCATTCCAACCATGCTCGACTGCTTGTACGCCAAATGTATCCCTATCGTCACAGATTGCGTACTTGCCGAGTTAGAGAAGCTTGGCCCGAAATACCGACTTGCCCTGCGTGTAGCCAAAGACCCTCGGTTCGAGCGAGTCAAGTGTGACCACAAGGGAACATATGCCGATGACTGTCTGGTCGACCGTGTCATCAAGCACCGTGTCTACATTATCGCCACAAACGATCGTGATCTCAAGAGACGTATTCGGTATGTAACCCACATCTCGACCCCATTTTCGCCGTACCAGCCATGTTCTAACCACCCTAATAGCAAGATTCCTGGAGCACCCATCATGAGTGTCGCCCGCGGCAAATATGTGATTGAACGACTTCCCGATGCCCCCGAAAAATGAGCGACTTGAACGATTACCCCAGTCGTCCGTCGCTACTGCGACCATCCACATGATACCCACAAAAATATCCGTTTCTTTCTTTGTTAGAAAGTTGTAAAATAACATAGCAAACAATTTTCGCCTCCAGACACAGGGCAAGCAGCCGACCACAACATGCAAGACTGCAAGGCCAAATTATGCTGTCAATCGACCGTATCCGATCAAACAAAACGACTGCACCGTGAACCAGCAGCATCGCTCCTCCCAGGGCTGGTTCTAGTACTTTAAACCTATGTGCCAATGGATTGAATCATTTGAAGGACCCGGGGCTTCTCAGGCAAGGTTATACAGTGGCACATTTATGTCTTTCTGTCTATAGTGACCGCTAATGCAAATGTCGTTGTAATCTACATAAACGCATGAATGTTAAATCCCTATCCGATCATAGTCATTTGTCTGAGGGCTCGTAAGCCATGTGATCTTTAATTTTCGAAGCACGTAGTGCATTGGCTTGTAATGTACATTGATATTTGTTAACCATACGTTTCTATCAATTGACGAACCGCATGCCGGACAAGACGAGTGTTGGCAAAGCTCTGGATCATCTTCTGTCGCGACATCATTATGTGTAGTGGAGGTAAATCCGCGAGTAGTGAGCCGGATTCAACCAAGTCATCACCAGGAGCTGCGATATCGAGGAGCTGCTTCAGAATTCGTAAAGAGTACAGTCCAGCTTGCATTTGAGCAAGAAGATGAATGTCCGCCCATTTCGTACTTTGCGCCATATATCCATTTGTAAGAAAGCTCTCCAATCCCTTCGCACTCGGTACTGTGGTGGTGCCGGATCCATCACGGTAGATATCGGAAAGAGCGTACAAAAACCAGAAGCTCTCCGGTGCCAGACTATCGTCAAAGGTAGCATGTGCATGGGCAAGACGTCTCCGCAGAAGATCCAGGTCAGAAGTCACGGTCTTGGTTCCGCTTAAAGCGATCTCCTCGGCCACGATCCTTCCACCTCTGCGGACGAATTCATGTACAGCCGCAAATCGATTGGCAGCAGGACGCGAAATGTTAAAAAATGAGTACCCAAGGGACCTATATGTTCGACCTTGTTCCCAGGCACATCGTCTGGAAGAGTCTTCGTTCAGAATGCCGAGATAGACGTGCGGCTGTTCACCCAAGCAGTAGATACTAGGAAGTTCATACTGCCAAAATAACTCTGATACCCTCGGATCCAATGGTTGTGCAGACTGCCCTGATCCACGTATTACCTCATTACCTGTGGTCTCGTGTTGATATTCTCGAAGAAACTCCAGATATTCAGAGGAGAGCTCAGTCGCCTTACTGCTCTCCTTAGATATCCGGGTAAGTTCAGCAAAACGCAGGTGAACATTTCTTTGCAATTCGTAAGCAAACCACTGAACGCTTGGGATCCCCAATCGGCCAGATAGCGAATGGGGACAGATTCTCAGCCCCCGAATATCTGGCTCGGCCGGATCCCAGACGCCCGAGGACGTTTGCACCGAGTCTAAAAACAAGACCGCGCCATGCTGACCAAGATCGTGAAGCAGTAGATCCGAATCATCTGTCAACACTGCGCAACCGGTAAGTTTTGCCACACGGGCACACTCCACATCAGCTTCTCCTGGCACCATGACGGTGATTTCCGCCCAGGGGTAATCAGTATCGCCGACAAGACAGCTGATATCATCATCAATCTCTTTCCGGATCTGTTCCTTGCTCCATCGGTTCCGCAAGTCCTCAAAGACCGCCGATACCATGAAAGGATTCTCCGGAAGGCCTTTTCGTCGCTGAGGTAAGCCTCGACTGCACCAGACCTGTCCTCGTTTAGTCGGGATCACATCGCGACATTTGGGCGTTGCAGGCAGAGACAGGTTTCGGCGAGCCAGTTCTAGTCGATGTCGTAATTTTTCAATTCTGGAAAAGCGGATTTTTCGCTTGGAGACAGGCAAGGCACCGTCGAAGCATATCTTATGTCTAAAGCGCAGAGAGAGAAAGAAAAATGATAATCAGACGATAGCTGTGTTTCAGACTAGTGCGAGGGCTTACATTTCAACTCCCAGTTCGGTTAATTGGAGAAGGAAGCTGGTGACCCCACGACTGATCTCGTCGCAGGTTGGCTGGTAATCAAGGACATCACTGCTTGGATCCATCCAGCCCAGGAGTCGACGGTAGACATGGTATACTAGACTGGGTCCGTCAATGACAACGGCTTGGACTCGCGGAAGTCCTGAATCGATTTCCCTCCCATCTAACAAGACACTTTCGGCATATGGAAGCAGGTGCCTGGTTAAGTGAGGGATCCCCATAGCCAATGTATGGTAGAACCCTTCTGGTTGTGGTGGGTGTTTTTTTTTCCTTTTTTTTTGTATTAGTCAGGGATGGTGAGGCGCCGGAGGTTCCAACTTCAGACAATGTCATCTCTTTCTAAAACTAAAATATATGAATAGATTCAGAAGGTACCGAGAAAGAAATGAGAAGGAAAATAGATAGGATCAGCAGAAGTTCTTGGAATTCCTACAAATTCAATAGCCCGTAGAGTCTACTTGACAATATCAGGCTTGATACATCGAAGGACAAAACAAAGGCAAAAATAACAAAAGAACAAAAGAACAAAGAACAGACAAAAGCAGAGGTTCAATCTCAAAGCCCTTGAGAAAACCATATATGCTGCACCATGGTTCAGAACGCTCGGAATCGGAGTCGCCATCAGTGGACATAGGGTCGCTGCTCGGGTCTTGGGCTTCCCGCATGTCTTCATCTTGTAGCGTGTCCGAAGCGTTGACAAGTGTAGTACAGCTCCTAGTGCTGGCAAAAGGAGTATCGTTAGACTCGATTTGTCTCTCTTTATCCCGGCGAATTGTGGATTAGAGGCTGCGAATGGTTGAAGATGGACCAAGATTGAACCTGCCCTCCTAATCCCAATCCTTAGGCTTAGTTCCACCGTATTCTCGGATGTCGGAATAGTATGCCACAAAATGAGGGAATTTCAGATAGCACTTCATGGCCTTGTTTTTCACCTCTAGGGCGAGTTCGAGCATTTCACCGTCAGACTAGACTGCGTTTTCTCGATGCCTCGCCAGTGTGTAGAATGTCTAGTAACGAGGTCCTTGGCCTTTTGCTAGTTGTTGAGAGAGAAGAGGCTTTTCTCTATTAATCCGAAGTGTTCGTGTGATATTAGCGCACCCTTGGTCCGGATTTAGCCAAAACTCCACGTCGGCTCTCAGCTTCCTCTCTGATTCTGAATGCGCCACTTCTAAGGTGACAATCGGCTTGTCGGGGAAGCCGGTCGGTGGAGTATAAAGACCCCAGCCATGGTCTCTAACTTTGGCTTTTCCTTGACCGTTCTCATCTGCGCGGATCAGGCACTCTGGGAACGCTTGACATGATCAACAAGGCCTATATGTTCCAGCGCCTTGTCGATGGCTGTATTGATCCTATCCAATGGCATTGGATTAAATAGTCGAAGTCATTTTGACTAAAAGTAGTGGCTTTTTTATGCCGAAAGAGTCGATATATGAATCAAGTGTCGGTGAATCGGGGAATCCCTCTTAGGAGAATTGGTATCAAGAAATCGGATCTGCCGTGTAGCCTCACAACTATTTGGAGATCCATGATGATGAGTTTGATACCGGCTCGTTCGACGGCGACAGGTGAAGACTGAGGCCGGGAAAATGTGTTCACGGCTTGAGTCCGTCAGTTGCACAGCAGTATGGTGATGCTTGTTTGTTGCAGTACATTGGCAAAATACGGAGGTTGACCGCGTTGTCATCGACGAGTAGTGCTGTTGGCCGAGGTGGGGTTGTCAAAGGCGATGAGGGTGGGATTATGAGTTTTGAGTCTATGGAATCCTCGCGCTTGGCTGCATAGATGACGAAGCGTCTGGGCTTGAAGCGACGGAGTTTTCATCCGAATCGTATCGCAATTTGGGGGTAGGTCGTTGAAAAATATTTGGCAAATTAGTCACAGATCTTGTTATAGGTAGACCATCTAGTAGACTTAACATACGGATGTTTAGGTCGAGAGTCGTATTCCTACCTAGGAAGGAGCAGGAGCAGCAAGAGCGATAGTTAGGAATCAAGCGAAAAATCACACTAAACCAGATTTACAAACGATTCAATTGGGGTTTCTAAGATATTCCTACATAGTGTAGAACCAAAATTGAGAGCTATATATTTTCCGCAACTATGTAGAGACGGTATCGTGGGTGTGAGACTCGAGTTAAATAGTGGTATAGCCGCAGAATAGTAATGACATATATAGATTCAACGTAACACGCATGATAACTAGATAACAAAGAAACAAAAGGCGCTGATGCCCCGAGAAATATTTATCCAGTATCTGTCCATTTCAAATTACCGAGCAGATCGCAAGAATCCAACCACTCCACGACAGTAACCCACCAGCTCAGCCAGGCGCTTTCCCTCCCGCCGTTGCTCAGCAGACCAAATTGCTAGAGCATCTTGCAACAGACGATACTGAGGTTCATCTTGGGTGGAGCTGAGACTCACAGTGTCGGCGTGAATTTTCAAGAAGACCGCCATCCAAGCATTGACAAGCTCAAAGTCTCTCTTTGACTTCAGGCGTGCAGTCAGGGCAACAACGAAATCGGACAACTCAGAGTGTCCATCACGCACCCGAGGATCCAGTGAACGAATCTCGAGATCTGCTTTGGCCGGGGATAAGGTCTTGAGATGGTCGATAAATGAGCTGAAGTCACCGGAATCATGGCCGGATGCCAATGATCGAGTGAAGATAGATTGAGGAGCACTGGCGTTTCCACCGTTTTGCAACTTGGCAATCCGCAACCTTTCTGCTTCGGCGGTTTTGGCCACCGATCCCACATCGCTATCCTCGGTGCCGGGGATTTCGCTAGCGGCCTCGGGTCCACTGGAACCGAGGAGAGAAGGAAGGAAGAATGGAGCCTTTTCGGGTGCCTTAGGAGCTTCCTTAGGGCGATTACGTTCCTGTTGAACTGTTAGCTAGAGACTTGCACTTGTGCAGGAATAAAAACATACCCGTATAGTGTCTAGATGGAGCAATGACTGCCATCTGCTCTTGGGGACAAGACTGAGAGTCATCATGTCGTGTTGTAGTTGTTCCGTCGCCAGGACTGGGCCCTCTGCATCATCTTCCTCGGTGGTATCCACAAAGGCGGCCTCAATAAGGCCAGCACCGCCTTCTCCTGAAGTTGCCGGGAGCCCAACGTTCTCAATAACGTTCTCGTCCAGGTTTTTGGTTGACACAGGCATGAAAAGGCTGCGGTTGCTCCAAAGGCTGACGCCAATGCTACCGGCGTGTGCAGTGGCAAGGAATTCCCCGGTTGAAGACATGGCCAGAGCGACACATGTGCTTGAGACCCGGAAGATGTCAATCAGGTGCCCGGTGGGCATATCCCATACACGTACCACCGAGTCCATGGAGGCAGCAACAATCCATCGTCCATCGTTTGAGAAGATGAAATCATTGACTTGACCCACACATCCCCAGAACTCACGAACGAGCTTTCTGGTCTCGAGGTCAATCACACGGATCGAGAGGTCGTCACAGCTGAAGGCGACTAATTCGCTTGCCTTGTTATAGCGAAGTCCAGTAATGGCAGCCATGGGATTCCAGTCTAGCTCATCGATGAATTTCCCAGAGAGGAGATCCCAAAACTATATTCCATAAAAGGTCAATTTGTGAATCTCTAGAAAATAGAGGGAATGGTGGGGTGTACCTTGACTTTGCCATCTAGGCCACAGCTGACAACGGTACGGTTCAAGCTGTCAATCATCAAGCCAGTCACAGCTTTGGTGTGTTTAGTAGCGGCGGCGATCGAGGCCTGAGCATTGGATTTGGTGGCACGGCCAGCTTGGGGGCGAGCTGGGAAACTTTGTCGGTGCAGACCTGACTGCATGTTGAACATGTCGATAGAACCTCCAGCTGATCCGATGACAGCGAAAGTACCACATTGGGAAACCGTCACACTCTGTGAAGAATGAATTAGCAAAAGAGAACAATTGTCCAATCATGTTTAAGAACCTGCGCACCTTGACTTCTGTTCCATCACTGGTTGCAAACGCCCATCGACCTGCTTTCTTTTTGCCCCAGAACCAAGTACGTGCGAACTTGTCGCCCCGATGACCAGTAACCACGCTTTCCCAGCCAGTTGCATTGGAAGCATCGGCGTTTGTAACCTTCGGGTTCGACCAGATTGGACCGGAAGTGGTGACTCCCATTCCGCCATCACGGTTGAGGCTGCAGGCAATGCATGTAACTTCGGGAGCTTTAAGATCCTCTGTATTTGAGATGTTTGATGGTCCTGCCTTCTTAGCCTTGCGTTCCAAGCTACCCTGCGAGATCTCGGTATGCTGGCTGTCTTTGCGCAGACTAAGCCCCCAGAGACTGCAATCCTTGCTTGCACTAAGAAGCCACTTGCCGCCAGACTCGGACCCATCCGAAGACGTCGGCAGGAAATCGAGAGCGCTGACGGCAGCAGAGTGTCCGTTTCTTCTGTGAAGAGGTCTAGGAATGGGCGAGAATGGCGTTTCGTCGAAGATCCAAGTCTTCAGAGAATTGTCATCGCCGGATGACACAAGCACCGGCTGTCCATCCAAGAACTCCACACGGTTTGCGCCCATGGGCTTTTCGCCACTTGACACTCGATGGGCTCCACGAAGAATGCCCGCAATGCGACCTCCATTATTCAAGTCCCAGAGTGTGATATCGCCGCTACCACTTGACGCTGTGGCCATAACACCTGAGCTGCGACCATCGTGGCCAGCACCCAATCCATCGCCGCGGAAAGTGATGGATGTTACTGGGAGACCCCGGGATGATGCGTTCTTGAGAGACAAAACCAGCTGACCTGAGCTCACGTTCTGAATAGCCAACGCACCGCCCTTATAGGCAACGGCAACAAGTGATAGAGCAGGTGTGGGGTGAATCGCAGTCACGGGCCCAGCATCTGCCGACAAGGAGGGCAACGTGTGAAGGAGCTTTCCGCTACGGAGGTTCCAGATATCGACCGCTCCGTCCGATCGACCCACGAATATCTTGTTCAGATAAGTCGGCATGTTGCACATTATCCCGGTGTAGATCTTCTCTCCAGAGGAGCCCTGAGCAGATTGTGGCCGCAGGCTGGCATAGTGCTCGTATGTGCCCGTTTTCCAAACCTCGAGGCCACCGGTCCAGCAACCAACCACCCATGAACCAAACACCACCAAGCGCTCAATGGGTCCCTTCAGATCTGCAGGGCCCTCAAGGACTGCAACTTTTTTGCCGCGCTTGAAAACCCAGACACCTCCGGGGGACTGGGAACGGAGATGGCCCCAAGCTGCGAATACCTTATCCTGCCACGCACATGTTGCCGTGATGATCTCCGGTGTTTGCGGTCGACTCAAAAAGATGAGGTTCAAGCCTCGGCGCAAATCATAAGTTTGCAGCGAGTGTCCCACGGAGGTTGTGATTTGAAAGGTCGATTTACCCAGGCGCACGGATGTAAAGGGAACGGGTGTTGGCGACACCAATCCTAGTGTCTTTATAGCGACAAGTCAGTTTAGAGAAAGAAGTGATTCGAATGTATCTCTCAACTTACACGGAAAGGAGCAAAGATCTTGGAACCACGAGTTCCAGCCTTGACCTGCGATACCGTTTTCTGCCTCTTCGCAAGAGGCAGATCGAAATTATCGGCCGAAGAAGGCATGCTGATATCGAGTGACACACTGACGACAATGGATATGCCGTAGGGTTCGAAGTAATCAGAATAAACCCCTTAACCTTTCAAGTGAGAATTCCGTTCCGACTTGTTCACCAAGTCAATCACGAAAGGTATCCTAGTAGTCCAAGTTGTCTCACTAGCTCTTCTTTTTTTCCCGATGTTTTTTTTCTGCCCAGCCTAGTCCTGCAGGTATTAGACCGCCTTCAAGCGGGTGATGTACATCTTCCCTGGGTACAAAATACCTTTACATGATGAGAATATCTAGAATGTCTCTTGGATCTATTATATGTTAACATAATTATGCAGTTGCCAATTATCTTGTATATATTATAATTCCTAAAATAAAGTCACCGGTCATCTTATCGGAGACTGCTTTTGTATGGTCGAATTGCTATCAAATAGTGTCGTCATGTATTGGAGACTTTCCCAACAAGTACCTGGGTAGATGGGGCATTTGTACTTTTGGATCTTACTATGCCGTAGTCTATAGGAATACGAGGAAGCCCGATGAATCGAATACACAATTAGCATACCATTTTCAGCCCGTCAGTCTGATCATAAACGAAAAGTACAATGTTGGACCAGCCAAAAGCCCGTTCTTTCTCTCCGCCTATGCCCAGGTGCAATTGCGGAACCCCCCGTCAAATTTGGTAATACAACCTTGGAATCCAAGAGCTTCCAGGTTTCTCGGTCTGCGCTTCTCTTTCCGAACTGCTAAGAATTTGTGCTTCTTCAAATTCCCCCTTTGAGCAAATTAAGTTTGATGCGATTGAATTTGATTTCAAAACACAATACTGCCCAGGCAATTGACCCCTCATATGGATAATGCCGCTGAGCACAGCAACGGCTCTTATGCCGATGCTGAACCCTTGAGACCTGCAGAACCCAACCTCTCGTCGCCGTCAGTTGATATGGACCTCGATTATAACGACCAGACGCCCACCGGACCCGTCATGGAACCTACATTCGTGTCAACTAAGTCTACATCACACACAAAGTCGACCCAAAGCCAATCAGGAAAAGCCGATACGGGATTTGATGCTCGCTCCGTCAGTCGAACGGGACAATCCACACGCCCCTTGAGCCACGCACCTAGAAGGTTCAGTGGAAGCACGGCTGCCAGTACCGCTGCAAGCTCTATCAGTGAGGTGGAACCCAGCTCCCTAAAACCATGGAGGATCGGAGTCTGTGCCTTGGATGTGAAAGCACGCAGCAAACCGAGCCAAAATATATTGACTCGACTCCAATCGAAAGGCGAATTCGAGGTGATTGTTTTTGGAGACAAGGTTATTCTCGACGAAGCAGTCGAAAATTGGCCCGTGTGTGACTTCTTGGTCGCTTTCTTTTCCGATGGATTCCCCTTGGACAAAGCCATTGCGTATGCTAAACTTCGCAAACCACTCTGTGTTAATGACCTGCCTATGCAAAAGGTCTTGTGGGATAGGCGGCTCTGCCTGAGGATTCTGGATCACATGGGTGTTCCCACCCCGAAGCGGCTGGAGGTCAACCGCGATGGCGGTCCGGTTCTAGAATCAGCGGAATTAGGCCAACATATCTATCGCCTGACTGGTGTAAAGCTAGAAGGCCCAGAGAGCGGAATTGGTGGCGGTGCCCCTCAAACCCAGAGTGTCTCGATGTCCGAGGATGGCGATGCCTTGATTGTTGACGGCAAAGTGTTCAAAAAGCCCTTCGTTGAAAAGCCTGTCAATGGCGAAGACCACAACATTCACATCTACTTCCCCAACGATCAACAGTACGGCGGCGGTGGAAGAAGACTATTCCGAAAGGTCGGCAACAAAAGCTCGGAATATGATCCCAATCTCACTGTTCCAAGATCCGTCACCGAGAAGGATGCAAGTTATCTGTACGAACAGTTCCTCAGGGTTGACAATGCGGAAGACGTCAAAGCCTACACCGTTGGGCCAGACTTTTGTCATGCGGAGACCCGCAAATCTCCCGTGGTCGACGGTCTCGTTCGGCGCAATACCCACGGGAAGGAAATACGATACATCACGAAACTTGGCAAGGAGGAGGCAATAATCGCATCAAAGATCTCGAATGGATTTGGTCAAAGAATCTGTGGCTTTGACATGCTCCGCGTGGGAGACAAAAGCTATGTCATTGACGTCAACGGCTGGAGCTTCGTCAAGGACAACAATGATTATTACGATAAGTGTGCCAACATTCTCAGGGACATTTTCTTGGAAGAGAGACGCAAAAGTGAGGGAATGTCAGAATCATCCGAGCCGCCATCACCGGACATAGGCTCGTCCAGAAGGAGCACGGCAGGATCTCATCGCCAAGCCCTAAAGACCTTGCTGAAGTCTCCTAGCACTTCCAGGCTTTACGGCCAAAATCAGAAACCTCCCGAAGCCCCAGAGTCAGGTACTCCATCAGTAGCGTCATCTGGGGTAGAGAGTACCGATATCGGCGCTGCTCTCAGCAAGTTGAATTCCCGGGAAGCCTACTCTACTACTCGTGGCTATAGTCCCTCGAACACGAAATCTCCGGCTCTTTCGGTACAGCACGCCAATGAAGAAGCCCTTCCGCCTCTTCCTGCTTCCAAACACTCTTGGAAGCTGAAAGGCATGGTGGCAGTGATTCGACACGCAGATCGGACCCCGAAGCAAAAATTCAAGTTCACTTTTCATAGCCAACCTTTTGTGGATTTGCTGAAAGGGCACCAGAACGAGATAGTGATCAAGGGGGAAGCTGCATTGTCCAGTGTTTCTGATGCCGTCAAGCTGGCTATGGAGAAGGGCCTGGAAGACATGGAGAAGCTCAAGTTGCTCCGCACATCCTTAGAGAAAAAGGGCGGTTGGCCTGGTACCAAAGTACAGATCAAGCCAATGTTCCGAAAACGAAAGCCAGAAGAAATGGGAGAACAGGGCCCACTGGAAGCTTCAACTCCATTGCCTGAGGGCAAACCCAAAGAAGAGCCCCATTCACCTGTACCCAATGAGGGAGAGGGACTCACGCCAGAGAATGAGGACTTGCGCAGATCACAGACACGAAGTGATTCTATCTCAGGTGCGACTTTTTCTCGGTTCTCCGCCGCTGAGAATGACTTGATCCTGGACAAACTACAGCTTGTGATCAAGTGGGGCGGCGAGCCCACACATGCTGCGCGTTATCAATCGCAGGACCTTGGACTGAACATGCGGGATGATCTCAAGCTGATGAACAAGGAGGCGTTGAACAACGTTCGTATATTTACTAGCTCAGAACGTAGAGTGAGCACCAGTGGTGAGTCATTTTCCTTGCCAGGACCTGCATCCAGCTAACACCATTCTTAAAGCACAAATATGGGCATGCTCATTTTTGGACCAGAAGGATATCCCTGAAGACTTGATACAAGTTCGGAAAGATTTGCTTGACGACTCAAATGCCGCCAAGGATGTCATGGATAAAGTCAAGAAAAAGCTGAAACTGCTTTTGCGAGAAGGGTCTGCGCCTTCACAATTTGCTTGGCCCAAGGATAAAAACATCCCAGAACCTTCGGTTGTCCTTGCTAGGGTAGTTGAACTGATGAAGTTCCACCGGGGTGTCATGCGACAGAACTTTGAGAAACTCGACAGCGCACCGCAGATCTTCCAAGCTCCATCCAATGACCCTGAAACCCCGAGCCAACCAACCCCCGTGGATTCCCCCGATTTATCTAGCATACAGGGCCGTTGGTGCGCGGGTGAAGATCCTCGACTCTTCAAAGAGCGGTGGGAAAAGCTCTTTGCAGAGTTCTGCGACACCGAGAAGGTCGACCCGAGCAAGCTTTCCGAGCTCTACGACAGTATGAAATTCGACGCACTTCACAATCGGCAGTTTTTGGAATGGGTCTTCATGCCACAGGACAGTCCCCGTGACCATGATGAAGAACAGAAATGCAAGAGCGCAGCAAAGACAGACACAAGCGCGGAGGGGAAACTTGGACAGGAAGCCGGGAACGACAAGTCCGAAGAGCGCATCGAAAGCCAGACATTCGCTCATCGCTTTGGGTTGAAGAAACGCAACGTTGCTCTCGAGTCACTACCGCACCTTCGGGCACTAGATGATTCATACGATCATTACTTCAAGCTTTTCCCTGGCTCCCAATCCTCCAAGTGCAAGATGGATGAGCGGCTTTCGAAGCTCCGGGAACTGTACAAGCTAGCCAAGGTTTTGTTCGACTACGTGACACCTCAGGAATATGGAATCACCGACAGTGAGAAACTCGAGATTGGCCTCCTCACATCCCTTCCTCTTCTTCAAGAAATTGTTCGAGATCTAGAGGAGGTGCAGGCTTCGCAGGATGCCAAGTCCTTCTTCTACTTCACCAAAGAATCTCATATCTACACCCTCTTGAACTGCATCTTGGAAGGAGGAATTCAAACTAAGATTGCCAGGAGTGCCATCCCAGAACTTGATTATCTCTCTCAGATTTGCTTTGAGCTATATGAAGCTCGGGACAGTGAATCGGACTCCTACTCTTACTCCATCCGCATCTCAGTCAGCCCTGGTTGTCACGCCTTCGACCCGCTTGACGTGCAACTCGATTCCAGGCACTCCATCGGCTGCACCCCACGCCGAAGCCTGACAGCCCATCAGGATTGGAAGGAGGTGATTGAGACGTTGAAGGCGAAATTCAACACGTAAGTTGTGTTCTACCTTAACCTCACTGGATTTTTACTAACAACTACATGTAGTGTGGAACTACCCAAGACTTTCATCGCGGTAAACCTCAGCGACAAGCATAGCTCTCATCATGAGAATTCACCGTCGCCCCCGCGTGGTATTTCCCCAACTCAGGACTAAGATCGACATCTCGGGAACATTGTATTTGTGATGGCCTTTTTTCTTTTTTTCTTTTTTTTTGTGACCGATACATTTGGATAGAATTGCTTCTTATGTACCCCCCTGCCTTGTGAAGGCTGTATCATGTATCTAGTAAACAAAGGACCTACAGTATGAATTGCCTGTTCCGGTTGGCTTTTTTCCCCCCCTTTTTAGGGTTAATCCTAATAAATACGCCGTCCCGTAGCCTCCCTTCAATGCCCCGGATATAAAAGACCCGACTTCGCTTGTACTCAAATATCCATGCCAGTGCTCCGTCCGTCTACCCTAGCCCAGCCTGTGGGGTTGCGGCCAATTGTGGGGACAACCGCACAAGTTGGCCGTGCTCTTGGGGTAAAAAAAAAGGGTACAGAGTATGGAGTAGCGTAATAGAAATGAAAAATTGAACCGACCGGCTAGTTCTCGTGGCCGTTCTCCCCAATAATAGCTGCACCAGGAAGGCGGGGTGAGCACAAAATCTCTCGGATCTTCGCTGATCTCCACAGCTATTACATACATCTTTCCAAGGTTGTCGGGTCAAATTTGTCATAGAACTGCAATTTTTCCCTGCGAATAGTCACAAATTCCTCGGGAAGTTGATTGTGCTCGGGTTTGCCCGGGTTTCTTAATAGATTCTTTATATAATTCCTTTCGCTGAAATGTCCAAAAGAAATCTTGCATTTGTGATAGACTCGCTCAGATCTCATTCTCCATATATCGATGCTATCATCCAACGAAATGTCTATCGTGAAGGAAAATGAGACACTGGTCTCAAACCCGGCTCAATCGGCCAGGAAGCCCGGTGCTCATCTAGCAAACCCTGTAAGAGCCTTGAATGATTTGAAGCTTTGGATGTAGGGTACATACTAACATGCCAACCTTTGGTTATATAGGCACCTTTAGCGATGGGTGGCTTTGCCACCACTCTGCTATCTGTGTCTCTGGCCATGATGAACTTCCGTGGGGTCTTCACACAAACTATTTTTATGGGGGATCTTTGCTTTGTTGCTGGGATCGGTATGCTTATTTCCGCCCAATGGGAGATGGCCCGAGGGAATACATTTTCCTATACAGTTCTTTCTGCCTATGGTTCGTAAATACCTATTTTGCTACATGTATTGAAGGACTAATATTAACATTTCATCGTTCCAGGGCTCTTTTATGGCGGTTACGGAGTAATTTTGATTCCCGCATTAGGAGTCGTTGATGCATATGGCGGTTATACCCCGGAATATCACAACGCCCTAGGTTTCTTTGTCCTGTGTAAGCGCTATACTTTTGGATTATCGATGTCTCTCTTTCTCTAACATTCTCTTCTCTAGTATGGGCGGTCTTTAACCTCTTCTTTCTCTTAGCCAGCTGCGCTCTGTGAGTTCCTTCGACTCTACATTTCTCTAATACTAAAGTTAACCTTGTCGAATAGGAACATTGTTTATATTCTTCTGTTCCTCACACTTGAGCTGTGTCTCGTTTTTGACGCCGCGTCCAGCTTTACCCTGGCCGACGGGTTGATCGACACAAGTGCAAATCTTATGACCGCTGCTGGTGCTTTCGCTTTCGTTTCCAGTTTGCTTGGATACTATTCTGTCCTCCATTATCTGTGTGAGGACTCTCTGCCATTCTCGGTTCCAATGGGCGACACTTCTCGAGCTTGGAAGCGTTGGTGCAAAAAGACAACGCAGGAAGATTCGAAGGGCCAACAAGAATTGGTGTGAAGGGATTTTCATACGTCAAAAGCTTAATGTGGATTAGAAGTTTAATATAACCCAAAGTCGTACGGAGTACAGCTATGACTAGTAGGAAGGATGATCATACTATGACTAGCTACAACTAGCTATATATGTGGCCTAATGGTGTTAGGGCCTAATATATATACCGCTACAATGACAATCGGACGTTCCGATTGTCGATGATCTTCTGTACGGTGTCGAGGTGTTGGGTGTACTACAACCAATTCATGCATTGCATACTACTTGGGTAGGCCCTATATAAATAGAGTCGGTACTGCTAGTATAAGAATTTAAACATTTTATTTCCTCTCTATGCCCAACTGGAATTAATGATCTAAGGTGTCTTGCCTATGTATTATATGTTGACAAAATAATTGACGAAGTAAGATTTCAATTTTTGATAGTCAAGTAATAAATGTAATTAAAGAGTGAGATTTGTTCTAGAAACCCTGTCGTCTTTTTACCCAAGTAGTACGACATGGATGGTAAAAAGTCCGGGTAAGCCGTAAACCCCGCCTTGTCAAGGAACTGTTGATTTTTCTCTCACGCTACATACTCAGAGATATCAGAGATGGCTGAACCTTTGGCCGTCGACGTAGTTGACAGCGCCCTGAAATACACATCTCACGCAGGCGTTGAGTGTTTGATTGACTTCAATGACATTCTCTGCGTGTTGTCCAATCATGTACCCACGTATAGTGTGCTGTTCTTCCAGAAAACCGAACTGGATGGCGACAAGTCTGAGGACTTTTCCTTAAAAAAGATCGATATCGAGTCCCTGCCTGCAGCACTATCTCCTTTTGTGATCAAGATTCCTAGCCACCTTCGACAAGAAGATGAGCCACCTATCGTCCAGGTTGTGGTATCTACTGGATCAGGAACGGGGAAAGCGAAGACAATCTTTCAAGATGTTGTACGGCCCCTTCTCACATATATTGGTCTGGAGAATTACGAGCTCTACGAAACACAGTCTGCGCAAACTATCGTCGAGCTTGCACGATCGAAATTCCTGGAGCGGGCTCATAATGGCGTTCCTCAGACCATCATCCTTCTTTCTGGCGACGGGGGTCTCATCGATATTCTCGAGATTTTCTACAAATCCAATATGGCGATTGGGGTATCTCCCAATATTGTGTTGATTCCTTGTGGGACAGGGAATGCCATGGCAAATTCTATCGGGTTACGATCTGGTCCGGTCCCGGGTCTTTCAACACTACTTCGAGGCAGTCCATCTTCCATACCGGTCTTTGCTGCCAAATTTTCACCTGGCAGTCGGCTGGTCACCGACGAAGGTCGCCAGCGAGCCGATATCGACACCGATGTTCACCACACATTATACGGGGCCGTTGTTGCGAGCTGGGGGCTCCATGCTGCATTAGTTGCGGACAGCGATACATTCGAATACCGCAAATTTGGAGTCGATCGTTTCAAGATGGCCGCAAATGAGCTACTTCATCCCTCGGATGGCACTCCGCCTCACCAATTCAAAGGCAAAATCACATTAACAACCTCGAATGGCCCGAACGAGACACGTTCCCAAAAAGCAGTGGAAGGACCTGAGCACATGTATGCGCTTGCTACACTCGTTCCACGACTTGAGAAGGAGTTCTTGATTTCCCCAGACTCAGTGCCCCTGGATGGGCAGATGAGGTTCATCCGCTTCGGTCCTATGTCGGCGGAAGACGCGATGCAGTTGATGACTCTAGCCTACCAGGGCGGTCGACATGTGATGGAAGATACGGTCACCTATGCCAACACTGAGCAAGTTCGAATCGATTTTCAGGAAGACGAGGAGAGGTGGCGACGTGTTTGTATTGATGGAAAGATCGTCGCTGTCGAAAGAGATGGTTGGGTGGAAATTTGTAAAGAACCTAGCCGTTTGCTGAACTTGATTAATTAGGCAGAGGTTCATTAGATTACGATAGAAATATATTAGATTAGAACTGAAAAGTACATTATATATGGTCTATAAACGAGGCCCAGTTCATAGAGTTTGTTGATCCGTAAGGGGAATGTAATCATGTGTTTTCCGCCATCTCCGATATTGGATCCCCGTAAACCACCACACTCCACCCATCCCAGCATATGGGATGCGCCAGCAAATGATATTGTTGCCTCACTAGTCTCTCTTATCTAGCGCCTTGGAAATTGCTTGACTATAATGGAACTGCCCATTAGTTTCGATGCTGATCACTGCGCGCACCTATTCGGCCTCCCAAACCCCAGACCAAAGTGCAGCACAACCCTGCAATAAGAGGTCGCGATTTCATACCTTCTCCGGCTGGCAAACAAGTCCGGTGGAGACAAAGGAAGCGACCGACATGTTGTTAATCCATCAAGTTGGTAGTGTCCGCGTTGGGGAAGTCGTTAGGTGAGTCTGGTTCGGATTGCCCCTCAAGTCTGAAGCCCTTCTGGATCGCTGATAGTAAATCGTCCTTCAGATACACGATTAAATACACCCCGGCAGCCGATCCGATCCTGCCCATTCCTTCGAATCTCTACGTGAGAGTGAAGAACACATCTGCCATCCCGTTGCGCGCCGCATACCTCCATGGCCCGTACACGCTATACGCCGCTTGTTATCCCTCGCAGTTTGACCCCAACACCAAATATGAGCGACAGGATCTGGAAGGTACACCGCAGTTTGAGCCCTACCTAAAGGCCGGAGGTGGTTGGGATGCCATCATCAAGGTGCCGGTTAATCTCCAGGAAGCCCACGACTTTGGCTCTCCGGGTCAAGGTGGACCGGCAAGTGGACATAGCGTTAGCTGGATTGTTGAGATACAATCGCAGGTGATATTTTCAAGTAGCGCAGCGGTGCATTTTGAGCTGCTGGTGGGCCGTGATGAAAAGTCGCTGGCATATTTCTCGGGCGGTGCATGGGGTAGCGGAAGTGGCTCTCCGGGGCCTCCGGCAAAGTTACAAGAACATTGGCTGCCTGAAACTAGAGGCAGTCAGGTGCTTGCCTCGAAAGGCGTGTACTCAAAATCAATCGCTCTTCATATCGACGATACAACTAGTCTATGGAGCAGTCCACCATTCCCCTCGGCGCGGCCGGCTTCCAAAGATGTTGACCGGAAGAGTCAGGACCGGCAACCTCTGTGTGACAATCCAGCACCGAAGGACTCTACTGAAGCTCCGATAAAAAGCGCCAAGAAGAAGGTGCATCTCGTGTTACTGACACACGGGTTGCACAGCAACCTGGGTGCAGACATGCTCTATTTGAAGGAGAGCATTGATGCAGCCATGAGAAAGTCTAAACAGAAAGACAGTCAAGCCAAGGCCCCCCACGTCAGCCCTGTTGGACCGGATGGTCGAGAAACCCCGACAAGGTATGAACCTCCTTCTGAGCCCTCGGGCATCCAAAATTTCTAATCCCTGATTTTGTCAGCAGTAAATCTAGTCATGTTGAGGAGGAGCAAAATAACCAGTCTAGTGATAACCCTGACGATGACGACGAAGAGGAAGTCATTGTCAGAGGGTTCTCTGGCAATGCTGTTCGGACTGAGCGTGGGATTCAATACCTCGGCAAACGGCTTGCCAAATATGTCCTGCTTCTCACATATCCCGATCAACCCTATTTCCCTCTGAAGGGCACAAAATCGAACCCATTTTCTCGACCCTTTAGTGCTCGCAAGGAGCGAGTTCAACCTTTTGCTCATTCGGCTGAATCAACCCCCCAAGAGAATGCCCATGAATTTCAAAATGAAGACCATGCTTACCAGATTACGAGCATTAGTTTTCTTGGCCATTCTCTTGGCGGACTGATTCAGACATATGCAATCGCATATATCCAAAAGCATTCGCCTCAGTTCTTTGAGAAAATCAGGCCTGTTAACTTTATTGCTCTTGCAACCCCTTTTCTTGGTCTCAGCAATGAGAATCCAATGTATGTTCGATTTGCATTGGATTTAGGTCTAGTTGGCCGTACCGGCCAAGATCTCGGATTGAGTTGGACGGCACCGAAAGTTCGAAGTGGCTGGGGTGCTATTATTGCCGGAAGAGGAGAGTCTGCAAAAGACCCCGGCCATTCGGATCCTGGCTCCAAGCCACTTCTACGGATTCTTCCTTGTGGTCCTGCTTACGAGGTTCTTAAGAAATTCCAGCATCGTACGGTGTACTCGAATGTGGTGAATGATGGGATAGTTCCTTTGCGGACATCTTCTCTTTTGTTCTTAGACTGGAAAGGTCTGGATCGGGTTGAAAAAGCGAGGAGGGATAATGGGCTTGTTGGAACTATGGCCGAATGGGGGTGGGCAGAGTTGACAGGCGCCAACTCGAAATCCCCGAAATTCGCTCGCCCCGATGGAGAGCTGCCTTTGGGTCTTCCAGCAATGGAGATCGGTCATCAAAATGCATATTCTGCGACTCAGGTTCCCCCAAGGCCCACAGACGACATTTTGGACGAAGATACAATCTCCCCGAAGCCGGCACAATTCCTAGCACCACCCGGTCGTGTGTCCAACCAGAGAATTCCAGAGGAGGGCATCGTGAAGGAAAATCCCTCGGGAAATGCGCCTTCCAGTCCCCTGGACAGCTTCTTTTCGCTATTTCGCCTTAATCAGGGCAAGAACCCCCCGAATAGCAAGAACGCTAGGATTTATAAGCGTAGCCAGACCCTGAGCACTTTTGAGACTGGCGATGGCGATGGCATAATGCCCATTACTCATGGGCCTTCCTCGCACGAGTACGAAGGAATGCACACACCTCCAAAGACAACATTTTTCGAGTCTGCGGGAGACTTGTTGATGCCGCCTTTACCACCCGCGGATTTCATTTTGGACCCTGCCGCGCGACCCCGGACAATCTTCCACGACCGCATCTACCACCCAGAGGATATACCACTCCCTTTACCGACAAAGCGACGCACATTAGCATTTGGTTCGCTACAGGGTAAGCAATCGAAGTCGGCACACACTCAGCATCCATCTCCTAGCATCGCGGACAACGAAAGTGGCCTCAAGGTCGAAGAAAAAATTGCGAGAGCCTATCACCGTGATCTGACCTGGCGAAAGGTTCTTGTTCGACTTGAACCCGATGCCCACAATAACATTATTGTGCGGCGCATGTTCACCAATGCCTATGGCTGGCCTGTTGTGAAACACTTGGTTGATACACATTTCGGCCATACGCCCGCTGCGGAAACTGACGATGCTCTGAAGCAAAATGTGGAGAGGGCCAAGTCTCCAAATGTTGGTCCGACTAGTTCGGGTGATGAGGTTGAAGGGCAGTCCGATTCTGTCAATCCAGGTTCAGTAAGAGATACAGGCGATTTGCCAAATGTATCCGATCTCCATGTATCGGATGATCTATCTTCTGGTCCGAGTGACGCCTTCCTGGCCGAAGGTGAATCGCACATGAGCACCAGTGACAGAAATCTTGTATCGAGGCAGGATTCAGCACGATGGACTGATCGTGAAGTCGTCGAGGATGACAGCGACTCTGGCTTCGAAGTGGAAACTAACGCTGGTTTCCGTCACATATCATAGCGCCATCCTGGCTTTCATTGTACATACGGTTTTCTTAGACATATACCCCGTAATTATGCGAATGTTATAATTGATTGAGGCTTTTCTACTTTATATCGTACTCAACTAGCCGGGGCAGGTAATCAATACTTCAATTCACCTTGAACATGGCTCCAAAACTCCTCCACCAACTCCTTTTGTCCAGTTCCACCTGGGGAACCTCGAACAGCAAGATACTTCCGCCCGTCAAGACGAGCCTCCCAAACTCCCGGGTTTCCATCCGCCATAATGCCCCCGGCTTCAGAGAGGATAACCCATCCCGCGCAGACATCCCAGGACCAGCATCCACCCTCCCAATACAGATCCAGCGTGCCATCAGCCACAGCACATAAATTCAACGCGGCCGAGCCTAAACTCCGCATCGCGCGCACCATAGCCCCACCGTTTTCCTTAGCCTTCCCCAGCTTCTCATATGTCCGAACCTTAGTTTCCCAATTGTTCCCGCTGCGATCCGCGCCCCATTCAATGGCAATGAGAGCATTAGCTAGTCCCGACAGGGGCTCGACATTGTCGCCCTTAAGCGGCAAGCGAGTTTCACGATTGAGGAAAGCGCCTTGGCCTCGAATAGCGGAGTAAAGGGTTTTGGTAGAGGGGTTATACACCACCCCCACCGTGGGTATACGTCCAACAGCGAAGCCGAGCGAAACACAGGCAAATGGAAAGCCATGCACGAAGTTCACCGTTCCATCAATGGGGTCTACAACGAAGGTAGGGGCATCGGTCAAGGGGCGTGCTGGGTCATATGTTTCCTCGCCGTGGAATCTGAGAGAATACACATTAGAAGCGTGCTAGCAGCCACGAAGAGACAAACACATACTCGTAATGGGGGTATTTCTCCCTCAGAGAGGTCGAAATCATGTTTTCGACGGCACGATCATATTCCGTGACAAGGTCGGCACCTATAGATATCAGCTGTTTTCTTTTTTTTTGTGCTGTTTGTATGGATACGGACTATTCATTTTGGATCCTGTGCCGCTGGTGTCTGGGAGTGCATTGTTGATGATGTCCCCGGCCTTGAAGGCCAATGAGACTAGAAAGTCATGGATTTCGTTGAGGTTTGGGTTCTCCATGATACAATTGAGATATTGAGATGGCAGACTTGAGTTCTACCTAGGTATAGCTGGTTTAAAGGTCAAAGATGGAGGAGACGATCTTCGGGAACGCTAGAGGCGGGGCAATTCCGACCTCTTTCGAAGGAATATAGTAACGTCGACATGTATATTGTAGAAATATAGATTGTTTAGATGTATTACCTATTATCGAATTAACCACCTCTATCCTCTAAGATTGTCTATATCCATCATGGACATGTGTTGTATTACCAATCGTAAAAGATCCCTGGAGTATCTCCACGTTTCCAGTGACGTCGAGAACCCCCACTTCCGCGGGAAAAAAAAAATCTTTGAGATTCGACAATTTTGGAACACCACACACTCAGCCCTTGTTTCTGGCTTATAGATTATACTCCAATATGCCGACCGAACTTGAAGAGGTGCGTGCATGCATGCGGCCTACGATATCGATTAGCTCACTAACATCTTTCTATAGCTGGTGGAATTCCTGCACCATGGCAACACCCAAATTAGACAAATCGGTACGGCAACTCCTCTCGCGGCGCGAATATATGATCTAACAGCTCATAGCTTGCGAAACCCTCGTCGGCTTCTCCACAGCCCAGCCTGACTTGTTCAAGCGCCATCAACTCCTACCCGTCCGCGATTTGAAGCTTCTGGCCCGCGATTACGATGTGCGTTATCTGCGATCATGGGGGGTGGCTTTCGACTAATACCTTTGTACAGCCAATTGCGAAGAATGCATTGACCATCCTGGTCAACTTGTCTGGCGATGATGAGGTGTTGAAACTTCTCGCCGAGGATGACAAGTTTGTTGAGACCTTGCTTGTGAAATTGACAGTGAGTTGTCTCGGATGTCATACCTGTGAACAGAAATGGGGCTAATGTGTTTGATCTCAGAACCCCAAGGAGCCCAACGCCGATGAAGTGGCCATGCTTTTGGCCAATCTCGTCAAATCCGAAAAGCTACACAATCTGTTCTCCCTCAAGCGCAAAGTCCCCGAATCCGTATCTACCTCCGAGAACGCGATCGATCAGGTGATGGACTGCTTCGTGAAGGGCGCCGAGGGCGATCTCAACAAGCACGCCAATTATGATTACCTGTCGTACCTGTTTGCCGACCTGTCCCAGACGGAAAAGGGCAGGGCCTATTTCACCCAACGCCAGGAGTACGATGGCGTGGTTCCAATCACCAAGCTGACGGTCTTCACGGAGCACCGAAGCGATATCCGGAGGAAGGGAGTTGCATCCACAATCAAGAACGTGGCTTTTGAGATCGAGTCGCACCCAATGCTCTTTGACGAGGACGGTGCCAACCTTTTGCCTTACCTGCTGCTCCCGCTTGCAGGTCCAGAGGAGCTGTCAGAAGAGGATACTACGGACATGCTGCCAGATCTTCAGCTTTTGCCGCCCGATAAGCAACGAGACAGCGACACCAGCATCATCACGACCCATCTTGAGACCTTGCTTCTCCTGACCACAACTCGGGACGGCCGGGAAAAGATGCGAGCTGTCAAGGTTTACCCTTTGATCCGCGAGACTCATATGCATGTTGAAGATGAAAATGTGACAGAAGCATGTGACCGGTTAGTGCAGGTCCTGATGCGAGACGAGGAAGATGAAGGTGAAGGTGAAGGGGAGCCCGAACAACCTAAAATCGAGCCGCCTCAGAACGAGGATGAAAAGGTTGTAGAACTGTTTTAAGCGATTAGATACCAAATCAATTGTACATATGGAAGTGAACGCTATACAACACTTTATATTATTGTATATCGTACCTTAGTGCGGAGTAACCTATGTAACCTTTGGAAAGGGAACATAAATCTGCCGATGTCGGTGGGGCAGCCCACGAGCTCCAAGGACCGCAACGGGTCGTTTTTCACCACACTCCGCTTTAGTCCTCCACTAGCCCTGTTAGTATCTCTCTTCTGATTCCTCAATGCCCAAATCGATCTCGAGCTAATGCACGACCTAACCTGAAATACTGAAGTATTTCATCATCCCCCCACCATCACGTCCCCCAATATTCCACTGCGGACGCGGAAGCTGTCTTGCCCCTCGGCCCCGAGGCACAAGTGGCTTCCCGCTGAATCGGATCGAACTGATTCCAATTTCAATGATTGCGCGAGCAACAATGGAAACTACCCCGAAATCGACAATCCACCACCCGACGTGAACCCCGACACAGGGATTGTTCAGCGCTTCCGGGCCTTCATGTCGCGCGCCCCTCTTCTTCGCTCATCGCCCGTCCTGGGTGCTCCCTCTTACGGAGCATTGCGAAGCCCAGACGACTCGGAAGATGATATATCTGTTTCGCGTGGTCAGAATGTTCGTGGGGGTTTACAACGCGCGAACTTCGATATTGGCATTGGAAGCTCTTCCAATGTACCAGGGTCTACTCCAAGACGATCACATTCCTCTGTCAGGCGACGAAACAGCTTATACGCAGAGAGAAATCGTCGGCCTTCATCCGCTGCGTCCGATGTGGGATTGGGTCCTGATTCGAAATACTCGTTTGCCACTGGATTGGCCGTACCAGGCAACCCGGTGATACAGGAAACACCGGCGTCTTCGCCATATATGACAAGTGATGACGAAAATGCCCTCGACACTGATGATGAGGGTTCAAAATCCTCAAGGGAGGATCCTCCAGACAATTCACCGTATGCCCAAGTACGAGCTTCGGTTCCGGCGACGGATGATATCACTCTTTCTATTAACAGTGAGCTTTCTTCCTGGAGCTTCTTTCTGCGTATATCTAATGGTTTCTAGCACCTCGGATGTGGATTCTCTCTTTGTTATTCTCTTTGACGGGGTCCGCCGCCAATCTTTTCTTTTCATTGCGCTATCCCAGTGTTGCCATTACCCCAATCATTGCTCTTGTTCTAGTCCATCCACTGGGCAAGTTTTGGGATGTACTTTTCAAACAAACAGGTGACCCTCTTGAGATTTTTGAGAACGGGTCCCTTCACCACCGAGAATCACTCTCCGGTGAGATCCAGGCACCTCCTGTTCCATTGGCATCCCGAGTCAGACTCTGGTTTGCCCAGGGCCGTTGGAACGAGAAGGAGCATGCTTGCGTCTACATTAGCAGCAATGTTTCCTTTGGATTTGCTTTCGCGACTGATGTTAGTACACCGACGAAACATTCGTGACGAAGCTGACCAAGACAGGTTATTGTCGAGCAATATAAATTTTACAACCAGGATGTTCCAATTATATATCAGCTGCTGCTCATCATATCAACTCAGGTTTTGGGATATGCATTCGCGGGTCTAACTCGACGATTCCTCGTGCGGCCATCGGCTATGATCTGGCCGGGAACCTTGATGTCCACTGCAATGTTTTCTACGATGCACAAGTCTGTCAACAAAAAGGCAAATGGGTGGAGTATCTCCCGATATAAATTCTTCGTCGCTGTGTGGGCAGGGGCGTTTCTCTGGTATTTTGTTCCGGGACTGTTGATGCCTGCTCTAAGTTATTTTAATGTGATCACTTGGTTGGCACCCAAAAATGTGGTTATTTCGAATTTGGTACGACACCCAGGTCCTTGTCTGCTTCTTTGACTGACTTTTCTAGTTTGGTGTTGCCTCTGGTCTCGGGATGTTCCCTCTGACCTTCGATTGGGCTCAGATTGCCTATATTGGCTCCCCATTACTCACGCCTTGGTGGGCGGCAGCCAACATTCTGACGGGATTGGTGGTTGTCATCTGGATAGCCGCCCCGATACTTTGTAAAGTCTCCCCATCTGACCTCATTTAACTCTGCTAATCAAGCGAAGATTATAAAAATGTTCTTTTCTCTGCATATATGCCCATAGTTTCAACCGCAGTGTTCGACAATTCTGGGCGACCATACAACGTGAGCCGAATCTTGACCGCGGACTTTTTGTTCGATGAAAAGGCTTATCAAGATTACTCCCCGGTTTATCTCCCAATCACCTACGTGCTGTCTTACGGTGTCCAGTTTGCTGCGTTGACATCCCTTGTCACTCACACCATTTGCTGGTATGGGAAGGACATCTGGCATCAGACTAGAAAGGCTTTTGATGAAAAACGAGAAGTGCCAGACATGGAGACGTACCAGCCCCTTCGTGGAAGCAATGATACGCCTCGACAAAGTTTTGGAATCCCAGGGACCAGCTCGCATGCACCGAGCCAGGAAATTCCATTGGGAGGGGATGATGTTCATTGTCGCTTGATGAGGCGCTACAAGGACGCTCCCCTCACGTGGTATCTTCTCGTGTTCATTTCTATGCTCGCCATTGCCATCTTCACGGTGCAATAGTACGTTTCCCCCTCTCTTTAACCTTTGATCGCAGCTGACCCTAGCACAAAGTTATCAAACACACCTACCTTGGTATGGGCTACTCTTAGCTCTTGGTATTACTTGCTTGTTTTTCATCCCAGTGGGCATCATCATGGCCGTCACCAATCAACATAGCAGCCTCTATCTGATCTGCCAACTCCTTTGCGGCATTGTATTCCCGGGAAGGCCTGTAGCGAACATGATTTTCGTGACCTACTCATATATCAGCTCTGCACAAGGGATCAAATTTTCCTCGGACCTCAAACTTGGCCATTACATGAAGATCCCACCACGAATTCTGTTTGGCGTTCAGATGATGGCGACTTTGGTCTCGAGTCTGACCCAAATTGGTGTGCTGAACTGGATGTTCACTTTTGTTCCGGGGCTTTGCACCCCGGAGGCTATCAATGGTTTCAATTGCCCCATTGCTCGAGTCCATTTCAACGGCAGCATTCTCTGGGGAGTTGTTGGCCCCCAGCGCTTCTTTGGCCCGGGAGGGCTATATCGTCCGCTTGTTTGGGCCTTTTTGGTGGGAGCCGTCGCCCCTCTCGGGGCATGGCTTCTGGGGAGACACAGCAAGAAGAGCTTCTGGCGTATGGTCAACTTCCCTATCTTGTTTGGCAGTTTGAGCTGGATACCACCTGCAACCGGGCTCAACTTTTCCATCTGGGCCCTTGTGTGCTTTGTGTTTAATTACGTTATTCGGCGGAGAAGGAGCGCGTGGTGGGAAAAGTATGCAATGACCTTGTCGGCTGCATTGGATTCCGGGTTGGCATTTGCAGTGGTCGTTGTCTTCTTCGCCTTCATTTACCCAGGCTGGGTCGATGGTTTCAAATGGTGGGGTACGGAGATTTATAAACAGGTATGTCCTTTATCTTCTGGTTCTTTGATCTCTGCTAACTGTGCCAAGGGCTGTGATTGGACTGCTTGTCCATACAAACCACTGGAACCGGGTCAACGATTCGGTCAGTAGATTTAGCATCAATTGAAAAAATAGAATTCCAGTGAAATAATACAAAAGCTACCAGTAAATATACCACATGTACTACCTAGTCAAATAGACAAGCAAGAATAGTCGGCTGATTATGCGGCCTTTGTCCTTGACAACTTGGGACTTGGATAATCTGAATATGTAGTTGGCTCGAGAGGATCTTAGAGATGTTACACTTTGGATCGACTGCAATATACTAATCTTTGGTTTCCTTTTGGATTTCATTATCCCGAATCGCGGGTTAGTTAGGGTTCACGTACTTTAGAGGTGATCTTTAAAAGAGCCGCCGGTTGCACGGACCACACGGCCCGGAGATCTCCCCGAGTCACGTGCCGATGTCAGCGGGGCGGGTAAACATTTGCTCCGAGGTCTACCGTCATACCTCCGGGTCAATGCCTCCAGCTCTTTCAAAGTGACTTTTCCATCTCTCACTCTTTTTTAAACCTGTCCCACTTGTCGCAACACAAGACAGGCAAAAGGTTACATTTGTTCCGTATTTACACCCTGGCGTGATCCCTCACGTCGCCTTTCACCACTCGTACAACTCTGTTTTGTACGTCGGCAACATGTCGACCCCAACGAATCCCTCGAATGCTCGCACTCCAACTGGGCCAAATGGTGCACCGCTGATGAGGATGCGTCGTCCAAAAGCAGCGGACCCTTTGGTTCGACCGAAGAGAAGGCCTGTCCCCAAACCAGCTGGCGCCACTCCCGCCGGCAGTGGAATAGCCACCAAGACTCTTCCCTCACGGCCGTCCCACCCCCAGGCGATCTTTCCATCCGAGCGACCTATGCTTGAGCTTTCAAACAACCACATGGCATCGAATGCGTTCAGTGGTCCTTTGCTCAGTGATAAATACGTTGATTATCCAGTGGTGACGACAAAGCGAGCTCTGATGGAGGGACTGAAGCACCACATCGCGCGATTTGCCTCGAAGAAAAGCGTCGACCCACGTGACGAATCACAATTTACTCGACCAGTCCGACTACACCGTCGCGACCCACGTTCACGAACTCATGATCCAAACTCGGGAAGATCTGAGATTGATGGCCAGCCGATGGATGAAGCTGAACGCGAAGCCTTTGATGCTCGCAAGGCAGCACGCGAAAAGGAGCGCGCTGAGAACCTTTCCCAAATCGCTCCCGCCCTCGGCTCAACCTCAAAACGACCAAATGCCCCAAAGCAGAAAACGCAGCAGGTTTTCAAGTCGGATATGACTCCTGAAGAGATTGCAAGGGCACGGATAAAGTACGAAGAGGCCTTGCCATGGCACCTGGAGGATTTCGACAACCAGCACACCTGGGTTGGAAACTACGAAGCGGCTCTGTCCGAAACACATGCAGTCTTTGTCCTCGACAACGGAAAGATGAGAATGATTCCGGCCGAAAAGTGGTACAAGTTCAACGCTAAGAGTAACTTCAAGGCTTTGACCATTGATGAAGCAGAGAAATTCATGGCCAAGAGAGTGAAAGATCCTCGATGGTTCATGGAAAAGCAGCAGCAGTTGGAGCAAGAGAAAGAATTGGAAACATACGCCAAGCAGCGCAAAGTCTACGCCGGAAAACAGGGCACAAATGTCGGAAAGGGCGCGGGATTAGAGGCCGGTGAAATGGATTTCGAAGAGGATCGATTTGCCGACGACGAAGAGCATGATGATCTCTTCAATGAGGACGAAGATGCGAAGGATGCCGAAAAGAGGATCAAAGAGGACCAGCTCAAGGCGAATGTGTTCAATCTCAAGGACGAGAAGGAGTATGACGCTGAAGAAATTCGAGAGAAACGTGAACGAGAGGCCCGGCGTGTGTTGGGAAAGGGTGTGCGCAAGGCTCTGAAGAAGAGAGAACGGAACTTTGATTACAGCAGCGGTTCAGACGTCAATCCATACACGGATGAAGAGGTAAATTCTCACCCATCTTCGACAGCAAGCCCAGGACTAATGTGGACAGAGCTCCGACGACAGCGAAACCGAACGGGCCAAGGAGGAAGAACGGAAGAAGGCAGAAGAAGAAAAGAACCAAAAAGAAGCGCTCTCCTCCAAGGGAACAAATACTCCCTCCGGTCGCCCCAAGCACACAGATGCCATGAAGAAAGCTTCAGCTACTGGATCTCGGAAAAGGCTTGGATCACCAAATGGCTCCGATGCGAGCGGCACCGATACATCCCGAAAGAAGGCCAAAAGCATGCATCTCCCTACGTCTCAACCCCCATCGCGTCCGATCTCTCCATCCGCTTTGCAGGTAGGTACAATCATTTCCCTTTGGCCAATAAATATTGATTTATCTAGGGCAAGAAACGCGTGCGAAACATTCCTGGTGGCGCTGGATCTGGCAGTGATGTCGACACTGGTGCCGGATCTGGAGCTGAAATGACCGAGGGTGGCAAGATCAAGAAACTGAAACTCAACCCCCCTACTTCGGTTTCTCGTGGTGGCACTCCACAAGGGTCCCGTGCCGCGAGTCCTTTGCCTCGACTCCCTGGGAGCCGTGCCAACAGCCCCGACGGCCCCAGAGGTGAGTTCCGGTCAAAATCCGTTTTTGATGCAAGACATAAACTAACCATCTGCAGGCCATCGTGTGTCGACTCCAATTTCTGGAACCCAGACTTTCCCGACGGCCGGGGAAATCCATGCCGCCATTCCAGCATCTGGCATCCTTAGCAGCGACCTCTTGAAGGTTTTCCGTCCTCGTATTGGCGAATCCAAAGAGAACCATCGGAGATTTATTGCCATTGTCAAGGATGTCAGCGTTTACGGAAAAGAGGATCGGATGCTGCGACCAGGTCCCTGGAAGGGGAACTGAGGTCTGCTCAAGGTAGTTCCAGGTCAAAATCATTGTCAATACTTTCCATGTTTTTACTTTTATTTCCTATCTGCCAATCACTGTCAGCAGCATCTTGTGAGTAGGAATGCTTTGACTATGAATATCTTCTGTAGGCGGTCTATTCTGGTTGTTCATAGTTGTTCAGAAGGAGCGCCTGCCTAATATCCTTACCATGAGCAACCATCCTCTACATATGTACCCAATGCACATTATTACTACTCTCGGGCCTTTATCCACATTTGATACCTCTACGTGGTGACCGAAATGAAGAACTGGAATACAACGTATAGGCTATTTGCCTGAGAACAACTAGGGGAAGAAATAGAAGCTACTGGCACGAGTACGGATCAATCCCTGCTTGAGGGACAATGGTATGGATTGAAAAAGCATATGATCGATCTGTGTATAACATAGTCGGGTATAGGTTGCTCTTTACCAGCATCTGACTTCCTTTAAACAAGAGAGAACTGCGAGACACTCCTTTTCGGTAGTGGTACCTGTTTTCCAGGTCGCTCAAGGCGAAAGACATGTATATAATTGGGATTTCATCCGGGACATGAACGAAGCCTGGGTTGATACCCTTAGGAAGGTGAAAGCCATTGCTACCTGGCCAACTCCATGTAGAGGTATCGAATGTGGATAGAGGCCTGAGGCCAATCAGGATGTTCATTGGTAGAAGGTGGGAGGACCCGTGGTTCCCACATGGGAACTAAACCTTTTATGTGTATAAGGTTGTATAGGTAGAACCTTGGCAGGACATCGCAGTTTCCCTTTCTACAGGCAGACAGTTACTTCCACTTCTCACTCTTCTCACTCCCTTTCACTTTCTTCCTCCGTATCAACCTATGGTTTCAACTCAAGATTCCGTCACCAACGGCCACTCGAAGCAGAAGCGCGCAAGCCTCTCTAACGTATTTGAAGGGCTTGAAATCACACACATTCCATCCTCCTTGTACCCTCTGATCCCTATCAGCCAAGCGAAGTCAATCCGCCGAATGATGAAGTCCACACTCAGCTTCGGTAATGGTACCGTTGTTGCTCGCTCTTTAAGCAGCATCGAAACACAGCTGACAGTCGCAATGGACGATCCAGTTCCATTGGATTTGGTCCAATCCTAGTGTCCTCATCTCATACATTCTGCAGCATCGTGGGGACCTAGTTCTCGTGGAATTGATCCAGCCTACTGGTCAACACCACTAGGAGTGTGGCTCGGATTCCTGTCTATCAGTTGTGGAAATCATTATCTCACAGCCAAGAGCAAGGTTGCAGCAAGACATGGATATGTGGCTTGACCCGCGAGGTGTAACACCAGTGTCGCTATAGCCGTCAAAGCGAACCGGATACGACCAACGATCATGGATGAATGGGAATGGGGCAAAACAAATTGGCAGTCCCAAAGATTCCAACATATCGAGGTCCGGGAAAACGAAACGGGTGATAAAGTCACAGTCATCTGAAGCTCCATTGACTATCCCATTTGACCTCCTATTCCTACGAGATCCGGGAAAGTAGGACAGTGCCTACGACTACAAGATTGGACATGGCGACTTTGATCCCAACAATACCTACCCCGGAATTATCACACTCGGTAATCAACTTTCTGGATTTCTCACGGGTCACCTCAGATCTCCTCACGAGGCTGTGTCAGATGATTCCATTTTGAATCCCATTGCCCGAATTATATTTGGGTCATGTGTGATTGAAAAGACAGGAAATAGCTCTGGGATCACCTTGAAACTCTTCCCCATGATTATGTTCAATTCTTATTGGAGTTTTTAATACAGACTACTAGCGTTTTATACAATATAGTCTGATTAAGTTTTCCGGACTAGATAACCTTTCGCTCAGCCCTCCATATACTTAATATATGTGAGGTCGGCGACAGATAGTGCTCCAATAAATAGTGCTCCAATAATATCTATTCTCACTATGCTTAAACCTCGTTTACCACAAACCATGAAGTGTGTACATTCCTATCCGCAAACTGAACAAACTCGACTAACGCCAAGCAGGCTCTCACAGGGTTGATAGCCAAAAACGTTACGAGCAACTTGTCAGACGCGATGAGTCGACAGCTCTTCCAGCCCGTCCCTGTGCGTGTTGATATCCCTTCCCGCATATACCTCAGCCGTTCTTCGCAGTCGTCGAGACGCCAAAGCCGCAGCACTCATGATCAGCCAACTATGTGTGCATAACCAAGCTCCAGTGAGCCTGTTGCTCGAAACCTACCCTCACTACCAAGTCAATGCGGTCGACGGCACTCGTACTCCCTGGGAAGACAGGAGATCAATCAGCCACGATGGCCTCAGGAGATGACCCCCGACCAGGAGGCGCCCCGGACACAGGTTGTAAGGTCACCGAGATAGGCTGCTTCGACCCAGACCACGAAACTCAAACGAGCATCAAATCTGTGAACCACATAAACCACTACACCAACCACCTGTATTATGGGTCAACCACATGCGGGACATGCAAGGGCTCAAATCCGAAGAGGTCCTCCTATCCCGTCTGAGCCATTCGTTGAAGAATAAAGCGACAAACAGGTATGACATTAGACACCCCAATGCCTATCGTACATATGAAGTCAGTGCAGGCTTCCATGCATTCCCTGCTCCCTTCCTTGTTCCAAACATGATTGAAAGCTATGATTCACGAGCCGAGTCAGATGTCGACCAAGCTGCCAAGGGGGTTATAATTACATGTAGATAGCAATACAATGTCTTCTATATCTTCGGAACAATTAGCCGCAAATCATAGAAAGTGTAGTGGGGGGAAAAGCTATCAGAACGACTTTTTCCTTGTATAAGATGCGACTTGATGCTCTCTTCTGGTTTTCATGTATACGAACATGCTGGGTTTCTATTTTCGCTATGCACTGTGATAGAAGAACACGGGGAAAGGGTCTGCTGAGGACATGCGGGTTGTGTGGACTGGAACCGTGACTTATACTTTTATATTGTATACTGGATGGAGGGTTCAGGTATTTTTTTAATAAAGATAATATCGCCAGTCAAGAAACTAAGGCTTTAAATGATAATTCAAAAGAAAAAGACCTAATAAATGTCATCACTCCCATTATAAACACAACGAACCAGGAGACGAAGCTGGTTCGGAATCTAAAAACATAAATCACAATCATTACGTCTCAACCCAAGAGAACATTTAGCCTCTGGGATCTATATGCGAACACAAAAAGAAAATGCACGGCGCTCTAAAACTGCGAGACCGCAACAGCAACAGCTTGCGAGTCGCTGTGGCTGATGCTAACGCTGACCTGCTTGACACCCGCCTGCTTGGCGGCGGCGGCGGCAGCACCATGAAGCTGGAGATATGTTAGCGTTGTCATTAGAATCATGGGATACTGTATAATCATGCACTTACGTTCACCACTGGAGCGCCATTGGCATCAACTCCGATCTCGATATCCTTCAAGGCAGCACCGGCACCCTTGCTGCTGACACCCAATGATTTGAAGACAGCTTCTTTGGCACTCCATCGGCCTGCAAACGAGGACTGTGGGGAGGCAGCCTTGCGGCAGTAATCCTGTTCACTCTGAGTGAAGTTGCGCTCGACGAAGGTCTCGTTCTCAATGTTGACGGAGTTGATGTGCTCGACGTCAACACCGATCTTTGAGTTCTCGGCGGCATTGGCCTTGGCGAGAGACTCGAGGGTCTGGCGAGTGCTTTCGGAATCCTTGGCTTCGGGGGCAGTGGCGGAGTATTTGAGCTCAGAGGTCTTCTTGTCGACAGACACGCGGTAGTCGGGGTTCAGGAAGATCTTGCTCTGCAGATCATCTTCGTAAGGAGCCTTGGTCTTGGCAACGAAGATGCTGTTGTTGATCAGGCCATTGTGGAAGTAGCGGTAGGCCTTCTTCTGGCGAGCCTCGACCTTGGTCTTGTAGGACTCGTACTGAGCCTGGTCAAGAGTGGCATACAGGTACTTGGGGTGAATACCAATAACCTGAGCACCCTTCTGACCGAAACCGAAGGAGGTGACGGAGAACGCCTTGACACCGTCGGTCTGGATGCTGCGGCTGGGGTAGACAATGTAGTCGAACTTCTCCATGACCTTGTCAACGTTGTCGGCGTTGCGGTTGCCCGGCACGAGACCGCTGTCCAAGACTTGCAAGCAGCCGTTGAACATCCAGGCACCGGCGGCACCCTTGGGGTGACCAGTGAGATACTTCTGGAAGATACCCATGACTGCATTACCCTTGGAGCGTCCAAGGTGCTTCATCTGTTGGCAGATGACATCGGACTCGTTCTTGTCATTTGCGACAGTCGAAGTACCGTGGAAGGATGCGATGTCAATGTCGTCGACTGTGAGACCCCAGGTAGCCATGGCACCACGGAGGGGAGCAATGCGGGGATCCTGCTTCCAGAAGTTGTTACCCAGACTGTACTGGGCGTCCTTCACCTGGCGAATGGCTTCGCGCTCAATGTGCTGAGCACGCTCCTGCATGTACTCGGCCTCGTTGAAGGTCTCGTCGCTCTGAGCCTTCATGGCATCAGTCTCCTCCTGGAGGTACAGAAGCTCGGCTTCTTGCCATTCGTTGATCTGCTTCTTGCGGAGATCCAATTGACGGCGACGGTACTTAATATCCAACAGAGGGGATGGGAACTTGCCGGGGTTCTCGCGGGCAGTAGTCAAGACACCCTGGCCAGGAGCGGGAACGGACCGTCCGATCTTGTCAGTGGCGGTCGTGGTCAGAGCAATGATACCGTGGATGGGCACACCCATGTCGAGAGCAAGCTGTGCAGTCATAATAAGTTGCATACCGCAACCCTGGGACTCCATGAAACCAGCGCGAGTGGTGGTGGTGGGGCGGGACATCTCTTGCGGGGTGCGACCGTGGGCGAATTCATCTTCAGCGTTGCTGGTGGCCTTCATGTTGGCGAACTCATAAGAGCCCTCCTCCTGGAAGTCATCGAAACCACCGACGAAACAAACACGGGCCTTACCCTCGACAATGGTCTCGTAACCAATATCAACAGACTCAACAGCCGTGGCACAAGCACCGACGGGAGTCTTAATAGGACCAGTAGAGGACAACAGCAGCATGTTGACCCAGGCGGACATAGTGTTGATGAAGGACTCCTGCAGGATATCCTTTTGCAACGGCTTATCCATGAAGCGATCCTTGTACATACCGCGCAAAGCGTGGGTGCCACCAATACCCGAGCCAATACAGTTACCAACCTCAGACAGGTGGACATACTTGTAGAACTCGTAAGGGTCGGTGATACCGGCGGAAAGCATAGCCTCAGCAGTGCAGACCAGAACAAAGAGGGTCACAGGATCCACCTGCTCGATAATATCATCGGGGATACCATAGCGGCTGGCGTCCCAGCCTGTGGGCACCTGACCGGCGACAAGACGGTCGAACTGTAGAGCCTTAGGGATGAGCATGGTGGCGCCCTTGCGAAGACGGACGGTGTACTCTCCAGACTCGGGAATCTCGAAGATCTCAACCTTGTCTCCATGCTCACGCTTGAACTCTTCAGCTGTCTCCTTAGAAGACTCGAAAGGCTCAAGGTCCTCCTGGATGACAATTTCTTGAAGGAGCTGCTTCTTCTTAGGATCGTATCCCTTGAACAACTCGGGCTCGATGAGACGGATACCAGTGTGCTCCAGGATGTGCTTCTCGTACTTGGGCTTGATATCCTTATCATCAACGGGCTCACCGGTCTTGGCATCAACCCAGCCAGAGTAGGCCTGACCCTTAAGAGGACCATTGTGGTGTTTAATCAAACCCATGATCCACGCCATCTCAACGCAGCCCTCCAATGAGAACTTGCCCTTAGATTCCATCTCCCATCGGGTACGGGAGTTACCCCAAGGACCGACTTCAGAGAAACCAGTGACAACGACCACCTTGTCCAGGTTGACCATGCCCTTAAGAGACTCATTGAGCGGCTTGACTTCCTCCTCCCAGTCGGGCAGGTTAGGGAATTCAAACTTGATGTTGGCACGGGGCTCTGCAACAACCTTCTTATAAAGAACTCCACTGTCCTCGCCGTTAACAACCTTGTTCTCGATGGCAGTCTCCTTGATGACAGCCTGGCGGACATCGCTGGTCTCCATGATGTCTGTGCGAAGCTTGGTCATCAAACCCTTCAGGTCCGGAATGAATTGCAGACCACCGTTAAGATCAGCAAAGACTGGGTCAAGCTGGCAAAGGTTGACGATGGCCGGAGACATCAGTCCGAGAAGGTTGAAAGCCATCTCCTGCTGGGAGAATGTACGGACGCCCAGCTTCTCGACGCCTTCAGCGACCATGTTGTTGCCGCCCATCAGACCAGTACCACGGGTCCAGCCAATGACCGCACCACAGATGGTGAGGTAATGGCTCCAGTTCTCCGAGTACCAACGGTTGAAGAGAGTCTCCAGAGCAAGTTTGGACTCAGAGTACAAGCCATCATTACCAAAGGTGCCGTGGTTTGGCGACAGGGGCAAGACAACTTGAGCGGGGCGAGTTTCGAAGCCATGAGCTTGCTTTTGGGTCTTGACCGAGCCCAAAAGACGGAGCAGGTTGGTCAACATGATACGGTGAGCAAGCTCGGACTTGGAATCGATGGAGTCGATCTCGCGGCCGTTCTCGGGGATGGCAGCGAAGGGAACGACAAAGTCCAAGTCCCAGCCAAGACCCTTCTTGGCGTCGTAGATGTACTCAACCAAAGCCTCAACATCCTGCTTGCTGCCTTGGTTGAATGGCACGACCACAAGCTGGGAACCACGAGCACCGTAACGGGCGTACATGCCCTGGTAGTACTCGGTTACCTCGCGCGAGAAGCGACTGGTAGTGACAACGACCTGAGCACCACCGCTGATCAAACCTTGCAGGACCTCAGCACCAATGGAACCGGCACCAGCACCGGTCATGAGAACGTTCTTGCCCTGGAAACTGAGACCGTCCTTGGCAGCCGACTCCATCACATCCAGATAGATGCCAGTCAGCTTCTTGTTGTAGTCCCAGCCGTGTTCGGTCTTCTTCTTCAGGTGCAGGAATGGAATGGTCTCCACTTTGCCAGGGCGGGTGGCAGTAGTGCGTTTGGCAGCACTACGGCCGCCCTTCTTGGAGTGGCCGTTCTCCTGAGGGATGATTTGGCTCTCGTTCATGCCGAGAGCGTGAACGACGTCCTTGTACAGTGCATCAAACTGGATCTGCGACGACTTGGAGAGACGATGCTGCTTGCGAATGAGCTTGTAAACACTCTTCAGGTCGTTCTGAACCTTAGTGCGGTTGCTGTACTCGGAGATCGGGCCTCCCTCTGCCATGTGCTTGACGTAGTGCTCAAGCTTGCGAGCGCTGGTGCGAGGAATTTCTTTGTAGCCGATGTTGCCACGGGTATCGATGGTTGTTTGGGGGCCAGTGGGCACAGCGACGTCCTTGTAAACTGGAGCCACCTCCAACACTTCGCGACAGTTCTCAATGAGCTGCTGTCCAAGTTCCTTGGCCAGCTGGTAGGTCTCTCCGCGCTCAGTTGGGCAGTTGTCAATGTGGTACTGCAT